TATTGATAATCTGAGCTTTTTTCAGCAACGACAGTGTTTCTGTTTGCATCACAGCCTGTATCACACATTTATATTTAATATTTTTTTCAGGGGTCACTGGTCACTGCATGTTAAATCTTAGTTGTTTGGGAAATAATGCTTCAATACAGAATGTATTTTACACCTTAATCTGTCCACCTAATTCCCTATAGTCTGTCCAAGTTGTCCCATCTATGGATGATTGCAGCGTGTAGGTCTTTACCCACTGATCTGCTTGAGAATTCCCTTGAGTAGACACAGCACAGATGATATGGAGTGTTTGTAGATCAATCTGTAGATATGGGTTGGTGTCACCTGTTCCTGCACACCATGATGATCCTAATGAGTAGTTCAGTCGACCATTCTTGGCTGGCATGCTGGAAGAAGAAGCATTTATTCCAGTGTCTAGAATTCTTCCATCCTCCATCCCAAGATTAAACTCAACACAACCTAAATATTGAAAAAATATTTAAAGCATTACAAATGACAGGGAAAAATAATCAGTAATGAACACTAGAAAGGTGTAAGAGGGTGGAGCTCTCAACATATGCATTCAGCAATTTACCCTCTGCAACTCTTTAATAGTTTAAGTAAATGGTAAGTTAAAAAAGTGAATGGCCACTATTTGGCTGACTCGTCTGGTCAACAGTCTTCCTTACAAAATGAACATCATAAGTTTAGTAGCAAACATTTGTTGGTAGTCATAGGTTCCTCTGTAATACTTGGTTTAAAGTTTTCTTCAGCCCTACTAATTCAGTTGCTTTCAATATTCAATTCTGTTGTATTTATCCTCTTTTCTTCCTCAGACCTTTTGTACTGGTTGTCTTATGGTATGAAGAACTACCTAATTTAGTATTCATGCATTTGTAATGTTGTAGCAGTTATCACTAAATGTTCCCAAACAAGTTTTCAAGTACAATAACGTACTCGTCTGATAGAGTTTATCAGTACTATGCAGCTGTCTTAAAGCTTTCACAAGCAGTCATGAAGTTTTTGTCTTCAAACAAGGGTGCTTGAAATTGCTAACAGTTGGTATGGGCCAAATGGAATAACTGTAAATCTGCACAAGCACCAGGCAATAGTGCTTAACGCAAACAGTAGTAAGTTATAAATTCTCTTTTCCCGTTAAGAATTCAATCGATTTATTAGGTGTAACCATTGACAAGGATTTGAGCTTTAATATTCACATCTCACAGATATGTAAGAAGGTTAACACACAATCTAGTGTTCTCAAGAGATCAAAAAATATCAATACCAGAAATGTCATGTTACTTTTATACAAGGCTTTTATCCAACCACACTTCAATATTGCTTTCTTATTTGGCATTATTGTGGCACTAGAAATTGTGATAAATTAGAGTCTTTGAACAAATGTGTTTTATGATTTATTTTAAATTATTCAATGTCTAGTTATGATGAACTATTAAAAGCAAAGAAAGCATCCGTATTCACAGGATGACTTCACAAAATTTTTATGGTAGTTTTCAAGAGCTTATTTGTTTCTTCATATCCTGGATATCTAAAAAAAATATTTGTTCTTTGTAACTCCAGTTATTTATTAAGAGGAAAGAATATTCTGACCTTACCTATACCGAGAACAACAAATTATGGACTTGAATGCATCCGATATCAAGCAGCAAAAATGTGGAATTCACTCCCAGACAGTAGGAGAACAATGACACCATTTAAAGATTTTAAGACAGCCACAAAGAAAAAGAAAATGAACTTTTAGCAGCAGTTTTAATTAATGTAATTTAATTGATTTAGATAGTTTTCTTTCTCGAAGATATTAGCTCAACAGAGCTACTATGATAATTCGAGTTGAAATAAAGTGTATGTATGTATGTATGTATGTATGGGTGTATGTATGTATATAAGAAATACTCTGGCTTAGAATGGGGGCTCATGGCTATTTTCTACTGATTTGACCATTATGGGAGTTATATTTCATCTCTGGCCTGCCTGGGCACAGTGGTAGCCCTTAGATATCCCTAGCACTTTTCTTTGCCAAATATGTATAACTATACTACAGCACACTTAATATTATGAACCACAAGAGAGCCACTGGAAAAGTTCAAATCATACAATAAAACATAAAAGTTCTGTTGGAATATGCTTTCTAATTTGACAATCAGCTCATTGGTTTTTTTGCTGTTGCTATGTACACCATGCAAACTCAGTTAAAAAGGACTTGAACACCATTTTAAAATTCTTACCATCTCTCATGGTTCTCACCACCACTAAAGGAGAACTCCTTGGTCCATCACCAACTGTGGTAAAGGCCAACACTTCAAATTCATATTCTGTGTAAATATCAAGCCCAGTGACATCTTTACTTGATGCTGTTCCATTGTTAATGGTCATGGTGGTTGCTTGTCCAGAGGAGCCTCTCTTCTTGTAAAATAATTTGAATCCTGTAATTATTCCATGTCTGGAGTCTGCTGGTGGTAACTGCCAGGATGCTGTAATAATTGTAGAAGTAACTGCAGTCACTCTGAAGCTGCTTGGGGCTTTTGATGGAGCTGCAATTGGAAAAATAGAGAACATAATGCCTATGACTGGTCCTATTAAATGTTACTACCAAACAAAGAACCCTCTTGATTGTCTGGGTGAGTGTAGTCCTGAGAAGGACTGTTGTTGGTAATGGTGACTGAATTGATCTTATGAACTACTCCCTGTCTGTTCCTCGGTTCATCTTTGTCTTTGATGTTAGACAGTAACTGACGTAGAGTGGTTTTTCTGGTTTCTTTTTTGGACTTGAGTGCATCCAATATCAAGCAGCAAATGTAATGTAATTTAATGATTTAATTGATTTAAATAATTTTCTTTCTCGAAGATAATAGCTCAGCAGAGCTACTCTGATAATTTGAGTTGAAATAAAGTGTATGTATGTATGTATGTATGTATGGTCAGTTACGAATAGAAGAAGATGCAGTCAGATTAAAGCCACTAGGAGGCCTTGAAGGAACTGTAATAAGGAAGATACATTTATGTTAGGATTATAATCATAATAATAGCTATATATTTTAAAAATATCTCCTCAGTTGGAGAGAAAAAATTGATTTAAAAATGGATGAGGTTCCAAAAAATGATGGTCATGGACACTCATCCATAAATTATTATCAACCTCTTATACAAAATAGGTGCAGCTTTCAGGTCTAAATACATATGGAAGGCTGTCAATAACAAAAACAATCAGAATTGCTAGCATCCACCAGCATGTATAATTTTCATGAGCAAATTGCAATGTATAATTGCTAATCAGGATGCAATCATCTAGTTAGTTATGTTGAGATAGTTTCCTGCACTCTATGATTAAGTCATGGTCTTTCCCCAAACAAAACTCTGGTTACTTATCTATTTTCAATATTCTCTTAATGACTGTTCAGAACAGAAGACACATCTAGCCTTTTATTAAATCATAAATGACAACTCTAACCATCCTCTTTTGTTCTCTTAACAACCACAGAGCTGTTTTTTCCATCACCAGCAGAAGTGAAGGCCAACACTTGAAATTGATATTCTGTGTACTTATCAAGCCCATTGACAACTTTGTTTGACACTGCTGCACTTTTAATGAGAAAGACAGTTCCTGGCTCTGAAAAACTTCTCCTTTTGTAAAACAATTTAAAGCCACTGATTATTCCATTTCTAGAATTTTCTGCTGGTAACTGCCAGGATGCTCTAATACTGGTAGAAGAGGTTGCACTGACCATGAAGTTAGATGGAGGTTGTGAAGGAACTGCAATTGGACAGCGTTTTGATCAGTATGCTTATTTGTAAAAAAAATCTAAATTCTTGAAGTAAAATCTCTACTTGTCAATTCAAATTTATGCTCTTATGTTTTGAAAGTTTTTGTAAAGTAAATAATTGAACCAATCAAAAGTAACCACATACTTTTAATTAGTTATTTTTTCTTTTACTCACTTGATGCAAAATCTTCATCTGTCAATTGAAAGTTTTGATAGAATAATTGATTAGATCAAAGGTAACAACATAGTTATTTATTCCTTTGGTCACCTACTCAACACCACATGCTTGATAAACATACAACAAACCCTCAATACAGCAATTAGATTTAACCTTCTTCCTTATCTGTCACATACCATCTTCCTTTGTCCTTTCCACCTCAACAGAACTCTTTGGTCCATCACCATCAGAAGTAAAAGCCAGGACTTGAAATTCATATTCTGTGTACTTATCAAGCCCTGTGACATTTCTACTCAATGTTGATTCCCCACTTATAGTCAAGGTTTTTACTGACACACTGGAAACTTTCTTTGTGTAAAACAGTTTAAACCCTGTAATAGTTGCATGTCTAGCATAGACTGGTGGTAACTGCCAGGAAGCTGCAATTCTCGTAGAAGATGTTGCAGTCAGCTTGAAGGCAGTAGGAGGCTGTGATGGAACTGAAATAAATATACAGAGATGTAATTCCCATACATCTACATACACAATTTATCTTTTTGACATCTATATACAAAATTTATGTTTTTGAATCACTACCATCATTACTTTAATTTGCTTTCCTTAATTTTATTTTAGAGAAATTGTCACAGTCATAATCATGACACTAGATCCTCAGCTCTCCTTCAGCCATCTCTGTAACATAGAATGAACATTAAAAAGTTCACTATACTATACTATACCAAGGACCAAAAATAAGGAATGTTTTACAACCAGTTACCTCTTCTCCCACTTCATCTTAATTCCTTTGAAAGGGAGTTTCATAATTGCCTTAATTTTTTATCAATACAAAGAACAACAACAAAATCAACAAATAAAACTCAAATCAACCATCCAATAAACAACAAGTCAAACTTTGTCATGCTCTTCAGTTTTGTAGGAGATGATTGTTCAATTGTCTAATGCTCAGCTCTAAAATCACAGTGTATACTTTCATCATTCTCATTAAACCAAAAGACAATAATTAACCCTTTCACTCCCACAGGTGACCAAGACAGAATTTCTCCTTACAATATCAATACAATATCAAGCAGGCAGGTGATGAGAATAGAGAAGAATATCAATTATGAGATTATTAGTTGATCCAATACCAAATTCTCTGAACTAACATCATAAGAATTGTATGGCAGATAGTAAGGAGAATTAATAATTAGATCTTGGGAGTGAAAGGGTTAAGTATCAGCGAGTATTTAAATTTGCCTCAGTTCTAAAAAATTGTTAATCTTGCCTTAATTTCTCCTAATAATTAGTTATTGTGACTTCATTTTGTATCAGAGGGACAAAAATGAGAACAAATAAATACCTTTTGAGAAAAGTATTCCATAAGCCTCCACTCTCAGAGCCTTGAACCTATTATACTTTGTTGGCAGAAAGCGTATAAACTTTGCACTTGCAAATTCCTTTAGACTGTTTTTCACTGTGTCAGTTTTTCCTGAATTTCCTGGAAAGGCCTGTTATATAAAATGTGATATTGATGTATTGAAACTTGGCATAGTTAATGATTTACTGTAATTTGTGAGATAAGATAAAATTAGAATCTTCAATTTGCAAAATAAAAATCTGTAATTTGTGAAAAAAAACTCAAAATGAAAATCTGCAATGTGCAGAATGGAAATCTGCTATCTGTAGGTTAAGTGCATACATCCTAGGTTGAAAACAAAAGAGCTTGAGAAACTTCAGCAAGTCATTCCAAGAGGACCAGGGATTGTGCCTTGAGGAATGCCACAAGTTAAATAACAACTGTCAGAGAGATTAGGACCATTTCATTTACCATCTTTAAATTTTATGGCATTTTTTTATATGGCTATAAACAGTTAGAATTGGTCAGTATTTGCTACATCTTTTTACACTCATATTACTGAAAATGAACATTTAACTAGTAGACTACATGCTTTTTTGTGTGTGTACTCCATATTGATCTTACATGTACATGGAATTGGTGAGAAAATGTCACTATTTATTCTTGAAGGTGATGTCAATATAGTTTGTACGCAACATAAGTATATTGTGGGTAATGTTAGCATTGGTGAATATTGTTAATACTCTATGACATGTATGAGCAAATTTGTTGTTCTTGTGGGTAGCTTTAGTTTTGTACCACAAGTATTAATCTTGGCTGTTATGAATACTTGTATATGAGAGCATGACATACCAACCTTCTCAATTTTATTTTCTTTATAAGCAAAAAAAGTGGTACCATTCAAAGAAAGTCTTAGTTTGTATTCTGTGGTCCATTCATAAGCAGTTGGTGATTGGGTTGGTGGATTTCCTTGAGTAGCAACAGCACAGATAACATACTCATAGAGAAGGTCAATTTGTAGGTAGTCATCAGGATTAGTATTAGTCCTAGGTTCCCATGCCCTTCTTCCATTAAGACGACCATATTTAGCTGCATAGATGGATTTCCATATTGAACTGGCTGAGAAGCTGTTATCTGGAATTCTACCACCACTGACCAAACCAATTGCCTGTGAATCACATGCTGCAATGTAACAAGTTTAAAATTAACCTTTGCCCCCTACCATATTATATGTTTTTCAGTGTAATTAATTGAATGCACTTCTAAACAATCTGTAAGATATTATTACAAAAATACAGAAAAATAGTCATGGAAAAATAGTCATGAAGCCAAACAGCTGAAGTTATTGGCTGTGCTGCTAAAAAAAATTGCCCCGAACTGATCCCTAACTATTCTGACTTTGAGGAAGTCTATGCACTCATGCAATATTATCAAGGAAAGTTTGTGGCAAATTGGAATTTTTTCTTGCAATCCTTAGCTCATAACCCTACAGGCCCCAGAAATAAAACTATCTACCACCTTATATAAAGCAGAAATTGGTGCATCCTGTCACCTGGATACACATAAGAAGCTTATCACAATGGCTGGATTGTTTTCCTTGAGCGCTCAAAGAGTGGTTTGTATCATTAAAGCTAATTAAAAATAACAATTATTAACAAAATAATAAAACCACTAGGTTTGGACCCTTTGTTCATAGATTAGCAAATACAAGGATCATATCACACATTTAGCTTTCAAAACTTACTTGGCTTCTGTTGCACCCCAAACACCTCTGTTCTCATACACACCTCACCCTGGTGTGCTTGCGGCAGGAATCGCAAATATCTTGTTAACACTCCATATAGAACATGTTTGACATTGGAGTTTCTATCCTTGTTTCCATCTAAAACCTTAGGAAAATAGTCAGAGCTCATCATAGAGTTCCTTGTAGATTATACAATGTAACTATAATTGTAACTCTCCATCCTTGTGAAAGTAATCATCGTTACTCTACCTCTTGTTTTATGACAGGAAATACTTTAAATTGTTGTTATCAAAATGGTAAGGTAGGCAGCTTAATTAATCTTCATACAATCAGAAAAATATAGATGTAGGTGTAGGAATAAGGCCCAACATTTATGGAAGAGGTCCATATGGACAATGTTACTAGGCATACATGAATAAATCATAATTTGACCACTGAATTATAAAAAATTGCACACTGACCCTCAAAAGTCTATCTAATTTTTACAATTGCAGTTTACCCATGAAAACAATTTTGTCACTTGTTGGACTAAGGGCAGCAATCTCTCAGTAATTAGAAATCATTGGTTCTGCATTCCTTTGACAAGCTATTTCACACCATAAATATTTGGTGGAATAATGTAGCTCAAAACAATTTGTTAGATTAATTGTCCATTTCCCTCTGATACTCTTTCTGCAACCTTTACGGCAAATTCAGGCATGCGAAATATCATTTGCTAAATGAAACAATAGTTTCTAAAAATTCATGATATTTGCCAAGCATGAGGAGAGTACTTGTTGAATTTTTATTAAACAAATAATCCTCTGCATACCTATAACTCCTTAGGTAGCAAATTTGATATGAATGTATCAATATTATCAAAACTCAGAACAGTGATTGAGACAGAATATCATATAATTCTCAAACAACCCATGTGGCATACCTTAACCTTTCCACCTAATTCCTTATAGTCTGTCCAAACTTTCTCATCTGTGGATAATTGTAGAGTGTAGGTCTTCACCCACTGATCTGCTTGAGAATTCCCTTGGGTGGACACAGCACAGATGATATGAAGTGTCTGAAGATCAATCTGTAGATATGGGTTGGTGTCACTTGTTCTTGCACACCATGATGATCCAGATGCATAGTTCACTCGACCATTCTTGGCTGGTGTGTTGGCACTTTGTTCAGTAGAAGCAGTTAATTTATTGTCTGGAATTGCTCCATTTTCCATTCCAAGATAAAACTCAACACAACCTCCTACACATTGAAAAAATGCAAAAAACATAAAATCACAACCGCCCAATGAAATCATTCATGTACATGTGGAAGGGTTTAAGAGGGTAAAACTCTCAACAATGGTATTCAGGAATTTCTTCTGTGCAATGTTTTCATGATTTAGGTAATAAAATGACAATAATATCAAAGTTTGCATGTGCCTACAACTTGACCAGCTAGCACTCTCCTGATTAACAAAACTTGTAAACCTTTCCTAGAACATTGCAACCTTAATGTTAATTCATGCTTTTAGGTCATAGTAGACCAAACAGGTTGTTTTACAAATGACTGTAAATAAATGAAAATCATATATGTGAGATGTGGATTAAGAAATGAATATGAAAGCAATATTTGTGGTTATGAACACTACTAAAGCAGTGGAGGAAATACCTGGTAATTAAGGCCATGGAACCATCATGCTATCATACCAGTAATGACCAGCTCCCAGTTGGCTTCTTGGCTCAGTTGGTAGAGCACTGCACCAGTATTACAGATGTCATGGGTTCAAATCCTGTACAGTCCTGAATTTTTTCCAGGCCTTAAATTCACTACTGCTTAAGTAGTGTTCATTACTGCAAAGATTACTTCCATATTCAGGATGTTTTACAGTTCTACATAACCAATTAATGTAAACGTTATGGAAACAAATCTTTCCACTTTGAGTAAGTTACATATGTAATCATGTATAGAGTTGTGCACATAAAAAAATTACACATGTTTGATTGTAAGAGGTAATTAATTCAACAAAAGCATGTTATTCATTTGTACTTGTTTTCCCTACTTCCAAGCTTTTCCTTCAAATTAACTTCACAAAAATTCCAACCTAATTAAAATTTTATCAATGCCTATGACACTTCACATTACCAGAAGAATAGAAACCCCTTTCATACAAGGTATTTTTGATTGATTTTCCCCAAGCGTATTTGACTCAAATTTTAAGCCAATCCTCTTAATTATTTAAAAAATATCAATTTGCTACCAGAGAAAAAAGAACACTCAATAAAAGCAAAGTAGGTTTTCAGCCTAACCTGTCAACCACAATTGCATACTCTAGCTGAACTATGGAAGAGCCACCTTAAATTATATTCAATTAATATCGAGACTGAAGCTTTAGAGTTAATATCCAAAGCTCTGCTACTATTATTTATTCAATTATCAGGTCCCCATCTTTTGTAAGGAACAAACTTAATGCATAACATTCACACCCATCATTAAGATTCTTACCATCTTTCCTGGTTCTCACCACTACAGAAGAACTCTTTGGTCCATCACCAACTGAAGTGAAGGCCAACACTTGAAATTCATATTCTGTGTTATTGTCTAGTCCAATGACAGTTTTATCATGAATAGTACCATTGCCTATCCTTAACATGGCTAATGACCCTGATGCAGTTTTCTTCTTATAGAACAATTTAAATCCTGTGATTATTCCATTTCTGGAGTCTAATGGTGGCAACTGCCAGGAAGCTGTAACAATTGTAGATGTTCCGGCGGTCACAGTCAAACTTTTAGGGGCTTGTGATGGTACTACAATTGAAAGAGTGAGTGTCTCCACTGAATGAATACACAACATAAAGCATGTATTCAGTGGCAATAAAGGCCTTAACAGTTGACAACATAGGGACCAATAGAAACAGAGAACTACGGTACCATAAAACAGGCCTATATACAGCATACATGTATCTATTAAATTGATTTATGGTACCAATCAAGCCACCAGAGAGAAAAGTAAAGAGAGGAAAGAGTATTTTAAACTAAGAGTTTATTGTATGTAAAATTTAAGAAAAAGATCTTTTTTAATAAAATAACCTGCATAACATAACTGCATGACAAAAACTACTTTGTTTAATAGGTATGTACACCCTCCACTTAAAACTAAATCATATGATGGGAAAAATCGCATCCAGATACAAATATTATTGGGACCATTTTCATACCCTTTTGAAAGGTTACCAACTACATTTTGGAAACATTTCGATAAGCCAACTAGCTTCTGCGACATCAAAAACTTTTTTCTTGGTGATAATTTGACTATAAAACTGCAACTTCATGGTCATGATTGAATCGCATGACACTCAGAATAATGGAAATTCCTTGGTAACATCAACTGGAGTATTAAAAATTCTCCAACAAACACTAATGTTTGAGGAGTCATTTCCTGACAAAACAATTTAAACAACAAAACATAGAAGAAGAAGTGTTTTAAACTATAGGCATCAAGAGTTAAAAGAAAGATTTCAGCAAGACAGCAAACTGATACATATAACTTGTTTTTTTTTTTTCCTTTTTAATTTCATTTGGTTGAACAAAATAATAAAAAAACAAGAAGAATGGGCAGAAAATAAGTTGACATATCAACAATGAAGACATTAACTTTGGAAAAAAGATGATTGATTACTTAGTGGACACATTTTGGCACTTTTCTAATCACTGTAACTGTGTTTTAATCATTTGCAAAAATTTCTAAAATAGCATATGTTAATTCTCTACTTGCCACTTCCACATGATTGCTTTAAGTTTTCAATTTTTTGAGAAAATACACAGTCATTGATTCGCTCAAAAGTACTGTATGGCTATGTATTCTTGATGAACATACTGTCCAGCAAACTGTAAATACAGCAGTAAGATTATCATTCTTCTTAATCTGTCACATACCATCTTCCATTGTCCTTTCTACCACAACAGAACTGTTTGGTCCATCACCATCAGAAGTAAAAGCCAACACTTGAAATTCATATTCTGTGTACTTATCAAGCCCAGTGACATTTTCACTTAATATTGATCCTCTACTTATTGCCAATGTTGTTGCTGACCCACCAAAACCTTTCTTTTTGTAGAACAGTTTAAAACCAGTTATGTTTCTTCCATGTCTGGCAAAGACTGGAGGTAACTGCCAGGAAGCTGCAATTCTGGTAGAAGACATTACAGTCAGCTTGAAGGCAGTAGGAGGCTGTGATGGAACTGAAATAAACATATCAAAGACATGTAATTCCCTTACAAAAATTGCAAAAATTTATGTTTTTGTGTAACTGCCATCATCACTTAAATTTGCCTTTCGTTAATTTTATTTTAGAGAAGTCCTCACAGTCATAATCATGACACTAGATCCTCAGCTCTCCATCAACCTACACTGTATCTGTAAAATGAACATTGAAAAGTTCACTATACTATACTATACCATGGACCAAAATTAAGGAATGTTTACCACCTTCAGTTACCTCTTCTCGCACTTCATCTTAATTCCTTTCAAAGGGAGTTTAATAATTGTCTCAATTTTTTATCAATACAAAAAACAACAACAAAATTAACAAATAAAACTCAAATCAACAATCCAATAAACAACAAGTCAAACTTTGTCATGCTCTTCAGTTTTGTAGGAGATGATTGTTCAATTGTCTAATGCTCAGCTCTAAAATCACATAGTGTATACTTTCATCATTCTTATTAAACCAAAAGACAATAATTAACCCTTTCACTCCCACAGGTGACCAAGACAGAATTTCTCTTTACAATATCGATACAATATCAAGCAGGTAGGTGATGAGAATAGAGAAGAATATCAATTATGAGATTATTAGTTGATCCAATACCAAATTCTCTGAACTAACATCATAAGAATTGTATGGCAGATAGTAAGGAGAATTAATAATTAGATCTCAGGAGTGAAAGGGTTAAGTATCAGAGAGTATTTAAATTTACCTCAGTTCTAAAAAAGTGCCAATCTTGCCTTAATTTCTCCTAATTATTAGTTATTGTGACTTCATTTTGTATGAGAGGGCCAAAAATTAGAACAAATAAATACCTTTAGAGAAAAGTATTCCATAAGCCTCCACTCTCAGAGCCTTGAACACATTATACTTTGTTGGCAGAAAGCGTATAAACTTTGCACTTGCAAATTCCTTTAGACTGTTTTTCACTGTGTCAGTTTTTCCTGAATTTCCTGGAAAGGCCTGTTATATAAAATGTGATATTGATGTATTGAAACTTGGCATAGTTAATGATTTACTGTAATTTGTGAGATAAGATAAAATTAGAATCTTCAATTTGCAAAATAAAAATCTGTAATTTGTGAAAAAAAACTCAAAATAAGAATCTGCGATGTGCAGAATGGAAATCTGCTATCTGTAGGTTAAGTGCATACATCCTATGTTGAAAACAAAAGAGCTTGAGATACTTCAGCAAGTCATTCCAAGAGGACCAGGGATTGTCCCTTGAGGAATGCCACAGGTTAAATAACAACTGTCAGAGAGATTAGGACCATTTCATTCACCATCTTTAAATTTTATAGCATCTTTTTATATGGCTATAAACAGTTAGAATTGGTCAGTGTTTGCTATATCTTTTTACTCTCATACCACTGAAAATGAACATCTAACTAATAGACTACATGCTTTTTGGTGTGTGTACTATATCTTGATCCTCACATGTACATGGAATTGGTGAGTAAATGTCACTATTTATTCTTGAAGGTGATGTCAATATAGTTTGTAAGCAACATAAGTATATTGTGGGTAATGTAAGTATTGGCGAATATTGTTAATAAATTATTCTATAACATGTATAAGCAAATTTGCTGTTCTTGTGAGTAGCTTTAGTTTTGTACCAAAAGTATTGATTTTGGTTGTTATGAATACTTGTATATATAAGAGCATGACATACCAACCTTGTCAGTTTTATTTTCTTTGTAAGGGAAAAAAGTAGTACCATTGAAAGAAAATCTTAGTTTGTACTCTGTGGTCCATTCTTGAGCAGTTGGTGATTGGGTTGGTGGATTTCCTTGAGTAGCTACAGCACAGATAACATACTCATAGAGAAGGTCAATTTGTAGGTAGTCATCAGGATCAGTAGTAGTCTTAGGTTCCCATGCCCCTGTTCCATTAAGACGACCATATTTAGCTGCATATATGGCTCTAAATATTGAACTGGCTGAGAAGCTGTCATCTGGAATTCTACCACCGCTGGCCAAACCAATTGCCAGTGAATCACATGCTGCAATGTAACAATTTTAAAGTTAACCTCCACATCTTACCATATTACATGTTTATTTTTCAGTGTAATTAATTGAATACACTTCTAAGAAATCTTTAGGATATTAAAAAAAAAATAGTCATGGAAAAATAGTCATGAAGCCAAACAGCTTGCATGAACTTATGGGCTTTGCTGCTTAAATTTCCCAGAATTGATCCTGAACTTTTCTAAAGTTGAAGAACTCCATGCACACATGCAATATTATATCAAGGAAAGTTTGTGATAAATTGGAATTTTTTCTTGCAATCCTTGGCTCATAACCCACAGGCCTAAGCAATAAAACTATCCATCACTATATATGAAGTAGAAATTGGTGCATCCTGTCACCTGGATATTAGCATAAGAAGCTTGTCACAATGGCTGGGTTGTTTTCCTCAGGTGCTCAAAGAGTGGTTTGTATCATTAAAGCTACTTATCCAAATAACAATTATAAACAAAATAACAAAACCACTAGGCTTGGGCCCTTTTGTTCATAGATTAGCAAATGCAAGGATCACATTACACAAAACTTTTTACACTTACTTGGCTTCTGTGGCACCCCAAACACCTCTGTTCTCATACACACCTCACCTTGGTGTGTTTGTGGCAGGAATCGCAAATATCTTGTTAACACTCCATATAGAACATGCTTGACATTTGAGTTTATATCCTTGTTTCCCTCTAAAACCTTAGAAAAATAATCAGAGCTCATCATAGTCAGTTCCACAAAGATAGTGCAAGGTAACTATAATTGTAACTCTTCATCCTGGTGAAAGTAATCATCATTACTTTACCTCTTGTTTCATGACAGGAAATACTTTAATTTATTGTTGTAACAAAATTTGGGCAAGGTGGCTAAATTAATCTTTATACAAGCAGAAAAAGATATAATGTAGATGTAGGAATAAGGCCCAACATTTATGGAAGAGGTCCATATGGACAGTGTTACTAAGCATATATAAATAAATCATAATTTGACCACTGGATTATAAAAAAAAGCACACTGACCCTCAAAGGTGAACTCTATCTAATTTCTACAACTGCACTTTACATGTGACAATCATTTCATTACTTCAATTGTTGGATCGAGAGCAACAATCTCTCAGTAATTAGAAATCGTTGGTTCTGCACTCCTTTGACAAACTATTTCACAGCACTGTAATGTTGGGTGGAATAACGTAGTTCAAAACAATTAATTAAATTCCCTGTCCATTTCTCCCTGGTACTCTCTCTGCAGTCTTGACTGCAAATTCAGGCATGCAAAATATCATTTGCTGAATGAGAGGTATTTACTCAAAATTCATATTTGCTGAGCATGAGGAGGAGAATACTTGTTGAATTTTTATTTTAATATTAATCCTCTGCATACCTATCACTCCTTTGGTAGACATTTTGATATTAATGCATCAATATTATCAAAACTCAGGAACAGTGATTGAGTCAAGATATGATATAATTCTGGACCAGCCCACGTGGCATACCTTAACCTGTCCACCTTCCTTATAATCTGTCCAAGTTGTCCCATCTGTGGATAATTGTAGAGTGTAGGTCTTCACCCACTGATCTGCTTGAGAATTCCCTTGAGTGGACACAGCACAGATGATATGAAGTGTCTGAAGATCAATCTGTAGATATGGGTTAGTGTCACTTGTTCCTGCACACCATGATGATCCTGATGTGTAGTTTAGTCGACCATTCTTGGCTGGTGTGCTGGCACTTTGTACTGAAGAAGCATTTATATTACTATCTGGAATTGTTCCACTTCCCATTCCAAGGCAAAAGTCAACACAAGCCCCTGTGGAAACAAGATTTACATTTGCACTATAACACAGTCATAATAATTATAGTAACATGGATAATGGTTGGATGTGAGAAACATATGCATATCTTGAATCTCTTTTTAAGGTATGTCTCCTAGAGTCCTGATGTCACAAATAGTAATAAATAGAGCTGGTCTGCCTCTAAAATTATTTGTAAATTTTATTATAAATTAGGAAGTTATCTGAATGTGATCATTAAAACAGCAAATTTTAAACATTAGGTGCCACTTTTCAAGGTGTCCATTTTTAAAGAAAATGAGGAAAGATTCAAGTTTCGAAAAACTGTTGTGCTGCATCAAAAGCATTGAAGCAAGATAGATATAAAGGAAAATAAATTGCTGTAGTGAATTTGAGAAACCTAGGTCATTAACCTTCCTTGGAGCAAAGAGAAGTTGACTTTTAGTGTAAATGTACAATATGGGGACGAGAGGCAAAAATGTACAGACCTATCCAAATTCGGTAATTGTGAAGAAGAGCTCCCCAAAAAACCTGTCGGCCGACTGTCGGTCAACTGTCGGCCGACTGTCGGCCGTTTGTCGGCCGACAGTTGGCCGACAGACGGCCGACAGGTTTTGCCCGAAATATAGGCTACCTGTCGGCCGACAGTGGACCGACAGTCGGCCGACTGTTGGTAATGTGTCGGTAACCTGTCGGTAGCTTGTCGGTAGCTTGTCGGTAGCTTGTCCGTGAAACGTTAACACAAACCTTAATGTTTTCTCTCGGTTTTCGCTTGATACAACATCCAATATGTGTAATACGTTGACAATTGACTTTCAAGATTTGGTGGCTCCTAAAGGAGCCGTTTTGTGAGTGGTGAAATATACAAGATACTTCACTCGTAGAATCGTGATTTTAGCGGCGCGCGCCTAAATCAATTATCGCATCACGCATCCAAGTCTAATTATCGAATTGTTGCGTATAGTAATTTATTACGTAACATAACGAGTAAAAAGATTCACAGTTGTATCATTTATTAAACTTGAAATTGGAAATAGAAATTCATCCCAAACCTGCAAGATAGAGGACGATGTTAGCAACACAAATGCACAAGGTAAACATTATTGATACATACATAACATTCCATAAGAGGCAGCGTTGCATTGTTGGGCGATTTGAACGAAAGTGTTTGTATTGATACGTAGCTTATGGTTATCAGAGTTTTTGGCCGAGTTTTCGATTAAATTATCTTCCAATGCGATTCTTAGATTGTCTGGTGTGTTGTAAATTGCGCAAGTGATATATCCTATACGCATCTGATAACAACATTTTGGAAGAAACGTTTCTTTACATACTTTCAACTTTGCCGTCGATCGGTAAGTAGGTGAAGTCTGTCGAGTCATACATCACCATTACGGATTGTTATGTCACGTTAACTGTTCGTTTTTAACACAATTTTTCTTTTTTCTTAACCTGTCGGTAACCTGTTGGTTAGTTGTCGGTAGACTGTCGGTAACCTGTCGGCCAACAGTTGACCGACAGTCGGCCGACAGGTTTTTTGGGGAGCTCTTCTTCACAATTACCCCAAATTCAAAGCTTTTGAGTAGATAGGAAAGGTGGAATAAATTTCCAGAGTACTTTAACCTGAAATTGAAGCAAATCTTATCACACAATTACTTCGTTGAAACACAATAGTTTCAGAACTGTCTGTATTTCGAATTGCTGAATAATTAAGTTTAATTTCACTTTCGTATAGTTCTCCATGCATCCAAATTGAGCTTGATGTAATAGTAAATAAATTTTAAACTGTACTATTCTTTTTAAGATGACATTTTAATTAAAAAAAAAAGGAATTCCAACGGACCCTCGTTTCTTTCTGATGTCGATTCTATCCGCATTGAGGATTAACCTGTGACTGTGTGAGAAAGCCTACGGCTATAGCACTCATGACTGAAAGAAATCTCCAATCAAGTAACCTGAACGTAAATTTTAACATAGAAAGATAAACCTTTCTAATTGATTAAAAATGATGCAGTGCTCACCTGAAGTCAATGGAAGAAGTGCAGCGAGAAAAGCTACCCGGAAACAAAGATTAAATTGCGTCATGTTTCGATTGAGTGTGTCACGGTATGCGCGTATCACGATCGTTTTGCTTGACCGGTCTTTTGTAACAGAAAGCTCAGCCGAAAAAAGATTGTCCCCTCACTATTTACACTTGGCTTTGTATGATTTGTGGCAATATCGTCCGCAATTCCTGCAAAACAATCAGACTCTTCGTCCATTAACAAGATGACAGAAGACTGCAGTTGTTGATATTTCCCACAATGCTATGGGCTGTAGCTCACATTTCAGTATCTTTCAGCTGATTTCAGTTCTTAGGGCCTGTTTACACGGAAGTGGGGGACCCCGGGTAGGTGAGGTAACCCGCCTAGGTGGGGTAACCCGCCTGTCCATAAAAGTTCTTACTTTATTTTGATGACGTTTACATGATAAGTGGGGTGACCCGCCTAGGCGTGTTTTAAAACTTTGTACATTTCCCAGCCGTCTCATGGCAGAAATCACCAGAAACCGCAACGGTCACACAAGGAGTGTAAAATGTTCACATTTCGGAATATTTAGCGTTGTAAATCGACTATATTTGGTTTCACAAACTATTCCATATAACGTATTAGGTCAACGGTTTCTCGCGAAACCAAACACCGCGTAACAGAACGCTTGACGCTTTCATGAATAAATACATATGTCTCCGAGAATTAATCTTTCGTCTCGAGATGTGAGCTTGGGACGCCTCTGCTCAAACTCCTTAATTAATTGCAAGTGCAACAACACCCCAGCACCCAGGGGTTGTAAGATTGCATGTAAACGCGTTTTATTTTTCGACCACGGCTAGGCGGGTTACCTCACCTACCTGGGGTCCCCCGCCTCCATGTAAACAAGCCCTTATCCAGCTTTCGAGTTAGAATTTAACTGCCTTATCAAAGATGAGATAGCAGTTAGTTTACATTCTCAGATTTCCTTATACCCATGTATATAGGAAAAGACAAAGGAAGTAAAAAACGACTAAATTATCGACCGACACAAAAATTACATCGAATTCCCCATCTTCGCCCGCTGACATAAATAAAAAAATTCGCTTTTTAGCACACAGAGAAGTTTTTTAAGAAAACAAAAGAAAAATAGACAACAGCCAATAATATGCCTAATGAACCTCTCTACCACCCTATGACATCACGCAAAATCCCCCAGGACGGGAGGGTGGATGAGAAGAAAAACGAAACAGTACCATACAAGATCTCTGATGTACGCTCTAATTGAAAACTGACGCGAAATGAAACACGAAACTATTAGAGCCTGATACCAGAGGGTGTTTGTTGCGCAATTAATTCCTTTGAATACGTGCTTGTCCACAGGGGGTAACAAGAAAGACGATCGACTAAGGCAGGATCAGCTACTGTTTAGGACATAAAATTTTGAATTTTTTAGGGTTTCCACATGCAATCACTTTCTTGAAACAAATCTTAAAAATAAGAAGTAAAACGAGCTCCGTGACAAGGATGGAGAAAGAAAAATTGTCTTAAGTGCGAGAGCTGCTGAAAAATATAATTTTAATAGGCATTTTCGAAAAAGCTTATCAGACTTTTAAAAGCAGCAATAATCAAACAAACTCCACGATAGGTCACAACCTTCAAACGTACTCGCTTATATACGTCAATAGAGTTGCTAACCATCAATTATTCTGAACAAGAGTGTAACTAATGTTCTACTGCGACGGTACTTAGCAAGCAGAGGTCAGTAGTACTAAGACAACAGAAAAACTGGGCCTAGTAATATCGAAATGAATGTGAAAAAAAGATTTAAGGGTAGGTCATGGTAGTCCTTCGATTGCAGCGGTGCTGCTCGCGCTAACCGCTCGTGCAAATTCCCATGCATATCTACCAAAAGAGGGAACCTCGTCAAACGCAGAAAATAAGAGCTGTGACTGAATGATATTGCATCCGAACTAATAACGGTATTTGGCAACAAGCTGCGTAGCAGGCAAAACGTGTGGTAAGTAGAAGTTCGACGGTGAATATTTTCAGCAACTGAACCCTGGCTAAGACTGAGTATTAAATAAACGGAGTTTTGTGTCGCGTGTCTGGTTTTCGACAAAAAATACTTGACAACGAAATGTTATTGCATGAAAAGAAGTGGATAAAAGAGACATGATATACCAAAGTCAGGCACATCTTTTTGTGGAAACACTTTATTCCATTATCTACAACTACTCTGTTGCTCAAGTTCTGTGCATTTTAAATGCTTACTAAAATGTTATTGCCTCGGAAAAACTTCTCCAAGCATTTTCTTCAATCAGTAAGTGCTCTGTAAGTAAAAAATATCTCACGGAGCAAAAATATTGTACTATTTTCCATTCTCTTATCTACAAACACCTACCAATAATACTCTGTTGCTTAACATTTTTCAATTGCAATACATTGTCTTTACAGTTAAGAAGAATTTACTTAAAAATATGATGAAAACGTCCTTATGTCCAATAAATGACTCAGAAAAGAGAACCCTTTTAAAAGGGTAAAATATAAGGAACAACTTTCAGTACTGGTAAAAAAAAATATATGACATTGTTACGCTTTGTTCTATGTTTACATCCAATGACTCTTTAAAAAAAATGGCATATTTAATTCTTTCATTTTTACTGCTGGTTCAGAGCACACCTTAAGTTGAATTCGAATTCTCGTGCTGCTACCGGTGTAAAATGTTGTGGATTGAATCTCACTTGATAATGTAGAGTGCGTGACATGTTTTGTTGAGTTCATGAACCACAAAGGGTGTCGGGAAAAAAAAGAGAAAAGCATGTGCTCGGAGTTTTTCGAATAAATACAACCTTGTGTTTAATTAATCTGGTGATTTGAGTGTGTAACATTGGCGACCCTGCCAGGACTCGACCGAAGAGGCTTATCATCGACGAAGAACTGCCTTGGGTTGTGAAGGACAAAGTAATCGGCACGCTTGGTTGATTCGTCGAGCGCGAGTTGGTTGTGGTCGATTGCTGTCGACGGCGGACTGATTTTGACGTAAAGTGTCGCATTTCTCTTGTGAACGGCTGATTGCACTATTGGTGAGTACGAAAGATTATTTTTGGAAGTATGATGGATACCGAGAGTCTGCAGATCGAAATTCAGGCCGCGTTGTGTTCCTTGAGCGAGGAAAGGCTTAAAGAAGTTTGTAGTGGGCTGAACATTACTGTACCGCCTGAGAGCAAGGGAAGGTTGGTTTTTATCCGAGCTCTAAATAAATACCTCGAAACGGAAGAATTAGATAATGAGAAGCTCAAAGTGTTGTCGTCGTCTCTAAGTATGCAGGGAAAATTTGTACCGGAACAGAAAACGGAACCGCCGAAAGCTTCTGAAAATAATAAAGCGACCGTCAAAATAGAGCAAAATCCCGTGGTGTCAATTTCAAAATTCAAACGCGACTTCAAGATTTCGGGCCAGATTGGCGACGCGTCGCAGAAGGATCGTTTGAGTTTTTCCTCGCTAGTGCATCAAATTGAGAATGGTTTAAAGAACGACTATACAGAGGATGAAATTAAAGAGGCTGTGATAAAAGCGATAAATCCGGCGTTAAGCCTAAGAAGTTATTTGGAAGGTAAGGTAGATTTAACACTGGCCAAATTGAGGAGAATTATGCGTTCTCATTATCAGGAGAGAACAGCAACCGAACTATATCATCAGTTGAGCTCAACTGTCCAACAGCCAAAGGAAAAACCTCAAGAATTCTTGATCCGCCTTCTCGATTTGAAACAGAAGATCTTGTTTGCATCTCAAGAAACTGACTCGGACCTGAAATATGATCCTACCTTAGTACATGGCATGTTTGTCCATAGCTTTTCCCTTGGCCTGCAAAGTGAGAATATCAAGATCGAAATGAAGCCTTACTTGGAAAAGAAATTTATAAGCGATGAAGAACTATTCGAGAAATTAAATGTGTGTTTCAGTGACGAACTGGAGCGATCACAGAAATTCGGTTCACAGCTAACCCCCAAGGTAAATGCTGTTCAAAAGGGAGGGAACAAGCAGGAGACAAAGAATAATGGGGTGGAGGAAGGTCTCATGAAAGAACTAAGGGAGCTCAAGGCAGAAGTGGCCGCAGTCAAAGAGAGAGTTCGGGCCCCACTCCGGGCTCAAACCCCCCTCACACAACAGCCTATGAGACAACCCCCACTGTGTAGGACCTGCCAACAAAGTGGGAATGGATGGCCGTGCAACCATTGCTTCAGGTGTGGGGCGAGTGGCCATTATGTACGCGAGTGTAATGCCCAATTCAGCCGACGCTCTCCGGCAGAATCTCAGGGAAACGGCCAGAGGTCACGCCCATGGGACAGGGTGTGACCAGGCAAGAAAATCAGTCCCGTTACGTGCAGTGTGGAAAACAAAGCACAGATCATGTACCACTTAACCGCTGCGGAGCCTGTAAGATCAATAGATATTATTCAAAAGAATGTCAAGTAAAATACAGAACTGTGCATAAACCAGTTTGCATGGCTATACAGGAACTTGAGAAACAGAAAGCAGCCGGAGATGATGGCGATGATTTGAACACGACGTTTCCCTGCCACCTGACGCCAAGGCAGCAGCTCGGACTGACGAAAATCGTGGGACGGAGGTGCGTGGTAAAATGCCTAATTCAAGGAAAGGAAGTGGAGGCATTATGGGATACAGGTTCCCAGGTTTGTGTTGTGTCAAGGAAGTGGCAACAAACTCACTTACCGCTGGAGGTGTTAAGAAATGTTGAAGAGTTGTTGGGAGCAGGAGAAGAGTTGAATTTGGAAGCGATGAATGGGACAAACATTCCATTTGACGGTTGGATTGAGGTCGGGTTTAAGTTGGCTGGAGATGATACAACTGCTCATGAGCTGACAGTTCCAGTACTGGTGGGACAAAAGGAACAAGAGTACCCAATCATTGGCTTCAATGTTATAGAAGAAGTCCTCGCTCAACATGGTGGAAACCACCAAGCGGCAAGTAACATCATTCAGCAGTCATTCCCTTCAATTCATCATACTCGCGTAGGTACCCTGATCAATCTGATCCAGTCAAGAACACAGGATACCGGTACTGCAGCTGTTAAAGTCGGAAAGAGAGATGTTATGCTGCCAAAAGGAGAGGCAACGACAGTTAAGTGTCAAACTCACCTCGGACCAGTTCCAGAGGGGATGCCAGTAATATTTGAGCCCAAGGAAGACAGCGAGCTCCCAGACGGACTGGAATTGGGCGAGGAACTTACTAAAATAACCCCGGGAACCTCTAGTCACGTGGCCGTCGTGGTCCAAAACAATACAGACAGAAACATCTTGTTAAAGCGCAGAACAGAATTGGGCCGGATACACCTGGTAAAGTCAGTTCTACCAATTCCAAATACTCCCGACTCGTACTCTCGAGGAGACGAGAATTTTTACCCTGAAGCTACCTTGCATCCTGGTCAGGAACAAGATGGATGGGAGCCACCAGTTGACTTGAGTCAGCTAGAAGACAATGAACAATTGATCGTCCACGAAATGCTACGGCAAGAAGCTGGTGCCTTTGCAAGAAACGACGATGAGGTTGGCTGCGTGGAGAACTTGGTGCTTGATATCCAGTTAAAGGACAATGAGCCAGTACAGAAGAACTATATCTCCATCCCCAAGCCACTCTATGGGGAAGTGAAAGAGTACTTAGAAGACTTGATTAATCGAAATTGGATCTGCAAGTCCCGTTCGGCTTACTCCTCACCCATGGTCTGTGTTCGCAAAAAGGATGGAAGTCTGCGACTTTGTATTGATTATCGAGAATTGAACAAGAAAACATATCCAGAACGACAGCCGATTCCCCGTATACAGGATATCTTAAATGGCCTAGGCGGCAACAAATGGTTTACAGTTCTGGACCAAGGGAAGGCCTACCACCAAGGCTTTATGACAGAAGAAAGCCGCCCCCTGACTGCATTCGTGACCCCCTGGGGATTGTATCAATGGAATAGAATACCGTTTGGGCTAATGAATGCACCGGCGGCATTCCAAAGGTGCATGAATGAATGTCTAGATGGCTTACGTGACAACATCTGTATTCCCTACCTGGATGATGTCTTGGTGTATAGTAAGACCTTTGAGCAACACGTTCAGGATGTCCAACAAGTCCTGCGTCGACTGCAGGAACATGGGATAAAGTTAAAGCCATCAAAGTGCAAGTTCTTCCAACGACAAGTTAGATATTTGGGGCGGGTTGTTTCCGGCGATGGCTACTCTCTAGACCCAGAGGACACGGCTGCCGTACACAACTTGGCGAAACAGAAACCAGCAACAGTGGGTGATGTGCGTAAACTGCTAGGGTTCCTGAGTTACTACAGGCAATACATCCAGGATTTCTCACGCATAGCTAAGCCCCTGTACGATCTAATGGCTGGCCCTGATCTATTGGCTAATAATCATAAGGTAACATGGACAGAGGAACATCAGAAGCGGCTTGACATGCTGGTCGACCGACTGACTTCTCCTCCAGTGATGGCATTTCCCGACTTTACGAAGCCATTTGTACTTCACACAGACGCCTCGCAAGAGGGACTTGGAGCTGTATTGTATCAAGAACAGGACGGGAAGCTCAGAGTTCTAGGTTATGCCTCTAGGACACTAACTCCAGCAGAGAAAAATTACCACATGCACGCGGGAAAATTGGAGTTCCTTGCCCTCAAATGGGCAGTAACTGAGAAGTTCCGTGATTACTTGTACTACTCCACCTTCTTCACTGTTTACACCGACAACAATCCACTAACTTACATTCTGTCGTCAGCTAAGTTGTCTGCAGTAGGGCACCGGTGGGTGGCAGAACTGGCAGATTTTAATTTTAACATCAAGTATCGGCCTGGCAAATCTAACATTGACGCGGATGTACTATCCCGCCTACCGCTAGATTTCAGTGCATACATGGAAACCTGTATTGCAGAAATGGAAAAGGACGCAATTTGTGCAACAAGTCAAGCAGTGATCCATCAGGAAACAGACGCCACACCCTGGGTGGCAGCAGTTTCAGCAAGAGTTGGCATTGCTCACGCAGAACCGGGCGTCACAGATTTGGTTTTTCGCCAACTTACGTTAGAAGAAATATTAAGGGCTCAACGGGAAGACCCCGACATCTCACGAATCTTGGCCTACAAGAAACGGGGATATCCCCCATCAGGAGGAGAGCGGAAAAATGAGACTCGTACAACATCTTGCTACTTGAGAGCATGGAATAAACTCCATATATCAGCGGACGGGATCCTGTGGCGCCAAATTAAGAGTCGATTGCAGCTAGTATTACCTACAAAGTTTAAACAGTTGGTTTACCAAGAACTTCACATTGAAATGGGTCATCTGGGTGCAGATCGAGTGGTGGACTTAGCGAGATCTAGGTTCTATTGGCCTTACATGCAAGAGGAAATCGAGTATTTCATCGCCAACAAGTGTCACTGCATCCAGCAAAAGAAGCCCCAAATCTCCCCTAGAGCACCAATGGAGAGCATTACGACGACTGCCCCTTTTGAGATGGTGTCTATAGACTTTCTTCATTTGGAGAAAAGCCAACGGGGATTTGAATATATTTTGCTGATAGTAGATCACTTCACAAGGTTTGCACAGGCCTACCCAACCCGAAACAAGACAGCACGAACGGTGGCTGAAAAGATTTACAATGACTTTGTACCACGATTCGGATTCCCAGCCCGTATACACAGTGATCAAGGAGGAGAATTTGAGAACAATCTCTTCCATCAACTACATAAGTTGTCTGGCGTTTCCAAGTCTCGCACCAGCCCCTACCACCCTCAAGGGAATGGGCAAGTGGAGAGGATGAACCGCACGCTATTGTCTATGCTGCGAACACTCCCAGATTTGAAGAAACGAAAGTGGGATGAATCACTCAACAAGATGATCCACGCGTACAATTGCACTAAGCATGAGGCGACAGGATACGCTCCGTATTACTTGTTGTTTGGAAGAACACCCCGCCTGCCCATCGACCTGATTTTCAATTTGAATCAAGAGAGTGCAGAGGGAGATTATAACACTTACGTCCAAAACTGGCAGCATGATATGAAGGAGGCATACCGGATAGCTCAACAGAATGCAAAGAAGACTGCCGAGCGCGGCAAGCAATATTACAACAAGAGAGTCTCAGGTGGCGTTCTTCAGCCAGGCGATCGGGTGCTAGTTAGAAACTTAACAGAGCGCGGTGGACCCGGAAAATTACGATCCCATTGGGAGTGCGCTATCCACGTTGTGGTTGAACGAATGGGGGCTCAAAGCCCAGTCTACAAAGTTAAGCCCGAGAGTGGAGGTGGCCGCGCAAGAGTGCTTCACCGGAATTTACTACTGCCTTGTGACGCTTTGGAAGCAGATGCCCCAAACCTGGGATTTGGTACGCGACCCCCAAAAACAGCAGTAGAGAAACGACCTTTGTCTGTTTCGGGAAATGACCTACAGAATTCGGGGAAAGATGATGATGATTTCGGTAGTGTGGACCTTGTAGAGGAAATACCTACTGAAGTAAGAACTTCAAACTCAGTGTCTCCAGGACGCGATTTGCCTTCAGAGTCAATTGAGGATTCTGCGACTACTGAGGGCACCAATGGGCCATCCAGCGAAATACAACTTGCAAATGAAGGAAGTGCTGACAATGACGGATCAGGGGGAGAGGACATTGCTGAGCAGGACATGTGGACTCGGCCGCAGCGCCAAAGGAGACCGCCGCAGATCTTAACTTACAACTCCCTGGGAAATCCACAGTACCAGTCGGCTGAGCCAGTATTCAGCAGTTCACGCGTTAACGCCATTCAAACTCCAGCTATCACAGCTATTCATCCGGGAATACCCCTGTATTTCTGGGTGTGGCCATGCTGTTTCCAACCTGTCTACTACCCGAGGGCTTGAGAGGAGCCTCTTATAAGACCCAAACATTAAAAAAAAAAAAGAAAATCAAAAGCACGCAAGGTGCTGAAGGAGACAACGTCAAACAACAATTACAGTAGCTGCAGAGAACTCTGATAAATAGTTTTGTAATATTTAGAAGAACACTTTCATTTTCGGCGGGGAAGTGTGTAGAGTGCGTGACATGTTTTGTTGAGTTCATGAACCACAAAGGGTGTCGGGAAAAAAAAGAGAAAAGCATGTGCTCGGAGTTTTTCGAATAAATACAACCTTGTGTTTAATTAATCTGGTGATTTGAGTGTGTAACAATAACAGGGATTCATTTAGAAAAGTAAGTTTTTATGCATGTGCCACTGTCTCCTATGAGGTTTCGTTTAGTTTGGGGACCTCGCCCAAAGTTATGAATTTCATTTACTTCTCATTCGAGGTTATAACTAAATGTTCAGATCTGGCTATACGCGATTCCATCTTATGAAATTTCACACCAATAGTAAAAGATACAATTATACAGATACATGTAAAATATAAGACAGATATAAGAAATTAATTTTAAATGGACCAAATCAAAGGTTATTGCGCGTTGAAGAAGTCTTTAAGGCCTTACTTCAAAACTGCCTTGATCACAAACTAACAAAGGTCATGTCTGTTCTTGTAGTAAACAGAATAAATTCGCAAACAGGATCTACTGGGTAAGCTAGTGTTACCAGTGTATCTTGTATATTTGCCTTACAGCTATATCAGATAACCGCACTCTATGCGACACTGCGATAGTAAGAGTGATCATGACGATAATGAGGAGGAGAAAACTTCAAACGTATGCATTTCATTGCCGAATTACGAAGTGCTTCTTTAAGCGAGACAAGAACAAAGTCTTTCACAAACCGAAGTACCGTTTCTAATTACCAATTAGATTCCATGTAGGCGTGTGTCTGTTCTGTTATGTATGACGTCAAAATGTGGTAAGAACTTAAGTGTGGCACACGAAGCGCAGTCGAGTCTGGCACTGTTCTTTTTAGCACATTTTGACGTCTTCTGTGACTTATTACAGAACAGATTCACGGCAACATGGAATCTCTTTGTATTTACAATGAAGAAGCAAGATATTGTTAAATGGTGACGCCATCTATGCGTCTGTCCTCCATTAGATCATACAGAACAAATCAACATGCACATATAACTAAGCATAGCATAAAACACAAGATGGACAATCTGAACTAGAAGGATACAAAATTAGTTGAAAGATTAGCATAATTCCACATACACTTCTTCATTTTGTTTCTCGCCATTTTCTTTCTGAAACACCACATTGTAATATCCGGGGTTCTCGGGTTCTTCCTGTAACGACTGATGCTCAGTAGGAATATGAGACTCTTGGTTCGAAGACCTGAGTTTGAGTTCCGTATATAAGTCCGGGTCTGAAGCGTGCTGATCACGTCGCTGTTGATCAGGTGAAGATTTGACGCCATCAAAGTCAGTTTTTTCTTCACTCTGTGTCCTTTTATTGGGAACAGCTCGTCTCCGCTGCCATATCAGCCCACAAATTATAATGAGCAACACGACCACAATACAAGACAGCACCATTACACTAGCAAGGAAGATGCTTTGTGTATCTGGTGAAAGAAAACAAACGATTTTCAAACTAACTATCAGCTATCAACTATATTGCATATAGCTCTGTTTTGATTAAGTTACAACCGAACAGGCCAATTATGATATATGGAATGATCTACCTGTATTGCACATTATTATATCTTTCTAATTGAAGAAAGAAAATGTACCTTCATACCGAGAAACGTCGGCGTGTGAGACCACCACACAATATTGCTTTTGATACATAAATGGCTATACCAAACAACTGTAATTAGAAGCCCATAAACTCCACACTGGACTTCAAAGCTCTAGGCTTTCCAAAATTTTTTGAGAAGAAAATATTTAAGCACGTTCGAATATTAAGGAATATTTACCGTTTTGAGGGCATTTACCGCCATCATCTTCATTTTCCTTAGGAGAAAGCAGAGTGATTTTAAGCTCTGTTGACCCAAAGCTGTTTGTAGCGTGACACACATACTCCCCATAATCATGTGAACTCTGTGGCGTGACGATGATACTGTTATTCATGAACTTGATGCCATCACCAGTTGGAAACTGGTCATCTTTCGTCCAAGTGTAGTTAAACGGAATATAACTTGTTGCTTGACATGAAAGAAAACACGGACTTTGCTTTTCACATATCACTGAGGAAGGGGAAAATTCTTCGATAATTCTGGGTGGCACTGTGCGAAAAAAGAGAAAAACGAAATGATAGCAAAACAAATTCAGACAAAATCATGCTCGTGACAACAGAGCAAAGGTGTAAAAAACATGTGGGAACACTACTAGGATCTATTATTTGGTTTGCGCGCTGAGTGGTGGTTTGTTTGGTTGTTATCAGTGTTGTTTTATTTCTTTCACCCTTAAACTACAATTTTCTAATATTTGGTTAGTACTCAGTACACACATTAATTCATCAATGACTTGTTAATAAGTGGCTGGAGTAAGGTTGAGACCAGTTGCCATGGTGATTGTCGTGATGCTTAGAAGAACCATGATTAGTCATTCATTTTGGTAGAGGTGGGCAATTTCTGTAACTTAAAATAATAAAAAAATACTCTTACTCCTTCACAGACTTATTTCACGAAAGGAAATGCAAATGTTATTGTTACCCAATATCCAATGCAAATGTGACAAACTTTCTACGTACCAGCGACAATCACTATCGTAGCAGTTCGGCTCTCTCCAAACATGTTCATTGCTTTACACTCATAAACGCCACTGTCACCAGGAACAACATCCCTTATAATAAGTATTTTCTCGTTGTTCTCGAACTGAGCGCGAGGTATACTGCTTAGTCCATCTTTGGTCCAGGTAACAGAAGCATTAGCGTCTCCACTAACCTCACAAGTCAACATTGCCAGTTTGCCAATTTCTGTAACAGTTGTCTTTGGGAGACCTTTGATGATAGGTTTACCTGAGTTGTTATAAACATGGATTATTTTTTCCTTAACAAATAACAAGGCACAAATACAGCAGTAAGGCTTTGCAGCCTATCCCTTCCCGACTAAAAAATAATTTAAAAGCACCTCGGTTGAGAAGAAACTTACAAACTCTGAAAGAAAACCAACAGAGCATGAAAGTCTCATACCAATAAAGAAACTCACAGACTACATTGAGCTAACTTTGGTTGCTGAATGCTAGATGCCTCTGAAAAAGGAAAAGTATACCAAAAAAGACATTCAAAACATCAATACCTTTGGTGTCGATGTCTATAAAGTTACTGGAGACATAAACCGTCTGCAAAATACAACCACAAAAAACCAATTATTCATCTGTAACCTTTTGCTGCGTTTGGGTATGGTGTGGTGACTTAGACCTCTTCAGCATCTCAAGTCTACTAAAAGCTGCTGTTATAGCACTGCATTCACTAAGACCAAAGAGCTGGTAAACAACGGCAAGAAAATAGCTTAGGAGGGGAAAATTCCGGAGACATCTGGGTGCAGACTCGGAGTAAGCGAATGCAAGAACCTTAAAACCATGGGTCAATTTTGTCACTAAGTTCTTACACTGAATTCATACTACATCCCTCTCTTATGACAAAAGTTTTTTTCGAGTACCTCGGAAACAAAAGCCCTGAGGAACACTTTGTAGTTTGTATTCAGCTGCAGAGGTTTGTTGTAATAAAAGTGATCACCACTACTTCTCTTATTCCTTTCTTTACTGCTGGATTCCGTTTCGTCTCCTACAACAAATTCTCGATTTTTATCAAAGTCACTTCCGTTAAACTGAAAAGCGACATAAGCAGCAGGAACTGCAGATTTGTGCGCTTTTTCATACGTCATCATGTCTTGTGTTGTAAATCTTTCCGGTGGGTTTACAGCACCAGTATAGTTTGAGCTATATGTAATGATGATAACTTGGAAAAACCTGCAAGATACGTTACATGATATTTTTTATGTCAACAGTATCTTGTAGTGTCATTTGTTACTTATATTTTCTTCCGCATTAGCACATAGCAATGCACAAGATGTCTCATGACGATAACCGTAAAAAGAAAATGAACTTTATGTTACCCCTTGAATATTGTAAAATAGGAATACAGCCAAAATTAGCGTGAAGTTGCTTAGTCAATCGTACCTTGCATTTCCAGGAAAATGGGGAAGCGTGACTTTAACTGAAATTCCTCCTTCATTTGATTTTGCAGAAAACGTAGGTGAAGATGGCGTTTCTTTAGACCAAACCGCAGCTGGAGAGAAGTGAAAGAAGGCTTTGAAAAACATTTTGCGTTATATATATTTATCAGTTCTTACTCTGAAGGAAAATGATGAGGTTACATTTATGTTTTTATCACACACTCAAAGAGATCTTTAATCACTTGCCTTCGCTCGAAACCTACATACTTTTTCAGTGCTTCCCACACTTTCTCACAAGTTTTTCCACCTTTCAGTTCTACTCCCTCCCTGAAAATTGCCTCATTACAACTGCTTACAGACTTCCTTACCCAATGTCTGCACCATTACAGGGTTGCTGTAGGGTCCAGGCCCCACAACAGTGTATCCTCTAACAGACACCTCATACTTGGCACACAAAGAGATTCCAGTCACGATAACATAAGTGGTGGTCGCGTTAATGGTTGAATTATAGGAAGACTTGATCGCTGTACAGTTTTCTACTACACTGAGCCTAACTTCGTAGTTTATGATAATGCCATTGGCTACTTCTCTTGACAGTCCACGCCAAGTTATATTGAATTTTGCGGAGCTCACTGCAGAGGAAGATATATCTTCTGGTCCATGACTGGGCTCTATTTGATAAAAAAGGGAAAATAATTAAAAATTTATAACTACTCTTGGGTGAAAAGCTAATCTGACGCGAAATAGAATTACACAATCATAGTCTCAAAATACATGTAATAGATATATCGCAATGATTCGATTGAGCGTCCTCATCCTAATAAGCACTCCCTATTTAATAACCGCACCCCTCGAAGTTATTTTTGTTTATAACCGCCCCTATTCTAATGAGCGCCCCTATTAAGTGAGCACCCTTATTCAATTAAGTGCTAAAATAGGGACGCAGAGTTAAGAAATGCAAATTGTGCATTTGTAGTTCTGCAAGCATAGCATAGCGCTCCAGGTTGGGACTTTTTTGGTCGCCATGGCAAGTGAAAAATATATCTCGCGAATAAACATGACAAAAATCGCCAATTGACGACCAACAGACCAAAAAAAAAAGGGGGGGGGAAGAAAAACGTTCAGTTACTCCCAAATATGCATAAACCTGAAATGTGTAGAACCAAGTCGAATTGATTTCGTTGAGATAAACTTAATTTCATATTTTTATATTACGTGCAGCACTTAGCCCTAAGTCTCAACTTTGCATTAAGAAGTATGGTGACTAAATATCAAGTGTTTCAAGACGTTACTTACAATTTGGAAGGTTTAAATAAAATATTTCATTTCACTTTAAATAAGAAATATTTCTCGGCTGAGCAGTAAGTAGACCGAAATCTTATTTTACAAACACGATTAATATTTTGTTACTCGGTCTCAGAAACTTTTCGGTGAATCGTTCTGCTTCCAGACATCACAGTTTCTTCATTCTCTCTTTCTTGACCGTTTTTACAATCGTTTAATCTGCACGGGATAAAACTTACCTAGTAAAGTTGGCGAATGAAAGTGTTATGATCGCATCATTTGGCTCACTACCTATCACGTATCATATACGGTAGTGGAACACTACAATGTTTGTAAGCGGGGGGAAGGGGAGAAAAGGCGATCAAATTTTTGTATGACCATTTTACAGTTGAAGGTCGCCAAAAGGCGACTTTTTGAAAAATTGAACTTAGAGCCCCTGTGACAAGAGCCTTTCGGTGAGACAAAAATACAACATGGCATGTTTTAACAGCGTATGCCACATGTACATAGGCGAATTTGCTGTTCGTAAAAATGCTATAATTTAAGAAAACTGATTGCCATAAAATGGACACATTTCAAGTTAAATGAGACATTATATGTATTTTACTTTAATTTGTGTGCCTAGTTACGATCGTAGTTACAATGTTTATCTTTTCCCTATTGGTTTTATCACTTTTAACAGTGCCACCACCCCACTTAAATGGCCTTCTCACTCACTAGAGCCTTCTTCAAATTGGACATTTAATGCATGCACAGGAACAGGTGTATTTCTAAAATTACATGTTGGGAATATAATTTGTGTTAAGATCTATCACATCAGAGATATGGCAAACAAACACATTGAACAAGTTTTCTAAAGACTGTTTGATCTCTTCTTTTGGGTTAAATACCATTCTATTGAGACATTTGTAGCATCCATAAACTTCTGAATTTTATAAAAATAGATAGATTCCTATTTCTTACCCGCCTCCTTTGTTTTCTCATAAACAACTGTACTTTTTGGTCCATCCCCAACAGAAGTGAATGCCAATATTTGAAATTCATATTCTGTGTACTTATCAAGCCTAGTGACCTCTTGAGAGCGAGTTGCTTGACTGTTAATGGGCTGCATGCTTGCTAGCCCTAATGAGCCTTTCTTTTTGTAGAACAATTTATATCCTGTGATGATTCCATTTCTGGAGTCTTTTGGTGGTAACTGCCAGGATGCTGTAATACTTGTAGAAGTGTTTGCAGCTAGAGTAAAGCCACTAGGCGGCAGTGAAGGAACTGCAATTGAGAAGTTGCATATGGTTATATAAGAAATGATAACAATCATAGCGATAAACAGAGTCATTATGATTATCATCTTATTATTTTTAATCAAATAATTACTTAATAGCAGCAACCAGTAAACGAACGCTATCACTCTTGTGATCTCTCCGTCTTTACTACGAACTGAGAGTTTTGTTCTGAGCGTCCAGTTCGTATGTTTTAATACTTCTGTCATAGCCATTCTGGAAAGCCAAGTCTTCCAGACTCTTAGCCAGTTGTTTGTGCTAGATGGATTTTTCCTTTTCGAGCACTCTCCTTCAAACTTTGAATTAAAACGTTGTTACTTTCTGCCGACCAGCCGCCATTTATGAAATTCTTGTAAATCAATTTAATTTCAACTTTTTCTTACTTAATTTCAACTATCTGCACTGTTGGAGATAAATTGACGTGTTGTCGACCAATTAGGTGGGTAATTTATGTTGAAAATATGCCATATTCGGCAGTGGTCTTGAGGTTAATATAAAGAATCTGATTATATTTTTGCTCCTATTTGTAGAATGCCTCTTCCAGTGAGGAACACAAATTTGAATCAGAATATCAGTGCCGTGTTTTTTGTGTTTGTGTTTTTTTTTTAATATTAATGCCACTTAGGAACAAGTGAAAGAAGAAAAAAAAGGCAGACTCAAATCCAAAAAATTCTTATAAATTTGCAACGCAGTTAAGCAGCTGAGGGCACACCATCTAGGTCCAAATCCAGAGGAAGGCAACCAATAACAACAGCCAATATAATTGTTAATATTCAATTGCATGCTTGTAATTTCATGAGTAAATAGTCATGATTTGATGGCCAATCAGAATGCTTACACTGTATTAGTTATCTACAATGACTCACTGATATAACGATATGTTAAATCATGGTTATTAAAATTGCATATTGCATAATTATAGATTTTCATTTTTCACATCACATCAGAAAACTGTATAAGAAGGGTAAGTGTATCTGACCTTTTAGTAAAAAGTCATAACATTTTTAGAAGATAAAACAAAAAGGTACTCTAACCATCTTCTTTTGTTCTCTCAACAACAACAGAGCTGTTTACGCCATCACCAGCAGAAGTAAAGGCCAACACTTGAAATTCATACTCTGTGTACTCATAAAGCCCATTGACATTTTTGTTTAAAGCTGATTCACTGTCGATAAAAAGAATGGTGCCTGAGCCTGACGAGTCTTTCCTTTTGTAAAACAATTTGAATCCTTTAATTATTCCATTCCTGGAGTTTGCTGGTGGTAGTTGCCATGATGCTGTTAAACCAGTAGAGGAGGTTGGAGTGACATTGAAGTTAGATGGAGGTTGTGAAGGAGCTGCAATTGAGCAGTAGTGTTTTCTATTAGTTTTATTTGCTGTAAAAATTTTTCAAAACTTCTATCACATCTTAACTTGCCACATGAATATAAATGCTGTTGTGGTTTGGTAAACTAAAGTAATCAATTTATTCTAAACTATTCAATTGTTTAGCCTTCTCATTATGAGATTGGTATCCAATAAACCTGTAATGCAGATCCAAATTCAGAAAATATGGTTCACATACCATCTTCCATTGTTCTTTTCACTTTCACTAAACTTTTTGGTCCATCACCATCAGAAGTGAAGGCCAAAACTTGAAATTCATATTCTGTGTACTTATTAAGCCCACTGACAGTTCTATTTAATGTTGCTCCATCGCTAATAGTCAAGGTTGTTGCTGACCCAGCAGAACCTTTCTTTTTGTAAAACAATTTAAACCCTGCAATGTTTCCATGTCTGGCAAAGACTGGTGGTAACTGCCAAGAAGCTGTGATGCTGGCAGAAGAGCTCGCAGTCAACTGGAAGGCAGTGGGAGGTTTTGATGGAACTGTATTAACAACAAGAGATGTATGCTTGAATTCACAGATGATAATTGATGGGAAGTTCAAAAAGGAACATGTCATTAACCACCATGGTAAACCTAATAGGCAGTCTATATTGATTAAAAGCAGTGTGGAGGATCACCTGGAGTGATGACTTTGTTTGTCCATTAACCATACTTTCCCCATGATGTTCTTTATGATTTAGACTTCACGACTTTGTTGATAACATTTGACAACATTTCACAGCCATCTCCAACATTTACTTTTGATATTCATCAATAACAATGCCCTCATAAATGTAAATTACCCAATCCTGCCTTAATTTCCCTTATATTTACTTATTGTGACTTCATTTTGTACCAAGGGGACAAAAATGAGAGCAAATAAATACCTTTAGTCAAAAGTATTCCATAAGCCTCCACCCTCAGAACCTTGAACCTATTATACTTTGTTGGCAGAAAGCGTATAAACTTTGCACTTGCAAATTCCTTTAGACTGTTTTTCACTGTGTCAGTTTTTCCTGAATTTCCTGGAAAGGCCTGTTATACAAAAGGTGATAGTGATGTATTGAAACTTGGCATTGGTTATAGTTTACTGTTATTTGGGAAATGAGATCAAATTAAAATCTGCAATTTGCAAATCAGTGAAAATCTGTAATTTGTAAAATAAAAATCTGTAACTTGGAAAAAGAACACAACATGAGAATCTAGCTGTAATGTGCAGCCCATTGTCTGCATACATCATAGGTTAAAAACTAAAGAGCTTGAGATAATTCAGCAAGTCTTTTGAAGAGGACCAAGGATTGTACCTTGAGGAATACCACAAGTTAGATAATGACTATCAGAGAGATCGCAACAATTTTATTCTCTATCTTTACATTTTGTGGTAATTTTTTTAAAAAGTGTGATTGAATAGTTAGAATTAGTCAGTGTTTGCTACATCTTTGTACACTCGTACTCTTATGAAAGTGCATATTTAACTAATAAACTATATGCTTTTGGGTGTGTGTACTCCATATTGATCATGTACATGTACATGTAATTGATAAAAAAATGTCACTATTAATTCTTGAAAGTAATGTCAATATGGTTTGTAAGCAACATAGTTATATTGTGAGTAATGTTAGCATTGGTGAATATTGTTGATATTCTATAACATATATGAGCAAATTTGTTGTTCTTGTGAGTAGCTTTAATTTTGTACCACAGGTTTTAATTTTTGCTCTTATGAATAATTGTATATAACAGCATGACATACCAACCTTGTCAATTTTATTTTCTTTATAAGGGAAAAAAGGAGTACCATGGAGAGAAAATCTTAGTTTGTACTCTGTGGTCCATTCTTGAGCACCTACAGATTGGGTTGGTGGATTTCCTTGAGTAGCAACAGCACAGATAACATACTCATAGAGAAGGTCAATTTGTAGGTAGTCATCAGGATCAGTAGTAGTCTTAGGTTCCCATGCCCCTCTTCCATTAAGACGACCATGTTTAGCTGCATATTTGGGGGCAAATATTGAACTGGCTGAGAAGCTGTCATCTGGAATTCTACCACCGCTGGCCAAACCAATTGCCTGTGAATCACATGCTGCAAGGTAACAATTTTAAAGTTAACCTTCACATCGTGCCATATTGCATGGATGTTTTTCAGTGTAATTAATTGAATACACTTCTAAACAATCTGAAGAATATCATTACAAAAATACAGGAAAAAGGAATGGAAAAAAAGTCATGAAGCCATAACTGTTTACAAAATAGCAAAATGAATGTTGCAAACAGCTGTCATAAAATAATGGGCTATGCTAGTCATAAAAAGTGATTGCTCAGAATGGATTCCTAACTTTTCTTACTTTGAGGAACTCTATGCACCCATGCAATGTTACCAAGGAGTTTGTGGTAGATTGGAACTTTTCCTACAATCCTCTGCTTGTAACCCTAAAGGGTCAGACAATAAAACTATCCACCACTATATAAGAAGCAGAAATTGGTGCATCCAGTCACCTGGAATTGCTTAAGTGATAAGCTGGTTTATTTTCCTCAAGTGCTCAAAGAGTGGTTTGTATCATGAAAGCTACTTTCCAAATAACAGTTAATAACAAACCACTAGGTTTGGAACCTTTGTTCATAGATTAACAAATGCAAGGATCAGATCACACAAAAGTTCTTAAACTTACTTGGTTTCTGTTGCACTCCAAACACCTCTGTTCTCATACACACCTCAGCCTGGTGTGTTTGCGGTAGGAATCGCAAATATCTTGTTAACACTCCATATAGAACGTGTTTGACATTTGAGTTTCTATCCTTATTTCCCTCTAAAGCCTTAGAAAATAATCATATCTCATCAAAGAGTTCCAGGTAGATTATACAATGTAACTATAATTTTAACTCCATCGTGCCGAAAGTAATCATCATTACTTTACGTCTTGTTCTAAGACAAGAAATACTTTTACTGTTGTCACAATGGTCAGGCTAGGTGGTTAAATTAATCTTCATACAAACAGAAAAATATAAATATAGGTGTAGGAATAAGGCCTAACATTTATGGAAGAGGTCCATATGGACAGAGTAACTAAGTATACACGAATAAATCATAATTTGACCAATGGATTATAAAAAATAGCACACTGACCCTCAAAGGTGAACTCTATCTAATTTCTACATCATTTGTTCAGCACTCCTTTGACAAGCTATTTCACACCATAAATATTTGTTTGAATGACGTAGTTCAAAACAATTTGTTAGATTCCCAGTCTAATTCTACATGGTACTCTTTCTGCAGCTTTGACCACCAATTTGGGCATGCAAAATATCATTTGATGAATGAAAAATATTTACTCAAAATTTATGATATTTGCTGAGCATGAGGAGAATACTTTTTGAACAAATAATCAAATAAATGAATCAATAATCAAAAAACAATAATCAACAAACAAATAATTGTCTGCATACCTATAACTCCTTTAGTGGCCAATTTGTTATAAATTTGTCCATATCATCAAAACTCAGGGACACTGATTGAGAAAAGATATAATATAATTCTCAACCAGCCCATGTGGCATACCTTAGCCTGTCCACCTAATTCTTTATAGTCTGTCCAAGTTATCCCATCTGTGGATAATTGTAGGGTGTAGGTCTTCACCCACTGATCTGCTTGAGAATTCCCTTGGGTGGACACAGCACAGATGATATGAAGTGTCCTTAGATCAATCTGTAGGTATGGGTTAGTGTCATTTGTTCCTGCGCACCATGATGACCCTGATGTAAAGTTCAATCGACCATTCCTGGCTGGTGTGTTGGCACTCTGTTCAGAGGAGGCAGCTATCTCACTGTCTGAGATTGCTCCACTTCCCATTCCAAGATCTAAATCAACACAGGCCCCTACAGAAACAAAATTTACCTTTGCATCATGGCAAAGTCTTAGTAATTATTGTCATGAGCATAATGGTGGAATGTGAGAAGTAATGAATCCTTTGATCTATCTACTGAATACCTCTAATAAAAGGTCCATGTCACAGATAGTAACAGTTAGGACTGGCCTAATTACAAAAATATCAATCAAAACTATAACAACATTTTCACATGTGATTGGTTTTTACCAGCTGTATTTGAGCACTTATAGGACAGTGTACATGTCATGCTTGTAATTGGACTGTGTAATAGGACTGTTGACTAGTCATGCCTGTGGATCTGATCAAATTGCAGCATGGAAATACATTGGATGTCATTTCTGAAGGTGTCCATCTTAGAGAAAAAAAGGAAAGATTTTAGTTTCTAGAGAAACTGTTGTGGTGCACTGAAGGGTAATTGAAGCAACTTTTTAAGAAAAGTAGATACACTGTCATATTAAACTTACGAGAGAATTGGGTTTTTATACTGTACTTAGAGCAAAGAGAAGTAGACTTTTGGTGTAGATGCACAGTTTCTGGTAGACAGGAACGTACAGGCAGATCGATCCAACTGCCCTAGCTGAGTTAACTGATTTATGCTGGAAATTGGCAATTATTGGCATAATCCACAATGATTCATCCATACTTCATTAAGAATACAGTTCTTTAGATTTCTTTGATGAAAGAAACAATGTCAAAAACTATAGACTATCTCAGGAACTATCTTTGTTTACGAATAGTACCGCCCTTGATGGAAATTTCTCTAGCTTTGTTTTAGGATAGTACCGCCGTTGATGGAAATTTCTCTAGCTTTGTTTTAGAATAGTACCGCCGTTGATGGAAGTCTCTCTAGCTTTGTTTTAGAATAAACGGAAATGTTTCCACTGAATTGTATATCAGAAATTAATTTCCAAAAAGTTATTTCGCCTGAAATTGAAACAAATGTCACGACCCTGTAGTTTCGTTTAATCATGACAGATTTAGAACCGTCTTTCTATTTGCTGCATAATTTATGGTTTAATTTCACTTTTGTTTATTTCTCCATGCTTCCAAATTGAGCTTGATATAAAGTGGATAGATTAAAAATGTACCATTCGTTTAAAGATGATATTTAAAGAGTAAATAAATAAATAGGCGAATTCCGATAGATCCTATCTGCATTGACAATTAAGCCGCGACCGTGAGAGAAAGCCTGAGGCTACAGAACTCAAAACTGAAAGAAATCTGAATGTAAATTGTAAAATAAAAATAAAAATAAACCTTTCTTATAGAACTGAAATGATATAGCGCTCACCTGAGGTCAAAGGAAGAAATACAGCGAGAAAAGCTACCCGGAAACAAAGATAAAATTGCGCCATGTGTTTCGATTGAGTTTGTCACGGTATGCGTGTATCACGATCGTTTTGCTTGACCGGTCTTTTGTGACAGGAATCTTATCCGAAAAGAGATGTCTTTGTTTCTTCACTCTTTAAACTTGGCTTTGTTTGATTTGTAGCAATATCGTCCGCAGTTCAAGCAAAACAATCTGTCACTTCGTTGGCCGAGTATTTACGTTTGTTCACATTTCCCAGAATGCCGTAGGCTGTAGCTCATATTTCAGCATCTTTCAGTTCAATTATTCTGAATTCGTGTACTTCCGTGACAATACTTAGCAAGCAATACTAGTACTGCTTTGGTACAAGTAGTACTAAAACAACTGAAAAACTGGATCTAGCTTGGTATTCTATGACTAACTGTGATTTTAAAGGCGGGAACGGGATGAACAGTCAGACTTAAGGACTAATGCAATATCTTGAAGTGTTACAAGCTAAAGGATAGTCATATTAAAGTCATAATAAAGGGCGGATAACTCCATCTTAACAAATAAACCGCCATCCAGTGGAAAAGTGATAACAAAACTTAATTCGCTATTTACCAAATAGAGACTTATCCACTGGATAGTATTATCTACCCCTCGAACAATTGGGTCCTGCTCAATATTCTCCATATAAGGTAAAAAGTTCGGTTTAAAAAGTCATACGCATGGTTTCCTACGGCGGTGCTGCTCGCATCAAACGCGCATGGAAAGTCCTATGTCAAAGATAATAAAGTACTCCGTCAAACGTAAAAAAGAAGAAAAAGTGTTGGTTTGCAAGTCGAATCACTCTGCATAATGGCTCCTACAGATCTCGCTACACAGCACAGTTGATATATCCTGCATACCATTCAAAAACAAAAACAAACAAACAACAAAACAAGGTAATGAAACATGATACCGTAAAAGAATGAGAAAACAATCAAGGAAATAAATTATGATTACCCCAGGTACAGCTTCAAGGAAGGGTGCTTATTGGAAGAAAAGCGCTCAATCAAGGGGCTGTACAGAATCAGCTGTAATTGAAGTTTTAAAAGTTATCGGTAAAGTTTCAATAGAAACAGGTTTTTTTTCTCGTATCCCTACCATTTAACTAAGAAAGAAAGGAAGGAGGGAGGGGGAGGGGGTGCCTATTCGAGGATGTCACGGAATGCTATCACGATTGTTTTGCTTGACTAGCCGTTTTGAACAGAGAGTTCATCGGAAGAAAGATGTCTTTGTTCACTCCATATCTTACTTCGTCTTAGCATAGCAGTATCGTCCGTGGTGGTAGCGAAACAAGCATAGTCCCAGTTCAGGTATTATCGTTCCGTATTAAACAAGATGGCAGCGAATGACTGAGGAAGAATTAATTGATACTTCCCAGCAAGCTTGCGCTGTAACTCATATTTCCGCATAATTCAGCCGAGTTTCTGTTTAAAGCTCGCAGCAGTTTGTTTTCATAAGCAGCTTACGTTGATGTGGCTTCTTTGCCACTAAGAAGTGTGTTGAAGCGTCAGGAAACATGTTCTTATACACAGGGGAGAGCAGTTAAAATTTAACGAGGCTATCAAATTAAACTTTTGCGAGAAAACTCTTCCACGTCTCCATATGTGCAATTAATGATTTAAGTAAATGTTTTTATTTTAACGGTACAAACTTATATTTATAGAAGCAATGTTCTCTTCTTTACGGTACAATAATTTTTTAATGTCTTACTAGCTCGTTGAATTAGTTATTAAGCTGCAAGAGAGTTCTTAATAACCTGTTATTGTTTAAGTCGACTGATAGACCACAAGAGACTTTTAAAAAGCTGCCTTTAAAAATTGAAATGCTACTAAGGGAAGGATGGCCATGGAGAACATTTTACCCCTCCCCGGTCTTGCGAAGTTCCATATCTAAGAAAATGAAGTCAATATCCTGCGTACTCAGCGCTGGACATTGTTAAAACATGATAAGTTGATGGACGGTGAATATTTATCAGGTGAAGCTCCGAAGCAAACAATACATTGAATGAATGCAGTTTTGTGGTTGATGTCAAGTTTTGGAAATCAAAGGGAAATGCTATTTCATGAAAAGTGAACAGAGAAAAAATAATATTGGAAAAAAAATTTTAAAAAAACTGAGACGGTAAGTCAGGGTCAAACACAACTTATCAAAAAATTTTATTCCACAATCTACAACTATTTTGTTCCTTATGCACATTTTCGTCACTTAGTTATGATTTTTATTCCTTATATGGCCTTTAATTACTCAATTACAATCTTTCCCAAGCGTATTATTCCATCCATACTCTAGTATCTGAAAATATTTGATCGCTCGAAAACACTATTATCTCCTATTATGTTAATATGAAAAAAATCAGTTGTAGAATTGACTTATTTCCTCATAAACTTCTTCATTTTGTTTCTCATTGCTTTCTTCGTGAATTGTCACATTGTAATAGGCAGCGGTCCCTGCTTCCTCCTCAAAGGACTCGTACTCATTAGGTACATGACACTGTCCGTTCGGAGGCGTGGGTTTAGGTTCCGCATATGAACAAGGATCTGAAGCAAGTTGATCACGTTGCTGTTTATCACGTGAGCGGTCGAAGCCATCGACGCCAGCTTCCTCTTCAGGCTTTTTGCTTTCACTAGGAACAGCTCGTCTCCGATGCCATATCAGTCCACAAATTATAATGAGCAACACAACCACAATGCAAGACAATGCAATGGCACAAGCAAGGAAGATGCTATATGTACCTTACATAGGAAAACCAACATACTGTCAAACACTAAAACCAAAAGTTAATTCAAGATGCAAACTAAGATTTAAGTTTTAAGTTCAAAATGGAGTTTGAGCACTAACAATAGATTTAAACTCAGTGAAATCTCGTATCAACTATTTTCCTTCTACGCGAATCAAGTTTCCCAGGTGAGTATAGACACAGAATTCAACATTGAGCCTAAGTATAAAAGGTTTTCATGAGTGGCTTGGTGTTTTTGATAAGTTCATGAACAGAGGTGTGTCTTATTTTAGCCACTTGAATCCAAGTTACAAGAACACGTCACCAAAATAACACAGTCAGCGGATTTCAAAAACTTGTTTCAAGATAAGCAGAGTACCTTAGACTGGCCTTCAATTTAAGGGGATGTCTGATAATATACATGCATCATTACGGATTACTTCCATACTCACTTGGTTTTTGTTTCGCTCCAAACACCTCTGTTCTCATACACACCCTGCCCTGGTGATTTTGTGGCAGGAAACGCAAATATCTTGATAACACTCCATAAACAACATGCTTAACACTTGAGTTTCCATCATTATTTCCTTGTAAAACCTTTAAAAAGTAAGATAACCATTTCCGATTAGCACATTCCTTGTTGACAAGAAAATAGGAGACGAATAATCATGAAACTCTTCCTAGTATGTCGAATGTAAGTAAGCCATCTCACCCTTCTTTTTGAATGAAAGACAACTTTTAAACGTGCGGATGACCGGAGGCAAGGTAGGCTCATCATTCTTTCACAAAATAAAAAGAATTCAGCTTGCCATTTTATAAAAATGGTCCCTATCAGCAGGGTAATAATATTGTAATACTCCCATCTGGATGACAGCAGTCTCTAAGTTGCTCAAGCTTCAGCTTGATTATTCACTATCGTTTGTTTCTAAACCATATAAAAATTTAGGAGTGGCCACTTTGAAAGATAAATTTTGGAAAGGAGTTCAGCTTCTGCAAACCATGTAAGCCATATAATACAGTGACTTAAAACCCGCTTTCCAGCGGTGAAAAAGGATTGCGAATTTTTTTCGTATCTCAAGCAATTCAAGTGTATTGTCATCTGTTTGTACAATGAAGTGAATTCCTGCATGCTATGGAGATTTGATGCCATAATAAAACTCATTACATGTTAACTTACCGTTCTTACGGAAAACTTTCTGAATAAAGAACGCATCGTATACCTTAACTTTTCCGCCTTCCTTATAGTCCGTCCAATTCTCACCATCTATTGATAATTGTAGTTTGTAGTTCTTCACCCAATGATCTCCTTGAGAATTCCCTTGAGTGGACACAGCGCAGATGATATAAAGTGTCTGTAGGTCAATTTGTAGATATGGGTTGGTGTCACTTGTTCCTGCACACCATGATGATCCTGATGAGTAGTTCAGTCGACCATTCTTGGCTGGTGTGTTGGCACTTTGCTCTGAAGAAGCAGTTATTTCATTGTCAGGAATTGTTCCATTTCCCACTCCAAGATCCAAATCAACACATATTCCTATAGAAACAAAATTCATACTCTAATTTACGCGCATTTATTACTATAATTATAACAAGGGCACAAGAGTGACTACCGAATATTCACTTTGGACGGCCAATTCACTTCAGGTCAGTCTGCTGCTGAAAGTCGTTTTTAATTTTCATTTAAGTCACATGGGGATCTCCTCGAGATGGGATCTTTTAGAAGCATCATGAATGATTATAATGAAAATTACATAGCTTCGCTTACCTGAGGCCAAGACAAAAATCAAAGCAAGCAAAGCGACGCGGAAATATAACTTATGATCAAATCCGGACATGTTATTCAGTTAATAACTGGAAGCAATCAGACTGTGTTCTGTTTAGCATGTACTTCCGTTCGTTTAATAAAGGTGGTTAGTGCCGGGGGGATTTCCTGTCCAAGTGCGAATCACAAATCTTAACTCACGGTCAATATGGACATCTAATTGGTCAGCTAATTACAGTGACGTCAGTCGTTGACGCTTCATAGGAGCTTCATACGACACCGTAAATATTTAGAATCATTCATCGAGAAATGTAGCGATTACTAACAATGCAAGAAAAAACAAAACATAGTCACAAAAAGCGACATAAGTGGTTTATACCTTTTACTGAAAATACTTCAGTACTCAATGGTTCTTTTCGTCTACTTCACGGTATGTTTGCGATCTTGTACCCCATTTATTTATTTAGGAGGTAAAAGTAATGAATTCATTTGTCCGCCATTGATAGAAATAGTTAAGTGTCTCATAACTCTGTCTTTCAGACATCGTTGCCATATTTTCCCCGTTGCTAAGTCAGCGCCAGGAAGTTTCTAATATTTGGCACGCTTCCCGTGAAGCTTTCACGAAACAATTTTTTCCTTTTATAGGAAGACTTAGTTTTATTATTCTTTCAAGCTAGAATCACGAATGCGACAGTTCATTGACCCTTTTAACTACTTCTTGGTACCGGAATGTGAGCCAAATGCAATTATGAAGAGAGTACATGTCTCGACATGTACTAAACTGAATCTATGAATTAAACATTACTCTTTGACAACAGAGTCACGGAGGCAGAATATTGAATCCGACAGCTTACCACTCTTATCTGTTCGGATGCAAAGTCCCATAGCTAAGAAAATAAAGTACCCTATTAAACGTAAAAAAATGGCTTCCAAATATTGCAGATCAAATAGTATTCAGATCATTCGCTTAAGTGATGGCTTGCAAGTAAAACTTGGCCAGAGAGAGTGAAGTCGAATCACTCTGAATAATGGACTCCTACAAATTCTGCTACACAATACAGTTGATATATTCTGCATACCACTCTTAAACACAAGCAATCAAACAACAAAACAAGGTAATAATACATGATATCATTAATTAATCTTAAAAGTTATCGGTAAAAAGGCAAAAGAAACAAGTTTTCCTCGTATCCCTACCATTTAATTAAGGAAGAAAGGAAGGGTGCTTATTCGAGGGTGTCACTGAATGCCATCACGATTATTTTGCTTGAATGGATTTTGTAAGAGAAAGCTCATCCGAAAAAAAGATGTCTTTGTTCACTCTCTATTTTAGTTCGTCTTAGCATAGCAGTATCGTCCGTGGTGGTAGCGAAACAGTCATGCTCCCAGTTCGGGTATTATCGTTCAGCATCAAACAAGATGACAGCGAATGACGGATGAAGAATTAAGAGGCTCTCTCTCTTATTTCCACCCGGTCAATTTCGCGTCAAAAATAATTTTGCCTGAAACTCTGTCAACAGAAAGACTTTACCTATGAAAGAACTAAATTAGATTTGGTTTGATTCGAAATAAATTTCTGACTGCATTAGGGGCCATAATGATTTCCCAGTCCGTAGGGACCGTCGCAACGTCTCGGAAATTGAAAAATAGGCATATTTTGTAACATTGTAAAATACTTGATTCGCATAGTTAAGCCAAAGAATTTACATCAGATTGCTTAAAAACCTGTCTAGTTTACCAAGAAAGTTAGAATTTTCCCTCTCAATATATTTGAAAAGGCGAATTTTAGCATATTCTGACCACTAGAAATTGCCGTCAGCCGATGGCCGTAAATAACCTTGATTTAGACGTAAAGTTTTGGGATTTGGGACCTGGTTGACAACTCTATCCTACACAACCGTTAATTTGAGACCTTTATAGGCAGAAATATGCAAAAACCCCAATATGTTTTCGATTTTTCAAAAGTTACGACCGTTTGAATCAGCACATGTACGAGCATTCGCGATTTTTTCGCCTACACCAAAATCGAACCACTAGAGCAGATTTCGTTATAAATACTGCTTACCCGCTTTGCAGCCCGGCTTCATGGCTTACTTCAGAATATTTCTAATAACCAAATTTGTGAAATCCATGATAACCTCGACAAATAGCAAGGTATTGCCTTCGAAAAGTAGGTGGCACCCATCGTGATTCGTGGTATCAAAACAATGTCGGAATTGGCCACATTTCGCGGTGAATCACCGATTTAACATCGCTACAGAGCTGATTTTTTTCCAAAGTCAGAATATAAACTCTCCGTGTCTAGAAGCTGAGGGGGGAATGAAGGTTTTAGGCTTCTGAAGTGAAGAAATAATCGCTTAAATTTAGATCACGACGATCCAGTTCGGTGTTATAATGTTCTCACAAAGGTCCGCACTAAAGAGAAGACCGCTGATAGCTTGTGCCGTACTTTGTGCCGTACAGTTTTGTTTTGTATCCCAATTTACATCCCAATGTAATATTTAGGGAGAAAAATTTTGGATGAAAAGAATAAATGCTTTTACCTGGAGTTTGATATCATATAATTAATAAATCAATTTCAAATATCCTGAGCTTGCTTCTCTCGGTTCCGCGTCGATTGTGTCCACAGATCAGCAACCTGTCAAAAGCCGGAGAAATCGGCTACCAACGTGATAAAAACTTTGACACATGCTTCGTATGAGTGTTATAAGTGTTGCTTTTGATAAATTTTCTATCGTTTTCATCAAAACATTTCACTGACTACTAGATATTATAATGTATTACACTATAACAACGCCGTCAGAACTTGATATCGGAACTAAAGGTAGTTTATCTGTAGATCATATTCTACATTTTCAGCTACCGTATAAGACATTGTTTACATAAGTCTACTGAGAAACATATTGACAATCACTAATCATGTCCGACAGTTTTTCTATGAGGATCTGTTTTTTGTCTCTCAAATTTACAGGGATCTCAAAATGACTACAGATGGCTCTCAACAAAACTACATTTAATTTCTGAAGTGTGTTACTGTGATAACGTTCACAGAGGTCATACGTGTCGTAGCAGATTGGATGTGAGACTTCGATCTCTTTGTTAACTTTGTCTACCAGATCTTCCTCCTCATCCAGCGATATCCCGATCACACCCTGATCTTTTCGTCGCATTACTGCTAGCCGGGAGAAAAAGCTCTGAACTTGGCTCTTTGTCAGCCACTGCTCTCTAGTGAACAAACCTGCATTTGATTCATTTTTCGCATTTCGCATGTCCACTGCAACTTGAGCGGGGTCTGCCTTTCGCCCAGTTCTTTCTCCAAGTGTAAACCGTGCCGTTAGGTATTCTTTTACCTTCTCTGAAAATCTAACGCTGCCTCTTGGTTTGCTTACGGCCCATACTGTTCGTAGAGACGAGTGGGGCGAAGTATCCCCGGGAGAAGTGATTGGTGTACTGGAATCTAACGAACAGCTCGAACACTCAATACCGGCGGTATCTATCGACGAGAACCTAAGGGCCCATTCCCTTTTGATTGCATCATACCGGCTTAACCTGCTGACTGTATGCTCTCCAACGTCCAGGTGCAGCTCTAGTTGCGAAAACGTTTCGAACACTTCAACACATCCAAGCGCAGAGCATTCAAACAATGGCGTTGTACTCTCTGTTTCCTTGCTGCCCTTTGAACGACGCTTGACCACACGCTTTTCAGGAGGATCATAAAACCCTTGAGATTCTATGGTTTGAAGGGACGTTTGACCTTGGTGCTTGATATAAATTACGTCATATGGAATGCACTTCCCTTTACCGATGCCATAACATTTCCATACTCTCAGACCGGTATCTCCATATTCGAAGTTGTGGAAGCTACTAAAATGCTCAATCTTATTTATACAGAGAGTGTTCTTTGATTCGTCGACTATGCTCACTGCAGCTGTTGTTTCCTTTCACTGGGTGTTGCGTCAATGCATCTCGCATGTCCACGGCAGTTAGAATATCGTGCCCTTCGTTGCAGTAAGCACGAATAGAGGACTTCATTGGACAGAGGATACGATCGCAAATGTCTTTACCAGACTGCGGCTCCGAGTAGTGATAACTATGAACTTCAACCCCAACTTCTTTTGCGACATCTCTCACAGCGGTTACTAGAGAGCTGTTGTGATAGCAACCGGCTTCATCCGACCTTAGAAGAGAATGCAGATGCAATTCAAAGTTTCAACAGGACATTAAGCGCGAAACATGGCTTTAGTTTTCGAGTTTAGTTCGCAACAACGAATCAAAGAAGAGTATCGATAGATGCCGACCGCTGAAGTTTGGAGTTATTTGCTGGAGTTATCATAAAGTTCGTCAGTTTGGGAAGCGAGGAATATCTGAAATTTCACATAAACCCAAGATGCGACGAAGGTAAGCTTTTATTATGACGAAATCTGCTCCAGTGGTTCGATTTTGGTGTAGGCGAAAAAATCGCGAATGCTTGTACATGTGCTGATTCAAACGGTCATAACATCGAAAACGTACAGGGGTTTCTGCATATTTTTGCCTATAAAGGTCTAAACTTAACGGCTGTGTAGGATAGAGTTGTCAACCAGGTCCCAAATCCCAAAACTTTACGTCTAAATCAAGGTTATTTACGGCCATCGGCTGACGGCGATTTCTAGTGGTCAGAATATGCTAAAATTCACCTTTTCATATATATTGAGAGGGCAAGTTCTAACTTTCTTGGCAAACTAGAGAGGTATATATGTGGCTTAACTATGCGAATCAAGTATTTTACAATGTTACAAAATATGCCTATTTTTCAATTTCCGAGACGTTGCGACGGTCCCTACGGACTGGGAAATAATTATGGCCCCTAATGCAGTCAGAAGTTTATTTCGAATCAAACCAAATCTAATTTAGTTCTTCCTTAGGTAAAGTCTTCCTGTTGACAGAGTTTCAGGCAAAATTATTTTTGACGCGAAATTGACCGGGTGGAAATAAGAGAAACAGCCTCTTAATTGGTGTTTCACAGCATGTTTGTGCTGTAACTCATAATTCCCCATAATTCAGCCGAGTTACTGTTTAAAGCTCGCAGCGGTTTGGTTTCGTAAGCAGCTTAAGTTTATGTGGCTTCTTTGTCACTGAGAAGTGTGTTAAAGCGTCAGGAAACATGTTCTTATACACAGGGGAGAGCAGTTCAAATCTAACGAGGCTATCAAATAAAACCTTTTCGAGAAAACCCTTCCATGTCTCCACACGTGCAAATAATGATTTAAGTATATATCTTTTATTTTAACGGTACAAACTTATATCTATAATACCAATGTTCTCTTATTATTGATACAATAGCTTTCTAATGTCTCACTAGCTCGTTAAGTCAGTTATTTAGCTGCAAGAGAGTTCTTAATAAACTATTAATATTATTATTAAAGTCGACTTATATATCACAAGAGACTTTTAAAAAGCTGCCTTTTAAAATTAAAATCTTACCTTTATTATGAATATTGTTTACTTCTCTTCCAAGGTTATAGATTACGTTCAAATCTACCTATGCGAGATTCCTATGTATGTTATCTCACTTCATCTCATTTCAGATTTTATCTCATTTCAGATGCAAAATATGTCATTATACAGATACAAGAAAAATATTATACAGAATTCAGAAATAAAGATCAAATCAAGAGTTGTTGCACTCTAAAGAAGCCCCTAAGGCTTTGTAAAGTAGTTTCTACACTTGTAAACTGCGTTAATCGGAAACCAATTGAGGTTATGTTTGTCCCTCAAGTAACTGCACTGTAATCGCTGGCGCGATCTTTTTAGCAAGCTTCAAACGAATGCATTTCGTCGCCAAGTTGCTCGTTCAGCGAGTCAAGAACAGGGTCACTAAGGTCTGTCATGCATCGAAGTACCGTTTCTATAAAAGGAAATATAATCTTAATCAGACGAGAAGAAATCAGTTGTAGAATTGACCTATATCCTCATAAACGTCTTCATTTTGTTTCTCATTGCTTTCTTTTTGAATTGGCACATTGTAATAGGCAGCGGTCCCCCCTTCCTCCTCAAAGAACTCGTCCTTATAAGGTATATCATACTGTTCGTTCGGAGGCGTGGGTGTGAGTCCCGTATAGGAACAAGGATGTGAAGCAAGTTGATCACTCCGCTGTTTATCAAATGAGCGGTCGAAGCCATCAAAGCCAACTTCCTTTTTAGGCTTTTCGCCTTCACTAGGAACAGCTCGTCTCCGATGCAATATCAGTCCACAAATTATAATGAGCAACACAACCACAAGGCAAGACAATGCGATGACACAAGCAGGGAAGATGCTATAGGTACCTTGCAAAGAAAAACCAACATACTGTCAAACACTAAAACCAAAATTAATTCAAGATGCAAACTAAGATTTAAGTTTTAAGTTCAAAATGGAATTTGAGCACTAAAAATAGATTTAAACTCAGTAAAATCTCGTATCAACTATTTTCTTTCTACGTGAATCAAGTTTCCCAGGTGAGTATTGACACCGAGTTCAACATTGAGCCTAAGCATAAAAGGTTTTCATTAGTGGTTTGGTGTTTTTGATAGGTCCATAACCTTGTTTCAAGATAAGCAGAGTATCTTAGACTAGCCTTCAATTTAAGGGGATGTCTGATAATATACATGCATCATTATGGATGACTTTCATACTCACTTGGCTTTCCTTTTACTCCAAACGCCTCTGTTCTCATACACACCCTGCCCTGGTGACTTTGTGGCAGGAATCGCAAATATCTTGTTAACACTCCATAAACAAAATGCTTAACACTTGAGTTTCCATCATTGTTTCCTTGTAAAACCTTGAAAAATTAAGATAACCATTTCCAATCGGAAAATTCCTTGTTGACACGAAAATAGGAGACGAATAATCATAAAACTCTTTCTAGGTGGCTAAATGTAAGTAAGCCGTTTCACACTTCTTTTTGACAATTTCTCATTTTTGTTTCACACAATAAAAGGAATTCAGCTTGCCATTTTATAAAAATGGTCCATATCAGCAGGCTAATAACATTGTAATACTCCCATCTGAATGACAGCAATCTCTCACTTGCCCAAGCTTCACTGAATATTCACTAATGTTCGTTTCTAAATCATATTAAAATTCAGAGGTGGCCACTTTGAAAGATAAATTTTGGAATGGAGTTCAGCTTCTACAAACCATGCAAGCCATATACTATAATGATTTAGAACCCGCTTTCCAGCGGTGAAAAAGGATTGTGAATTATTTTGTATCTCAAGCAACTCAAGTGTATTGTTATCTGTTTGTACAACGAAGTGAATTCCTGCATACTATGGAGATTTGATGCAATTAGAAAACTCATTACACGTTAACTTACAGTTTTTACTGCTAAATTTTTAAATAAAAAACGCATCGTATACCTTTACTTTTCCGCCTTCCTTATAGTCTGTCCAATTCTCACCATCTATTGATAATTGTAGTTTGTAGTTCCTCACCCACTGATCTCCTTGAGAATTCTCTTGTGTAGACACAGCACAGATGATATGAAGTGTCTGTAGATCAATCTGTAGATATGGGTTAGTGTCATTTGTTCTTGCGCACCATAATGATCCGGGTGTGTAGTTCAGTCGATCATTCTTGGCTGGCGTGTTGGAACTTCGTCCGGAAGAAGCATTTATTTTATTGTCAGGAATTTCTCCATTTTCCAATCCAAGGTAAAACTCAACACAACCTGCGCATTGAAAAAAATGTTAAAAATATCAAATACGCCTTATTAACGTTACACTGTTCCCACCAAGAGCGTAGCTCCATTGTTTTTTATACAATAAAGTTTTAGGGACGGTTATTTGCTACAGGTCTAACCCAGGGTTTCTGCGTAAGAGGAATGAATAAAAGGGGTAAGCTTCTCAAGAAACTGTGGTGCTGCACCGGTGGGAGAGTATAACAGGGTAATTAAGTATTATCAACTGAGTTGATACCTTAAATTGGCCACCGCAAAGAGTTTCAAAGCTGACGTTTCGAGCGTTTGCCTTTGTCAGAGCAAATTTCTGTATAAGAGGGTTGATTAAATTAATAAAAGTATTCCCACTGTTAGCTTTTGGCCCTCTTAACGCCTTTGACAAAAGTAAAGATTCAGGTAAAAGGTCCGGCTAAGTTGAGGACTGTTTAGGAAGCCTTAAAGTTCCGTAACAACGCTTTCTTATTTCTCAATCAGCTCATCAATTTTTTCACTGTTGCTAAATGCAAACTTAATGCAAAACGAATTTGGCATATTTTATCAATTCTTACCATGTCGCAAGGTTTTCACCAGTACGGGAGAACTCATCGGTCCATCGCCGGCTGAAGTAAAGGCCAACACTTGAAATTCATATTCTGTGTTGTTTTCAAGCCCAGTGACGTCTGTACTTAATATTGATCCAATATTGATGGGCAAGGTGGTTGTTGATCCTGTAGAGCATCTCTTTTTGTAGAACAATTTGAAACCTCTAATTATTCCATGTCTGGAGTCTGCTGGTGGCAACTGCCAGGATGCTTGGATAATTGTAGAACTAACTCCAGTAACAATGAAGCTGTTCGGAGCTTGTGATGGAACTGCAATTGTGAAAACGCCATACTTTATATACAACTGATCGTGTAATTGTGCTATCCTTACATAACAAGTGGAAGATTACTTCAAACTGCATGTATAGCTACTGAAAGGGTAACAACTCGCATTACCCAGTCAAGAGCACTAATTCTCACTTCAAGGTTGCTTCTGTACCACATTTTATTAATTGGTTCAGGATTAGAATTCAGCATTAAAATTCAAAATATCGCATACAAACTATTCCTCTTTTACGATTCAGTGGCCAGTAAGTAAGTAAGTTATTTCAATTTCCAACCTATGGATTGACAGATAGAGTCGATAGCTCTCTTGTAAGGAGTTCTCAGAATCAGTCGTCATTTTTTCTCGTTCACCCTGATATACCCATACCATCTTCCTTTGTTCTCTCCACCTTAACAGGGGTCTTTGGTCCATCCCCATCAGACGTAAAAGCCAAGATTTGAAATTCATATTCGGTGTACTTCTCGAGCCCGGTAAAATTCCTACTTGACGCGGATCCACTGCTAATAAGCAAGGTGGTTGGTAACCGCACTGAACCTTTCTTTTTGTAGAACAGTTTAAATCCAGTAATGTTTCTTCCATGTCTGGCAAAGACTTGTGGTAACTTCCAGGAAGCTATTATGGTGGTAGAAGAGATTGCATTCAATTTGAAGGCAGTAGGAGGTTGTGATGGAACTGAAATAAATCAAAATACACCATATATAAACTTCAATTATTTGTTGAGAAAGGAACCTGTAAATCAACCATAACTGTTAACTTAAAGCGTTCGATATCTGTCAGAGCACTGTGAAGGATGTTAGGAATGGATATAGGTGGTAAGATCCTACTAAATATAAAAGGTGTTGATAAGTCGAATTCTCCAATCTTCCCCCCTACAATCATATTTAAAAAGATTCTAATTTAACCAAGGGTTGTATAATAAGGGATAACATTCAATTCCCAATTACTTCCGTAAAATTTCCGAATCTTCACTTCCGAAGATAATTGGTTATTGCATCTTCATTAGAGAAAAACATGAGACCCACTAAATACCTTTAGTTAAAGGCATTCCAAAAGCTTCCACTCTCAGGGCTTTAAAGCCACTATATCCTGTGGGTTGAAAGCGAATAAACTTTGCACTTGCAAAGTCCTGAAGATTGTTTTTCTTAATGCCATAGTTATTTGAGTTCCCACGAAAGATCTGCATTTTGTAATACAAAAAGTAAAATTATTGCTAGGCATATATGTATTTTGTTATAAACAAAATGTATCATTCACCATTATAAGTCAGTGATAAACTATTCCCTAGAGATTGACTTTGAGCTAGTAATTAGCCAAATTGAACCTCAAACCAAAGAGATACGTGTCTCTAACGTCTAGCAAATTTGATTGAAAGAATTATTAATACTGCTAAAGAAAGATAAGTTTAACAAAACTACCTCAAAAGGTGCAAGTGAACCTGTGGTAGAAGTTGAAATATTAGTTGTAGTGGTACATTAACTTAGAGGAAGTTTACTTGTGATGTGTACCGTATTTACCCGTGTATAATGCGCACTTTTTACAATAAAAATAACCGTCAAAATCGCAGTGCGTATTATACACGGATTCTATTGTTTGTTAAGCACGTTCTAATTTGCATACGGTATATGTGATGTGTTTATGGTACATAGGAGCCCCAAGATAACTGTATGTAGAATTTCCTGTGGGCTGTTTTTCAACAATTCCTAAATTTTCGAAAAATATGGGTTAATTACAAGGAGAAATTAGGTCGTGAATGATAAGAAAATATTTTGCTCTCAATCATGATGTGCTCGGTTGGTATGTTGTGACCTCGACTTAAATATTTTCCAGTCTAGCACATCTCGTCAGGGAATAATATCTATGAGCCATGTACATAGATTTATGTTTGCTGGAAGGAGCAGTGCATGTCTCAGCAACAGTTATTCCCCTCTTTTGTGTCCTTCTTCTCGGCGCATGATAATGAATGTCTGCTCTGGTTGCTAATTTCAGGCTAATTTCAGTTTTTTTGACATGCACATACCGTCGTGGGCTTCATCTAAACTTACCCTGTCTCTATTATTTTCTCTATAGGTGACAAAAGTGGTTCCATCCAAAGATAACTGAATCTTGTACCAAGTTGTCCACTCATCTATATTTTTAGCTCCTTGAGTAGCAACAGCACAGATAACATACTCATACAGGAGGTCAATTTGTAGGTAGTCATCAGGATTGGCGTTCGTCTCGGGTGCCCAACCCCGAATATCTCCATTCAGTCGACCATGAGAGGGTATGTACCTAGAGTCATAATGCGATAAGGCAGAGAAGCTCCTATCTGGAACTCCACCATAATTGGCCAGTCCAATGGCCTCAGTAACACACGCTGCAAGGTATTAAACTAAAATCAGCCTTTACATCTTATAAAAGACTAATTAAATAATAATAAAAAAAACCCAATCAATCAAACGACCACTACATGGTCTGTAGAATGTCACCTCTGGTTAAATCGTCTTCCAACCCAGAAATTTTAAAGCAATTAAGTTTCATTTCAACTGACAAAATTGCAACTGGGATATAAATTAAAAGTGCTAAGACTTAAATTGAGTTCTAACAGTTACGTAACGACATTTTCGCAGCATAAATTATAGACCATGCTATCAACTTCCCCTTCTACGTAAATTAAGTTTCTTGGGTGAACATAAAGGCAATTCAACGCTGAGCATAAAAGTAACAGATTGCAGCACAGCAGGTAGGTTTAAAACAATGTGTTAAACAATAACAGAGTCTCTTAAACAGAACTACAAAGTAAGTGGCAGATCATCACAATCACGCAACATTACATAACAATTAAGTTCCCAACTCACCCGGCTTTCGGTTCACTCCAAATACCTCTGTTCTCATACACACCTCACCCCAGTGTGTTTGTGGCAAGAATCGCAGATATCTTGTTAACACTCCATAAACTACGTGCTTCATTTCTGAGTTCCTGTTATCATTTCCGCTCAGAAACTAAAAACAAACAAATATCCACATCACTAATCGTCATCACTAATTGGTAGGAATAACAATATACACAGTGTAAATATTGGCAATATTGATAATTATTAAATTTTATTTGGGGAATAGGAAACATCATTATAACTGTAAACTATTCAGTTTCACCCTTTATTGTCCACTTATGAATGTACACTATAATTTTTTTAGCAGTTATGTCTCACAATGCTTCTCCAGTACCTTAACTTGTCCACCTTCACTGTAGTCTGTCCAAGTTGTCCCATCCGTGGATAATTGTAGCGTGTAGGTTTTCACCCACTGATCTCCTTCAGAATTCCCTTGAGTAGACACAGCGCAGATGATATGAAGTGTCTGTAGATCAATCTGTAGATATGGGTTTGTGTCACTTGTTCCTGCACACCATGACGATCCTGATGCGTAGTTAAGGCGACCATTCTTGGCTGGTGTGTTTGCACTTTGCTCTGAAGAAGCAGTCATTTCATTGTCAGGAATTGTTCCACTTCCTATTCCAAGGTCCAAATCAACACATCCTCCTATAAAAACAAAAGCATATTACTTGCTATAAAAAGGGCACTAGAGTGACCATTGAATATACACTTTGGACGGCCAATTCACTTTAGGTCAGTCTGCTACTAGAAGTCGTTATTCATTTTCATCCAGGTCACGTGGGAATCTCTTTGAGATGGGATCTTTTCTCATCATGAATGATAATAATAAAAATGACATAGCTGCGCTTACCTGAGGCCAAGACAAAAATTAAAGCGAGCAAAGCGACGTGGAAATACAACTTATGCTCAAATCTGGACATGTTATTCAGTCGGCAAGTGAAATCAATCAAACTGTGTTCTGTTTATGTAAGTCCGTTCGTTTTATAGAGGTGCTTAAAGCCGGGGGGATTCCCCGTTTAAGGGCGAATCACAAATCTTAGCTCACGGTCAATATGGACATCTGATTGGCCAGCTAATTACAGTGGCGTCAGTCGTTGATGATGCTTCATAGGAACTTCATACGACACCATAAATATTTAGAATCGTTCATCGAAAAATACAGCAATTACCAACAATGCAAGAAAAACCAAAACATAATCACATAAAGCAACATTAGTAGTTGATACCTTTTACTGAAAATACTTCAGTACTCAATTGTTCTTTTCGTCTATTTTATGGTATGTTTTCGATCTTGTACCCCAGTTATTTATATAGGAGGTAAGAGTAATGAATTAATTTGTCCGCCATTGATATGAATAGTTTGGTGTCTCATATCTCTGTCTTTCAGGCATCGTTGCCATATTTTCCCCGTTGCTAAGTCAGCGCCAGGAAGTCTCTAAATTTGGCAAGGTTCCCGTAAAGCTTTCACGAAACAATTTTTCCTTTTATAGGAAGACTTGGTTTTATTATTCTTTCAAGCTAGAATCACGAATGCGACAGTTCATTGACCCTTTTAAGTACTTCTTGTTACCGGATGTGAGCCAAATGCGATTATGAAGAGAGTACATGTCTCGACATGTACTAAACTGAATCTATGAATTAAACATTACTCTTTGACAACAGAGTCACGGAGGCAGAATATTGAATCCGACAGCTTACCAATCTTATCTGTTCGGATACAACGGAATGGATGAAATTTCTTGTAGAATGTCTAGTCCTCAGAAACAAATTACGTGACAGTGAAATGCTATTGGATGGAGAGGAAAAAATAGTTTAAGAGAGAAATGGTGAATTTTAGGGTCAAAGATATTGCTTTGCACTTTGCCGACAGATGTTTTTTAATCAAGCATTTTTTGTTTATCTACGATAAAGCATTTTTTTTGTTGTTTACCTAAGATATCGTGGGCTGTCAAGATTAGTTCATATACGTGAGTTAGATTAAGAAAGCGGCAGTAGGGAATCCGAGATCAGGTTGAAAGGACTGTGCTTCATTCGAAAAGTGTGTTTTCTGCCTTTGTGCAAGGACTGGAAAATATCGCGTCTTAAGCGGGATAACACCTTACAGAATTGTGGGTATATCAATATTGTACGTATTCTAGAAAGCTTTTTTGTCCGATATAACCGATATAGGAGGGTCTCAATGGGGTGATGGCTTTTACGGCTATCGGTTAAAATTTTGGCCAATTTCCGGCTAACGGTTAACACCTTTCCATTGTTTCCACCAGACATATTTTTTACGATTAACTTTTTTTACGACTAACGGTTAAAATTTGTCAATTCAACGGTTAACCCTATTGAGACCCTCATATAGGCGATCCTCAAGTGTATTTTTTGCTTTCAGTTCACTAGCTAGCGCGTGTGCAAAAGAAAACTTGCTAAATAAACCAGTCAAAAAATTGGTAGACCCCTAGGACTTAATTTTCGTGGTGAATCTTCAAAACCAGTAGTACCCGAACCCGTGGTGCGAAACAGATATTGCTATAAAAACATTTCATTTCGTTTCATAGAGTAGAACGATTTTTTTCTTCCTGAAAAAGATCTTGCTTCGCAAGAGATAAAAAATAGGAACAACTTTCAGTTCAGGATGAGGAAATATCACAATATCACGTTTGTATCTAATATACTCTTTCTTTTTGTACCCCTCCTTTCCTTTGCAAATTTAGCCACTTAAATCCAAGTTACAATTACTATTTCTTTCTATCTTAGATTGGCCTATAATACTCACTTACTTGACTTTTGTTCCATACTCACCCCACTCTGGCGAGTTTGTGGCAGAAATCGCAACTATCTTGTTAACACTCCGTAAACAACAAGCTCAACGTTAGAGTTTTCATCGTCATTTCCCTCTAAAACCTATCAATAGATGAAGATGATAATTTCTCATCTTAACATTCCCTTCTTTCCGACCTTAAACCATAGTATGAGCTCTTCCACAAGACCAAATGAAATAGTCCTCTCAAAGCCTTGTTTTTGAGTGACAATTGGATAATTTTTAAACGTGCAAATGACCGGAGACAAGGAAGACTCATTTCATATATAATATAATCGGAATTCAACTTAGTATTTTTCAAAAAAGAAGTCTACATAGATTATCAAAGTGAGTGCGTATCCTTTTTTTTAAATACAGATTTTATTAATATTGCCCGGCTTCTGCAACGCATGCGAGCCATTTACTACGAAAAAAAATGGAAAAGCTACTCTGCTGATCTGATCTGCTATCCACTTATCTCGGCTAATAAAATAACTTTGAAGCTGTGATCGATTGAGTCTCCCGTTGCAGCACGGCTGAAGAGGCCTTTACACATAGGCAGAACTTCAAGAGTCAAACAAAAATGATCCAAACTAAGAGATTTCATGATGAATGATGCTGGGTTCACTTGAAGCAAAAGAAAAAGTAACAGCGAAAAAAAAACCAAGAAATACAGTTTGTGGTTTTAAACTTCAATCATGATTTTATTTACAAAACTGATGGTTGTAGTCACGAAATGCAATCACTTTGGCCTTGTTTGACCGGCTATTTGAGCCAGAAAGATCATAAGAATCTCTTGATTCCCCTTTTTAATGTCCCCGCTCGTAATGCATGTAAAACCATTCAGTCGGTATCAAATTTAAAGTGTTGTAAGTGGGGAATAATCCAATTAGGGTGAGAAGATCTCGTTAGCGAAACGTGCAGATGCTCCATTTCACGGATTTTATTCATCCTTTTCTTGGTGAGAAGATCTCGTTAGCGAAACTGAAATGCAATGCCACAAAAATGCAACGTCTGTCCGGCGTGTAGACAAGTTTGACTCATAGAGGTCGCATTTTGACACCTCCTCGATCAAATTTTAACCTCAAATCTCATCTTAGGGATAATAGTGACGTGAGCTGCTACAAACCAAAATTCCGCTTTGTAGGAGCTATATGAGAAACCGAAAATTTGAAATAGTTTTTCCGCTTCCGGTAAGTATTACCATCAACGCAAGAAAAACCACAAAATACCCATATAAGGCGACACAAGTACTTGATAATGAAAATATTTCATACTGAATAATCATTGTTGTCTACTATACGTTATAATCTCCTCTTATACCTTTCCCCCCTCGGGGATAGCGATAGAATCGAATTTATTTGTCCAATACTAATTTAAATCGATCAGTGTCTCAAACTTACAACTTCTTTGCCATACTTTCTTCGTTGCTTAGCCAGAACCAGGAAGTTTTAAAAATTAGCGAGTCTTACCGTTACAGTTTTCACGAAACAATTTTCCTCCTCTTGGGGTATTTGATTTATCGCTCTATCAAGCTGAAATCATGAGTTACAAATTACTGTTTGACAACAGGGTCACGGGGAAAGAACAATCAATCCTACAACTTTCCACTCTGATCTTTTCGGATGTAACAATTTCAAGGCATCAGGAGAGAGAAACATGTTTAACAATGGAACTCAGATGCCTTTCGTTTACTTTAGTAGATCCTGGGGGATGTTTAGTCCGGTATGACCTTTGAACATGTTTAATTTTCACCATAAGGAAAAGATGCTTTCGACAAGAAAAAAGATAGAAAAGATTTTGAAGAGCGCGTGATCAATGGGGTCCGAAACCGTCTCACTAAGTTTATTTGACGTCTTTTTCACAAATCTTATTGAAGTAGATGTTACGCTCAAGATTCAAGCTAACATTGTGTGACACCTTGCGTGATGCAACAGCTAAATTGCATTTATCTGATGGTATAAAGATGGAATTTAAAACCCTATTTCACTGTTGAACGCACACTTTTAAGCTGCCTCGACCATCTGTCCACTGTGATCGGTTCTTTTACTCAGTGGACGAAGGAGGAGATGCTCATTAGAAAGGAGAGCTTGAAACTCAGAAGCACAAGGAACAAGGGTTTATCACAATGGGGAAAACGACACTATCCGATTTATAACTATTGCTTAATCAACAAACACTATTCATCCCAATATGATCATAACTCAAAAATATTTATCAAAAATAATCTATAATCATCTACCTTATTTGCTGCAAGGGTATCAAGAAAAGGATGATAAGGCTTCAAAAATTTTCTTGTTAATACTCTACGACCAACAAATATTCAAACTAAATATTCAGTCTGAGGCCAAGTGTAAATCGAGTTCTCCCTCTAGCGAGCGTAAACAGTAGCCCTCTCAACTAATATCTATATTTAACTAAGGACTAAAAAAGATTAAAGTATTTTAATATATTTTTTTAGAGAATTGGTGGCTTTACCAAAGCTTGTATTCATTTTTGACTTGGCAATCATTTGACAGAAATAAGTATGTCCCTAGCGGATTTATCATTCGACTGATAAGAGTGTGGAAGTATGTAGAAGTATAAAACCAAATCAACATTCAGTATCTCCTATTTCTTTTCCTTGACTTTCTTTCGCAAAGCCAATATTCTGGTGGCCGAATGCTTTATTTTCAAACTGCAAAGCTTGAGGATCAGGAAATGCAGGCGATTGGCCTTCTGAAGACATGGGCTTGAGTTGAAGACACGATTCTGGAGAAGACGCAAGCTCATCAAACGAAGAGTCGAGTGGACCGATGTCGTCAAAGATAGTACTGTCTGCCTTCTTCTTTGTGTCATTTAATCTGAGCTTAGCTTTTCTTAACTTACATCCCATTCCACAAATTATCGCCAATAACACGAAAACCACACAGGAAAAGGCGATGACAACGATGAGAAAGATACTTTGTTTTTCTAATTCAGAGAATAAAAGGGGAAACTATTACTTTCAAGTTCGAACAAACCACAGCGGAAATAAAACGTATCAGGCGATGAAACAAGTTTGATTGCCTGTTTGATATTGTGGTAAAAAAAATAAAGAAAACTGAGTGACAGGTAGAAAATACATAATCAGTAAGGATAAGAAATAATAAGGGATAGGACGGTTTTGAAATAGTTTGTCGTTTAAAACTAACGCGCCAAATGGGTTGGGTAACAAGGGAATGATTTGCAATGAGCTAGCAGTTCATTAGGGTAAAGAACCAATAGTTTAAGATCACATGACGCCATGTTGGCTATTTAGCGTACCAACGTTCTCAACAGGTGAATATTTCACTATATTAGGTACCAAAAAATTATATTAATTTTAAAACTTACCAGTCACTACCAAAGTTGTTGCTGAATGGCTCGCTCCAAACATGTTCGATGCTGTACATTCATAAAGACCGCTATCACGAGTTATCACGTCTCTGATAACAAGAATGTGGCCATCATTGTTAAACGTTGCTCGCGATATACTGGTGTCTCCGTCTTTACTCCAAGTAACAGAAGGTTTTGGATCTCCATGGGCCTCACATGTCAACTCTGCCAATTCGCCAACTATTATTGTTGTCCTTTCTGGTAGTTCCTTGACCACTGGTTTATCTGTCATGAACATATTGTAACGCGTCCTGGTTTCAATTAAAAACACTTAAACCAAGCAATGCTCTAACTCCGAGGAAAACTCTTTAGGGTTCCACAAGAAAAGTATTCTCAGACTGTGCGCAGACTTTTCGTATAGTACTTGCTCAGAGAGTGCGGAAAGTAATTCGTCAATTCTACCTGGTTGATCTATACCTATATAATAAAAATTATAAATGGTGAAAGTCACCTAACCAATTTAATAAATAAACTTACAAAAATCGCACAGTACCTTTGGTTTTCAGCACTATGAAGCTACTCGAGGTGTACAGTGTCTGCGAAGACAGTACATAGAAACATTGTGAGTGTTCATACAACCAGCTCAAATGAATTATGAACGATTGCTATTCTAAGAAAGATCCAGCGAATGAACTTTGATGACTAAGATAAAAATTTAGAGAGAAAGCAACCCACGCGCTGTAACAGTTCATGTAGTGCTTTGCCTTAGAAGTGCCTCTCTATACAATCTACATCATAAAGTGGAGATTTCTGTGTAAACTTAGTAACTCACACGACGTTTGGAAATTCGGAGCCGTGAATAAAACGGTATTTGGAGTAAGACGATTGTAACATGAGTGCAAATCTTAAAGGAGGGTGACTAAATAAGTACTTTAAAACTAGATTTAGCGTGAACGTGACAAGTAGGCCACTAGTCTTTTGCGTTATGGTGTTAAATAAAAAATACCTCTGAGACAAAAGCTCTGAGAAACACTCTGTAGTTCGTATTCGGGTGCAATGGTTTGTTGTAATAATACTCTTCGCCATTACTTCTCTTGCTTCTTATTTTATTGCTTGATTGGACTCCATCTCCTACAGTAAATTCTTGGTGTTTGTAAAAATCATTTCCTCCAAACTGGAAAGTGACATAAGCTGCAGGCAGTAGAGATTTGTGAGCTTCTTCATAAGTCATCAGCTCTTGTGTTGTAAAATCTGATGGTAGGTTTACGACACCATCGTAGTTTGACCAATATGTTATGACGATGACTTGAAAAAATCTGCAAGATCAAGATTTTTTTTCAAATAACAATGTAACGCTGATCACCAGTGCCAGTAAAATAGAAATCCAAGTTTGCAATGGATTTGCCTCACTTCCCTTCGTGATTGATCAAGACCAGAGCCATGTTAGTAACCAATCAGCTGCGATACTGAAACCAATCGCTACCTGGTCGCTGGTGTTTTCCCGCCTTTTTAAGCGGGTGATTTGAGTTCTAATAAGCTCAATTTTTTTTCATTTTTTCTCTGATCGGTCGTTGTTTTTTATTGCACCAGTCGCTGTTATCAAAATACTCAATCGAAATACTCTCTATGCGTTTATATGTAGCCTGACTAGAAAGCAATAACTCATCATGTCTATGAATATCAAAAACATACTTTCGTTGAAAATCGGAAGTTGCAGAATTGAGGCCAAAAGTCTTCTACTTTTTAAAAGGCACAGATGGAGAAAAGTTACGGTAGGATATAAGGAGGTTAATAGGAAGATTTTTAGAGAGAGCATATACGCAGTGTTACTTATATCACGTAAACTACCATAAAAGCGGCCAACCAAAAATCTTCGATAATTTACATTGGGTTCGTTCTTCTTAAAGATTTATTTTTCTTTTATGCGTTGGGGTTTATCGACTGACCTTACTAGAGCTTTGTTACAGTTTCGTACCAGCCTTAAAAAACTTTACCTGGTGTGAAGAGATTATTTTAGACTTCGTGCATTTGTTGAAAGAGAGAACTAAAACTTGCCACAACGTACTTTGCACTTCCTGGGAAATTTGGGAGTGTAATTTTTGCTTTGATTCCTCCGTCACTAAAATTCGAAGAAAATGCTGGCGGAGAGGGCTTCTCAAGAGACCAAATTGTACCTGTGAAAGGAAACTCAATGTTCATTGGAGAGGAAATTTACGTGAAAATAACTACTTGAACAAATTTACCTCTTATTTAGGAAGTGATCCTAGCCTCCTAATGATTTTCATCTCCAAGACAATAAAAAAATGGACTCCCTTCCTCCATTTCCATCCCTTACTAACAAGTTATACATGACATTAATAACGTCGGATTTCAAATGTATTCAGTAAGAAGCAATAATGTCTTCAAGCAGTAGATAGAATTTAGCAGTAGCAGTAGCTCTCACTAAATACAGAAAGACTGAAACTAATGTCTCTTCTTATTTCAACATTGAATTCAAATGTGGAGCATTTCTTCCACCTTTTACTTTTCGATGTAGTATCCAACAACGTCTGCCAAGGGAAAGCGTTCAGTTAAGGCTCCTATGTGTACTACAAAGCAGGTATATCGAGACTTGCAACAAAATCTTTGATAATATTGTTTTTGGGTTGTAAACCAACATGGTTGAAGTCAACATGTCTCGCATCTTTGACTCACCCAACGTCTGGATCGCTAAAGACTGGCTGTAGGGTCCAGGCCCAGCCTCAGTGAAGGCTCTAACTGACACTTCATATCTTGTGCACATTGAGAGACTGGACAACAGTATCTCTGTTTTGGATGTGTTGAAGGTTGAATTAAATGAAGTGTGAAACGAAGTGCAACTTTCTTTTAAGTCAAGTCTCACTTGATACATTTTGACGAACCCATTGGCGACCTGTCTTGTCAGACTATTCCAGGTTATCTGATATTTTGTGTAATCAACTTCGATAGACGATACATTTTCTGGTCCATGACTAGGCTCTAAAAGAGAGATAAGAAAGACCCATATGCAATAAACTTACAGATTAAAAACGGAATGAAAAACGACAACAGTGAGTTATAGTATTCAAGTAGTGCACAAACGGAAGTTTTATTTGTCCTACATTCCTTACATTAAGCTAAACCTATTTACTTATTCTTTTTCACCGTAATACTTTGTCACCAATCAATTCACGTACATGAGTCATGGGCATTATCAAGTTAAATTTTCTACACTTTTGTACTTAGTTACGATGGCATAACATACCGTACTCATTGGTTTTCACAGACAATGACGCATTCTGTCCAGGTTTGACAGTTACAGCTCCGATATAGAAATGATAAGTAACTCCACCCAGGACATCTACCAAGTAACTGAACGTGTCTCCTCCAACGCTTTGCTTCGTCTCACCTTCTTGGTTTGCATAAAACACAATGTAATTCCTGATGATTCCATTAGATTCCGCAGGTCTGCTCCAAGTCAAGTTTATTCTTGGACCATGAAAATTATTCGGGGCTAGTTCCTTATAGGAAAACGATAGAGGAGAGCTCGGTGCTAATACGAAAAATAAGAATTGATAAGTAATACAAATTTTAATAACATGCACCCTAGCCATCCCCTTTAAGTTCCTTTAACTATGACAAAAAAAAAAATTCAAAATTTGGAACCTCAGAAATCTGACACACACAAGACCAAACAAAGCAATATTTCCCGGTTTTTTTTCGTTTCAAATGACTTTCCTTTCGTAAATTGTCAGACCAAATAACCCAAAACATGAAAATGGCAAAGGTCTCTCATCGATCCCATCTGCAATTTGCACATCCATATTATGAGACATTTCCTACATAAGATTAATAGGAATAAGGCTTTTTTTTGTTGGCGGAAGAATCGTCAAAAAAACGAAACCCTTTTGACTCTAAAAGTCAAAAGAGCACGAGAGAGTGATCTGTTCCACTCCCTCCTCCCAAAAAAAAATAATAATTCAGAAGAAATTCGTTTTCAAAGACTCTTCGCCTGAATTCAGCATTTAAATTCAATCTGTATGTGGCCTCTTACCATCTTCCTTTGTTCTCTCGATCTTAACAACGCTCTTTGGTCCATCACCAACAGAAGTAAAGGCCGAGACTTGAAATTCATATTCTGTGTACTTAAAAAGCCCATTGACAACTTTACTTAATGTTACTTCACTGTTAATAGTTACGATGGTTGTGGTTCCTTCAGAGCTTCTCTCCCTGTAATACAACTTAAATCCTTTGATAATTCCATGTCTTTCTTTTTTAGGTGGAGGCTGCCAGGATATTGTAATACTGGTAGGAGAATTTGACGTCACAGATAAGTTAGCCGGAGCTTTGGAAGGAACTGCAATTTAATTAAAAAAAAGGAAAAAATTATAAAACAATTAGTTACGCAAGACATATTCCCTTGAGTGAAAATTATAATTTGTCAGCAATCCTTAGGACACTTTTTATCTTCGGTGATAATCAAAGAAATCAGCATTCTACCTTTCTTGTCCTAGAAAATGAATTTATAAGCGCGTTCAGATGTAAAAGGTGAAATAGTTCGACATAATTTAAAAAATAAAAAATTAGAGAAGGTCAAAAACCTTACTTATTTGTGTAACCTTGACGGCCGATGGCATAAATGATACATATTGCTATTTTCTGAGAGAAAATATTTTTTCATCTCATCACGAGCGTAGGAAAAAGAAATAACTTTTAATCTCCATAAGGAATCGAACATTAGAGCTTCGGATTCCGCTCCCAACGCTCTAGCACGAAGAGCTACGCCATGACCGTGGCCAAGGATCCTGTGTGATACTCTTTCAGCACACTGTGCATGACATGATGAAAAATCATCTCTCCTCATTACATTACCGAGCTTAAAATTCACCATCTTTTTTACTCCTATTTACTGTTCCTAAATGATATATAATTTTCTAACCATCTTCCTTTGTTCTCTCCACATGAAGGGAAGTCTTTGGTCCGTCACCAACAGAAGTGAAGGCCAACGCTTGAAATTCATATTCTGTGTATTTATCAAGCCCAGTGATATCCTCAGTATGGATAGTATGGATTGATGCATTATAAATAATTCTCATGGTTACTGAAGAAGCAGAATCCTTCTTCTTGTACAACAATTTATGTCCTGTTATGATTCCATTTCTGAACTTTGCTGGTGGTAACTGCCAGGATGCTTTAACACTGGTAGAGGAGCTTGCAGTCACAGAAAAATTACGTGGAGGTTTTGAAGGCACTAAAAAATGAAACATGAACACCCAGAAAAGATTATTAACAGTAAATAAAATTATAAGTAAAAGAAAGGAGGAAAGGACAAAGGAAGAGGACACGATCTAAATAAGTAATATTAAAACATTTTTAGCACGTCAATTGGTTACTTCGTTAATTTCACGACCGATCATCGTCAAACGACAAATACAAACGAACTTCAACGTTTAAGTTTTTAATACAAAAGCGCTAAAGGCTACACGGAAACTAATAGGAGATTTATTTTATAACATCAGTTCATAGAAATTCTTTGTACGCTTTCCAGCTGTACCTTATGGAATGACGACAAAATTGCAAAGCAGTTTGACATCATTCTTATATACCAGGTTCAAAAACAACCACGAAGTTATTTTATGAATACAAGGAAGCCTTCATACGACAACTTCTTACCATCTTCTTTTGTTCTAATAATCTCCACGGAGCTGTTTGGTCCATCACCAACAAAGGTGAAGGCCAACACTTGAAATTCATATTCTGTGTACTTATCAAGTCCTGTAACATCTTTAGCATTGATTGTTCCATTGTTGGTAATTATGATGGTTGCTGGTTCTCTAGAGCTTTTTCTTATGTAAAACAATTTAAATCCTTTGATGATTCCATTTCTGAGGTCTACTGGTGGTAACTTCCATGATGCCATTATACTGGTGGAGGAGCTTGCAGTCAAGGTGAAGTTCCTGGGAGATCCCGTAGGAACTGCAATAAGGGAAAGGAAAATTATTCAATATATCATTAACATCCTTTCTCGATAGGCTTACGTCATAGAACTAAGTAAAGAAATGTGCTTCCGTTTATTTGACATCTATCACTCATATCGCTCTCCAACCTTCATTTTAAAGCATCAGACCTTACAGTTTAGGTCCTAGGTTATTATTCTCACCATCTTCCCTCGTTCTTTCAACTTCTACCGAACTTTTAAGTCCATCACCAACAGATGTGAAGGCTAACACTTGAAATTCATATTCTGTGTCCTCGTCGAGTTTAGCGACAACTTTGGTATTAGTTGTTCTGTTATGAATGGTAAAGCTAGTCGGTTCCAAGGTGGTGTTTCTCTTTTTGTAAAATAATTTAAATCCTGTAATGATTCCATTTCTGGAATCAACTGGTGGTAACTGCCAGCGCGCTGTGATACTGGTTGAAGAGTTTGCAGCCAGAGTAAAGTTAATTGGAGCGTTCGAGGGAACTGCAATTTGAAAAGGAGAAGTTACATAACTTCTTCAGTGACTAGGCTTATGTGTGAAGTGATTAAAAAAAAGGACCACCTTTAACTCTATTGAATAAATGAACAGTTATATGCAAGGAATTAAGATAAACGATGTTTGTAACTCGATATGTTTGTTCTCCAATAGCTGCTTAATGGTAAAGCATGACCATAAGCTGACGTCTCTTCATAAACACAGGTGACAGATTGAGGGCATTCTCTTTGGATAGACTGCAGGAAAAATTTTTCAATGAAACATAAGAATAGGCATTGTTTTAGTCAGGTCACAATGTACACAAAATGGTTACTATATTTAGAAATCTTAGAAAACTTGGCACTCACCATCTTCCGCTGTCTTTGCCAATTCAAGAGAGCTCTTTGGTCCGTCACCAACTGAAGTGAAGGCCAACACTTGAAATTCATATTCTGTGTACTCATCAAGCTCAGTGACATTCTTAGCGTGGATCTTTCCATTGTTAAGAATTATCATTGTTGGTGAAGCTACAGAATCCTTTCTTTTGTAAAACAATTTAAATCCTGCGATGATCCCTTTTCTGGAGTCTGCTGGTGGTAGCTGCCAATAAGCTGTAATACTTGTAGAACTACATTCAGTCACGGTAAAATTTTCTGTAGCTTTGGAAGGAACTAAGAATTCCACAAGGAAAAAAAATTAATCGCAACTGGAAAACATCTTTACAGATTAGTGTTGACTCAATGTCATCAAACCAAATATATATTATGTACAAAGAACAAATCGTCTACGAAACAAAAAACTCTTAATTCTTTACAGTGTAGGAAGTGTTTTGCGCTATGAAATAAAACCAATCAAATTAAATTATATAGAGCCAACACATTTTTAATAATTTACCTAATGCTAATAGTTTTCCATATTTCAAGGATTAGGTATTTCATCAGTGTCCTGTTATCATACTTTGGAGTTAATAGAAACATTTAGCTCGCTCACGCCACTCCTCTTACCCTCTTCCGCTGTCCTTTTCACCTCCAGAGAACTGTTCAGTCCATCACCAACAGATGTGAACGCCAATATTTGGAATTCATATTCTGTGTACACATTTAGCCCAGTGACCAGTGCATAGCGACTTGTGCTATTCCTAATAGTTAAAGTAATTGGTGGATCTATGAAGCCTTTCTTTTTGTAGAACAATTTGAATCCTCTGATGATTCCATTCCTGGCGTGAACTGGTGGTAGTTGCCAAGACGCAGTTATACCAGTGGATGAGCGCACTACTAAAGTGAAGTTATCCGGGGACCTTGAAGGAACTGCAACGAGAGACAAATTATGTCTTCAGACTATTTGCACAACAGAAAACATGGATGACGCATGGCGTTCGATAAATAACTGCACAACTATTAACAACACGAATCTATGAGTTACAAGAATTGTGCACTGAGCAATCTTGATTCATTCATGAGATCTCCGGCGCGTTTTGGAGAATAAAGTTTGTTACATGATCTGAATTTCTTTTAAAGAGTACCCACAACAACCAGATCCACTCGAGATGCATTTTGCTACAGATTAAATCTAGAAATATCTCATGTGACGATTTACTAATATCATCAGATTTGAACTTCGTAACGTACGGGTGCAGTGTAAATTAGAATAAAAAGAGCTGGTGTGGACATAGCTCAAGACCATTGTTGTTAGGGCATAGCAATGAGTCCCTTTAAGCCATATTTTGTTAGGCTTCCATAAAAACTGTATAAACCACATTTTTTAAATCTAATATACGCACCAGAATTTAAAGGTTACTGTTTAAGTCCATTGGATGGCAAGCATGGTAGAAAAAAAAGAGGAGTTAAAATTGCTGAATGTGTGAGAAATATAACTCAACCTTTCTTTCTACTTCTGGATTGAATTGGACTAAATTGCACCCTGCACGCACAGAAATTCAGTAAACACCAATTTCTCCCTGTTCTAAATTATTTGTTTTCAACTTCCGATAACTCAGACATTGAAGATTCGTCTTTTCAGGAGGGGACTGTATTCCTCAGGAAGTCAAGGGACAATAGCCCAAATGTGAAAGCAAAATTTTCTTTGTTTCTCTAATGAACTCCTACCGTCTTCATTTGTTCTCACAACAACGACAGAGCTTTTTGGTCCATCCCCAGCAGAAGTAAACGCCAACACTTGAAATTCATATTCTGTGTACTTTTTGAGCCCACTGATGTCTTTTGTCTCAACTGTTCCATTTGTGATATTCAGAATAACTTGTGTTGCCGGAGAAACTTTCTCTTTGTACGATAATTTAAACCCTATTAAAACTCCATGCCTGGATTCAACAGATGGTAACTGCCAGGATGCTGTAACACTCGTGGAAGAGCTTGGGGTCAAGCTTAAGTTCCTTGGAGATTGGGACGGAGCTGTAATACAAAACCTAACTCATCAATCACGTTCTTTCTACAAATATGAGATATTTTCTGGAATATAACGCCTATTAAACAAAAATCATATTGAACAGTTTTCCGGTTAGCTGCGGGTTCATAAAGAACTTTAAATACGCAAACCTCGTTGGTTAAAACAACATTTCTTGATTATTAAAAACAATAATGATTACAACGCAACGTAACTACTAGGCTCCAAGACTTTACATAGATTATGTTAGATGATGATTAATCAATTCCGATGAATATTTAAAATTTATTACATATGAATGTTATAAACCAATAAACAAGAGAAATACAGATACCATCTTCCGTAGTTCTCTCCACAACAACAGAACTCCTTGGTCCGTCACCAACAGAAGTGAAGGCCAACACTTGGAATTCGTACCAAGAGTATTTATCAAGCCCAGTCACACGTTTAAAACGAATTTGTCCATTGCTTAAAGCTAAAGCTGCCAGTAATCCTGCAGAGCCTTGCTTTTTGAAGAACAATTTAAATCCTGTGATGATTCCATTTCTGGAGTCTGCTGGTGGTAACTGCCAGTATGCTGTGATACTGGTAGAATTACTGGCCTTCAAAGAGAAGTTACGCGGAGCTCTCGAAGGCACTGTAATAAAATAACAAATGTGCTATGTAATTCAATTAAATTCAGCTTCTCCACGTAATATCCTCATTACTGATGACCCATCCTAATTCAAAGTAACTAAGAAGCACGTCAGGTTTCTAATGAAATTTAGCTCCAACGCTATGTTTAAGTTGGTAATTTTAGTCACATGAGCATTGCTGATAACGTCAGTAAGGTAACTGTGGTAATTAAAATGACTTTTTAGTTTCGCCTCATTTAAAATACTATTACACAACCTATGATAGCAGATCTTTCTCTGTGGCTAATAATAGAAATTTGTTACCGTCTGCCTTTGTTCTTGCGACTTCGGTAGAACTCTTTGGTCCATCGCCAACAGAAGTGAAGGCCAACACCTGAAATTCATATTCTGTGTATTTGTCTAATCCAATGACATCTTTAGTGCGAATCGTCTGATTTCTAATAATTAAAGTAATTGGGAACCCGATGGAGCCTCTCTTTTTGTAGTACAATTTAAATCCCCGGACAATTCCATTTCTGGCGTCCTCTGGTGGTAACTGCCAGGATGTAGTAATATTGGTAGAAGAGCTAGCAGTCACAGTGAAATTGCTCGGAGCTTTCGATGGAACTGTCATTGAAAAATTAAATTAAATAGTATTAGACTTCATTCATTACATTCCAATAAATCGCCGATACCCAGATAATAGACGGATCCAAACATAAAGGACACAAGATCTAAATGTCTTGATCGACAACAAATCACAATAACCAGTCCGGCTTCCGGCTGAAACTCTCAATCCTCGGTCCACTATGATAACCATTCGTCCACAGTGACGGTCTCAATAATTTCTTTATTTATCTATCTTTCAAAAGAAAGCTCCGTAATAAGAAGGAAGCTGAACCTTGATATAAGTATGAGGCGATATAGTTTCCCTTTAGTCCTTACCATCTTCTCTTGTTCGTTCAATCTTAACAGAACTGTTTGGGCCGTCGCCAACAGAAGTGAAGACCAAAATTTGAAATTCATATTCTGTGTACTTAGCAAGCACTGTAACATCTTTAGTGCTGGCTGTTCCGTTGTTGATAATTACCATGGTTGCTGCTTCCCCAGGGCTTTTTCTTTTGTAAAACAATTTGAATCCTACCATGATTCCATTTCTGGAGTCTGCTGGTGGTAACTGCCAAGATGCCGTGATACTGGTAGAAGAGCTTGCTGTCACCGTGAAGTTAGTGGGAGACCCCGAAGGAACTGCAATAGGGAAACGAAAAAGTCTTCATTATGTCATGACCATTGTTTTCAACAGACCTGCAATGCAGGACTGCATAAAAAAAAATCCTGCGTGATGATCCTGTTGCTGGAGTCTTCTGGTGAGTTTAATGCCAAGAATCTTAAAGACTGGTAGAACTCAAAACTTTTGCGGAGCTATGGAAAAAAATTAAAGCTTCAACGAGCAGACATTCATTCACAACAGGCATGACTTTTGATGGGGGGTACTTTAATTTCCTCAAACTAAATAGATACCACAAACTGTGATGGCTATACCATATCGGAATTTTTTTTGGCACCATTTAGGAAAATTATATAAACTCAAATTACGAAGAGCCACAAAATGAAAAAAATTGAATATTTCTCTGCTGCTCGCAATATCAATTTTTTTCATAGGAATGGACATTTACATTTTTGGACAAAATTTTTGGACAACGATTACTCCTCTTACCATCTTCTAGAGTCCTTTTCACTTGTACAGAACTGTTCGGTCCATCACCAACAGATGTGAACGCCAAAATTTGAAATTTATATTCTGTGTACTCATCCAGCCCTGTGAATCTTTGATGGCGACTTGTTCTATTGTTTATAATTAAAACAATTGGTGGATCTATGAGTTCTTTCTTTTTAAAGAAAAGTTTGAATCCTGTGATGATTCCATTCCTAGCGTCAGTGGGCGGTAACTGCCAAGAGGCTGTAATACTAGTGGAAGAGCTCACTACTACAGTGAAGTTATCCGGGGATTCTGAAGGAACTGGAACAAGAGACAGTTTAATTCATCAATATATCATGAAATCAGTGCTTTAATATCAGCACGACTGCATGAGTCGAAGGAAATTTGCCCTAAGCAATCACAGCTCATTCAAGGGATCTCTCAAAACATTGCGAACCCGTCTATGGTTAAAGTCAATTTTAAATACAATCTATAACATAAATGGACTAAGATGTGAACGTAAAATTGCTAGGTCTCTCAATGACTTCTCACCATCTTCCTCTGTTCTCCTATCAAGAACAGGGCTTTTTGGCCCATCACCAACAGAAGTGAAGGCCAACACTTGAAATTCATATTCTGTGTATTTATCGAGCCCAGTGATCTCTTTGCTCTCGACGGATCCATTTGTGATATTCAGAATGTTTGGTGTTGCGACAGAATCTTTCTTTTTGTAGGATAATTTAAATCCAATAATGACTCCATGTCTGGATTCAACAGATGGTAACTGCCAGGATGCTGTAACACTAGTGGACGAGTTTGCGGTCACGCTGAAATTTCTTGGAGGTTGCGATGGAACTAAAAATCAAATGACTACCAATTAATAGCTTCATTTCAATGTTGTATGAGATGTTTCTGAAAAAAAAGTCACATTTTAGGATTTTTCTAACTTGTTTTGCGTTCATAAAGTTAGTTGACTATGTACTATAACTACTGAGGTTCAAGCTTCAAGGTTATGTGAAATACGTCAGATATTTCTTATCAGTAACAACCCTTTGAAGTGTTTCAAACAATAAACTGAAGGAATAAAGATACCATCTTCCATTGTTGACTCGACAACGACAGCACTCCTCGGTCCATCACCAATAGTAGTGAAGGCCAAGACTTGACATTCATACTCCGAGTATTTATCAAGGCCGTTAACACGTTTAAAATTAATTTGTCCGTTGCTTATAGTTAAAGCCACCGGTAATCCTGCAGAGCCTCTCTTTTTGAAAAACAATTTAAACCCTGTTATGATTCCATTTCTGGAGTCTGCTGGTGGTAACTGCCAATATGCTGTGATACTGGTAGAGTTGCTCGCCGTCACAGAGAAGTTAGTTGGAGCTTTAGAAGGAGCTGTAATTGAACAACGGAAGTGCTATGTAGCTTAATTAAATTCATACCACAATCTATTGTCCATGTAACATTATGGTTATTGATATTTCATCATTAACTAATGTAGGTAATAAGCAATGTAAATATTCAACACAAATTTCAGTTGATCGTGTTAATAACATAAAAAATTGTTGATAACCTCAGCAAGACAAATAATGCACCTATGACTGACTTAAGACGTTCCTACCAGGGAAAATGCCATTGAAAACCTGTTTAACACATAACAACAAACCTCTTCTGAGAAAATAAAATGGCAGTCAAATTTAGTCGTTATTAGTCCCCTTACTTACCATCTTCCTTTGTTGTTGCAACTTCAGCAGAACTGTTAGGTCCATCACCAATAGAAGTGAAGGCCAAAACTTGGAATTCATATTCTGTGTATTTTTCTAGTCCAATAACAGCTTTAGTACAAATCGTCTCATTCCTAATGATTAAAGTGTTAGGTAGCCCCGTGTAGCCTCTCTTTTTGTAATACAATTTGAATCCTCTGACAATTCCATTTCTAGAGTCCTTGGGTGGTAACTGCCATGATGCTGTAATACTGGATGAGGAACTTGCGGCCACAGTGAAATTGCTTGGAGATTTTGATGGAACTGCCATCAGAAAATTAATTCATTTCGTGAGAAGTAATTCATCACATTCAAGTAAGCTGGGGAAAGCTAAGAAATACTCTATCGAAGTAGAAAGGGCGTAAGAGGGTTTTTCGCCTGAAAATCTCAATTCTACTGAGTCATTCTGACAAATTGATCCAAAGAAATCTCCGTACGAAGGTGGAGACATAGCTATTTTTATTTTCTTACCATCTTCTTTTGTCCTCTTAATCCTAACGTTACTCTTTGGTCCATCACCAACGGAAGTAAAGGCCAACACTTGAAATTCATATTCTGTATACTTTTCAAGCCCAATGACGTCATCACTTTCCGTTGTACCATTCCTCACAGTTATTGAGGCTGGCAATGTTGCTGAGCTTTTCTTTTTGTAAAAAATTTTGAATCCTGTGATAAATCCATTTCTGGAGTCTGCCGGTGGTAACTGCCATGATACGGTTATAGCGGTGGAGCTACGCACAATTAAGGAGAAGTTGCTAGGGGCCTGTGATGGTGCTGCAAATAGATGTGACAGAGAAAACTTTATAATTATTGATAAAAATTGATAGGAGAAAAATAACTGAGCCCATGTGAGTTCAGAAAGGATTAACTAGGCTCTTACCATCCTCCTTTGTTCGTTCGACCCTTATAGAACTCTTTGGTCCGTCGCCAACAGACGTGAAGGCCAACACTTGGAGTTCATATTCTGTGAATTTAGCAAGCCCTGTCACAGGTTTGCTACGAACCATTCCATTTTTAATTGTTATTGATGTTTCTAATCTTGGAATGCCTCTCTTTTTGTAGTACAATTTAAAACCAATGATAATTCCATGTCTGGAGTCTACTGGTGGTAATTGCCAGGATGCTGCAATACTGGTAGATGAGATTGTCTTCACTGTAAAGTTACTCGGAGGTTTTGATGGGGCTAAAATCAAGCAACTCGTAGATTATAATAAAATATTAAATTTCTGTTTACAAAAAGACAGCTGGTATACTTGTACAACAGGCACATGTATGTATCTTAAGTTTCTTACCATCTTCGTTCGTTTCGCCAAACTTTATTGAACTCTTTGGTCCATCACCAACAGCTGTGAAAGCCAATAACTGAAACGCGTACTCTGTGTATTTATCTAGCCCTGTCAACTTTTTATAGCGAGTTGTCCCATTTGAAATAGTCAACGAAGTAGATCTTTCAGCAGAACCCTTCTTTTTGAAGAACAATTTGTATCCTGATATTATTCCATTTCTGGAGTCAGCTGGTGGTAACTGCCAAAATACTGCGATACTGGTAGAATTGCTTGAAGTCACAGTAAAGTTAGCAGGAGCTTGCGAGGGAACTAAAATTAAAATACACAACTCAAGTTAAACAACACATAGCTAATTTCCATTACATCTGCATTTCTGAAAGAGCCACTATCAATTAATTGATTGGTGAATGTTTAAAAGATATGAACAAAATTGATTAGCATCGGCCGTTCAAACTAACTTGTTCAAAGCCATACCAGTTTAACAAACCTTTACCAAAATTTCACATTGAACTGATTAAATACCAAACTTCATTATAAGTATTTCTTTTCCTCACCATCTTCTTTTGTTCTCTCAACTACAACAGAACTTCTTGGTCCATCACCAACTGAAGTGAAAGCCAACACCTGAAATTCATACTGTGTGTACTTATCAAGCCCAGTGACATCTTCAGTTTCAATTGTTCCGTTATTAATGGTCAAAATTCTAAGCAACGCTGCAGAGCTTATTTTTCTGTACATCACTTTTAGTCCTCTGATGACACCATTTCTGCCGATTTCTGGCGGGAGCTGCCAAGATGCTGTTACACTGGTAGAATTACTTGCAATCACAGTGAGGTTGCGAGGTGCTGTATATGGAACTGTGATAGAGACAAGAACGTCTTAAAATACATTTCGTACATAGACAGCCAGAAACATAGGAATGCTATGATTGATGGATACATACATGTAGATGGTTGAATGGAGGGATGGAACAATAGATGGATACCATACCATGTCAAATGGCAATGTGGAAATCAAAGAAAGGTCAACATTACATTGAGATAACAATGAGCAAAAGATTTAGTCTTAAACATTATAATTTTGATACGATGGTGCTTGATTAGAGTGTCATCAATCGGAATTCTTACCATCTTCATTTGTTCTCTCGATAAGAACGGAGCTCTTTGGTCCATCGCCCACAGAATTGAAGGCCAACACTCGAAATTCATATTCTGTGTACTTATCAAGCCCTGCGACAACTTTACTACGATCAGTTCCATTTGTAATCGTTACTAAAGTTTGCAATCCTGCAGAGTCTTTCAGTTTGTAGAACAATTTGAATCCTGTAATGATTCCATGTCTAGACTGTTCTGGTGGTAACTCCCACGATGCTCTCATGCTCGTAGAACTAGCTGGAGTTAGAGTGAAGTTGCCCGGAGCTCTCGACGGAACTAAAATGAAAGATCTCAGAAATGAATATGAATGTGAATATCTTTATGAACATATTTTTTTGTACTTTACTTTAAAAGAAATAAATTTTTTTTGATCACGGTAAAAGTTTGGTAATAAGCATGAAAATTTATCCAACCCTTATACCACTCATCAAAGAAGAAATCTACGCATACAATATGTATGGGTAAATGTCAAAAAAAGAAGCAATTAACAAAATTTCACGAGACTATCCAATCCTTTTATCAAAATCAATGCATTTACCTATTATGCTTTACCAAATTACAGTTTTGTACAGCTATATCTGTCAGAATTCATGTTGAAAGTGTACACGAGGCTTTTTTTCCACCTGAAAGCCAACCTCATTAGAATGGTTTAGTTTAGATCACGTACCATCTTCATTTGTCCTCGCAACCTTGACTAACGACTTTGGTCCATCACCAACAGAAGTGAAAGCCAATAACTCGAACTCATACTCTGTGTATTTATCTAGCCCTGTCAATGTATTCGAACGACTAGTACCATTTTCAACAATTTGCTTAGTCTCTTTCCCCGCAGAGCCTTTCTTCCAGTAAAACAGCTTAAATCCTGTGATAATTCCATTCCTGGAGTCCATCGGTGGTAACAGCCAGGCTGCTGTAATACTAGTAGAAGAAGTTGAAGTCACGGTAAAGTTAGCGGGGGCTTGCGAGGGAACTGCAATTAAAAAATGCTTGGTCAATGGCTAGTAGTAGATAAACTAAACCCATAAAACTCGATTGGTTCAATTTGAACATGTGACAAAAATCAATCATAGATTGATTGCGAAAAAACTCTCATTCAAATACCAATAATAATAATACTAATAACAATAATAATGGAATTAATAATTATAATGATAATAATAAAAACAAACATACAAATACACAAACAAATCATGATATTGAAAAACAGACTAGGTTAAGCTCCAAATAACGAAACAAGGAGACACTATAAGTAACAGTTGTACATCAAGAAAAACTAGAAATTTACCTCAATTTAAAAATCCCCTTACCACGCAAAAGCTACTGTTCAATTTAAAATACCTTGTAGTGGCATTTTCAATATCTTACCATCTTCCCTCGTTCTCTCAACCAAAACAGCACTTTTCGGTCCATCACCAACAGAAGTGAAGGCCAACACTTGAAATTCATACTTTGTGTACTTATCAAGCCCAGTGATATCTTGACTGTGAATTGTTCCGTTTTTAATGGTCAGAATGGACGGCAACCCTACAGAGCTGTTTTTTCTGTAGAATAATTTAAACCCTCTGATGATTCCATTGCTGGAAATTTCTGGTTGAAGTTGCCAGTATGCTGTTACACTGCTAGAATTTATCACTGTCACAGTAAGGTTGCTTGGGGCTATGGAGGGGACTGTAAATATAACAACAATAAACACTTTAATGTGGTACCATGACAGAAAGGGACTGAGAAAGAGCGATGCTTGAGCTACGGTGAAATAGGATTAGACTATCATAACTATAGTCTTACCATCTTCTTTTGTTCTTTCCTCCACAATAGAGCTGTTCATGCCATCGCCAACGGAAGTGAAGGCCAACACTTGAAATTCATAAACCGTGTACTTATCAAGCCCAGTGACAAGTTTATTGCGTGTTGTCCCGTTTTCAACAGATACTAATGTTTGCAATCCCACCGAGTCTTTCTTTTTGTAAAACAATCTAAATCCTCTGACGATCCCATTTCTAGAGTCCGCCGGTGGTAACTGCCAGAATGCTGTAATACTCGTAGAACTAGTTGGAGTCAAACTGAAGTTGCCAGGAGCTTCGGAAGGGACTAAAATTAAATCAGTTATGAATTAGATAAGTATCTTGAAAAGTAGACTGTCTATTCGAATTGAATAGTTAACAATTGTTCATCGACGTGGAGGTAAATATCGAACCCTTTCACCTATATTAAGGTTTATTTAGTTTATTTCTGTCAATATACAGAAAACTTGTCGGAAATTAAATTCTAGCGGAGCGATTTTGTCTCTTCGCCAGCTCGGAGGTGAATAGTACAAGCCAATCAGCACACGCGAAAACCACTATTTATGTAGTAAAACTACAATTATGATATGTTTTTGGCAATACCAACTTTGTAGAGTTTGGAGTCAGACTGTATCTGCTTTTTATAATCGCCTGAAATGCAGCCTTACATCTGATCAGCAAATTCTGATCTTTAGCAGGTAATTTAGTGTTAACAACTGGGTTGAAAACGTAAATTAGTAAATTGAAGCGTTAGCCCTTCGTCAGAGCGATTAGAGGAATTGTGGGTTGTGTGTGGATTTATATGTAGAAAGTGGAGCTACGCCATTGTTGGGAATATGGTGACGAGAATTAAATTTTTGTTCTAGTGTTTTACGGCTTTCCGAACTGCCTAGATGTAAGGAAAGGCCGCAAACTGTCATATGCTGTTTAGAATGATAAGGAAGATTAAAGTGTCTAGCGACTGGTTTGGATGCGTCCTTGTCATTTCTTTCCACATCGCGAAGGTGTTCTCGGAATCGGTCACCCAGTCGTCTTCCTGTTTCGCCGATGTATAACTTATTGCATTTAAAAAAAAAAAAAAAAATTTTAAATTACTCCAAAACGATTCAGAGACTGGCACTATCTTTTCGGAACCCCCACTTATTTCATTCAAACGTGACAAAAACATAGGCAACTTTTTAGCCAGGAGTTCATTTCAAACCAATGACCAATCGGGAACTTTTAAATGCGCTCGCTCACGTTGCAAAACTTGTCCTTTCATTCATAACATAGAGAAAATATCGGGACCCAAAAGACCCATTAAGATCATTGATCACTTTACGTGTACCTCCGCCAATGTTATTTACTGCATAACTTGCACTTATTGCAATAAGTTATACATCGGCGAAACAGGAAGACGACTGGGTGACCGATTCCGAGAACACCTTCGCGATGTGGAAAGAAATGACAAGGACGCATCCAAACCAGTCGCTAGACACTTTAATCTTCCTTATCATTCTAAACAGCATATGGCAGTTTGCGGCCTTTCCTTACATCTAGGCAGTTCGGAAAGCCGTAAAACACTAGAACAAAAATTTATATTCCAAATCGGCACCCTTAATCCCCACGGAATCAACGAGCACTTTTCATTCAACTAATTTATTCCTGTTTTCTCGTCACCATATTCCCACCAATGGCGTAGCTCCACTTTCTACATATAAATCCACACACAACCCACAATTCCTGTAATCGCTCTGACGAAGGGCTAACGCTCGAAACGTCAGCTTTTTTACCCTTTACGGTGGCTAATTTACGTTTTCAACCCAGTTGTTAATACTAAATTACCTGCTATACTCTCCCACCGACGCAGCACCACAGTTTCTTTAGAAACTTACCCCTTTATTCAAATTCTGATCTTTAACTATTCTTGAATACCTACCATCCTCGTTTGTTTTCACCAACTTGACCTCACTCTTTGGTCCATCACCAACAGAAGTAAAAGCCAAGATGCGAGCCTCGTACTCTGTGTATTTAGCAAGCCCTATGAACTCTTTAGAAAGACTTGTACCATTTAAAATAGTTAACACGGCTTGTTTTCCAGGAAAATATTTCATCTTGTAAAACAATTTAAATCCTCTGATTATTCCATTTCTGAAGTTTACTGATGGTAACTGCCAGGATGCTGTAATGCTGGTAGAACTACTTGAAGTAAGAGTTAAGTTAGCCGGGGCTTGTGATGGAACTGCAATTTGACCACAGAGTAATTTATTAAGACGCTTCATAGCCATTAGAAGACTCTAATCTTAACTATATGACAATGCAATGTGAAGTAATTATTATTTTGGTTTTTCAGATACTCGTTCAATCGATGTACTTTCTATCACCCCCAAGTGGATCATTTACGGCCAAAAGGGATAAAAATGGCAAGTCATACATGTTCTGCCATTGAGCAGATGTATGTGTACTACACCCTTTTAAAATTACTACTTCCTTAAGTATGCTATGTTATATCAGCCTTCTACCACCATTTAAAAGTGAAAAGACCAAAACACTGGGCTCTTATAGAACTTTTTCCGTTTTCTCACCATCTTCCTTTGTTCTTTTGACCACAACAGAACTTTTGGGTCCATCACCAACAGATGTGAAAGCCACTACTTGAAATTCATATTCAGAGTACTTATCAAGCCCAGTTACGACTTGACTGTGAATTGTTCCGTTGCTAATATTCAAAATTGCTGGCAACCCTCCAGAGTCCTTCTTTTTGTATAACAATCTAAATCCTCTGATGATTCCATTTCTAGCAATTTCTGGTGGCAGTCTCCAGGATGCTGTTACAGTGGTGGAATTGTTGACAATCACGGTGAGATTGCTTGGTGCTGTGGATGGAACTGCAAGAAAGACATTAACCTTCACCTGATATACATGTACCTCAAGATTACAAATATTAAAGACTGCCTGCCAGATGATCAAACCAACAAGTAACCGAGAAAATACAGAGACCAAACAACGGATGGATGTGTGGATTAGATGTATATGGATAAGTGACAGTCATAGTTGAACTCTTACCATCCTCTTTAGTCCTCTCTACTTCAACAGAACTCTTTGGTCCATCACCAACTGAAGTGAAGGCCAACACTTGAAATTCATATTCCGTGTTCTTATCAAGCCCAGTGACAGGTACAGTGCGAGTTGTTCCATTTCTAATAGATAGCACTGTTTGTAACCTGAGAGATCCTGTCTTTCTGTAGAACAATTTAAATCCTAAGATGATTCCATGTCTGGAGCCTGGCGGTGGTAACTGCCACAATGCTGTAATACTGGTAGAATCTCTCGGGGCTAAAGTAAAGTTAACTGGGGCATAGGAAGGGACTGAAAAATTGAAAACGCAATGTACATGAACAATTGATTACAAGATTACTCATGTGAGAGTCGCATCACACCATAGGTGACCCTAGCGTATATTACGGAACCAACTAAAGCTTGATCTGTCAATGATAAACTTTGCCCTCCTGCAGTCAGGAGGGCACTCTATCATATTGGATGTTAATGTTGGATAAAGTGAAAAGTTCGAGTCCTCAATTGCCTTTTGTTTACGAAAAAAATCGTAACCTCCACTGAAGCTCTCTTCACTCATGTCTAATGGCGAACTCTTTTGGGTGACCTATGTCTTAGACCCAACAATATGTCTCGGTTGTCCCGTGGTGCACTAGTGCTAGTCTCTTGAAGATCATGGGAAGCTAAAACTGACTTCAAATCACAAGCCATGGTTATTTTACCCGCTGACTCGACACGTACAAGTCTATGATGTTATTCTTAATTTAATTTCTTACCATCTTCATTTGTTCTCTCCACTACAACAGAACTGTTTTCTCCATCCCCAACCGAAGTGAAGGCCAGCACTTGAAATTCATATTCTGTGTACTTTTCAAGCCCACCGATATTCCTGGAGCGGGTTGTTTCATTTGTAATAGTTATTGTAGATGGAAACATTATAAAGCCTCTCTTTTTGTAAAACAATTTAAATCCTGTGATGATTCCATTCCTAGAGTCTGCAGGCGGTAATTGCCAAGAGGCTGTAATACTGGTAGAACTCAATACGATTATGGTGAAGTTTCTTGGAGCCTTTGATGGAACTGAAATTAAAAATTCAAGACCTGCAATAACTTCTTTACGGGTATCTTTTGAATGATTATTGCATTGCTGAAAGGAGCTTAAATACTCTTAAATACGGGTTGGTAAAGCTACTCCCAAATACTCAACTATTTGAGAAAAAAAAGAGGGAGAAAATGAAATACCTAAACCCTCCGATGCCCATGAAATTAAATTTATGGAGAGAAGAAACCAACCTTCCTTTTTTTTCAAGGAGATACTTTTCCAGCCTCCTCAAGCTTAGTAGAAGAAAATGATATATGACAAGGTCTCATTGTAACAAACAGAACCATTTGATACTGGGTTTCCCTGTACCACATGGGAATGTGATGGTACAAGAAGCAGGTAAATGCCTTCTGGTATTACACCTGGAAATCATGCTTACACTCGTGGTGAGCAGACGAAGATGCCATAGCAAATGCGTTTCAAGCTTGAATGATGACCATCATGTATTGATGTGAAGTATATTTTTTCACTATTTGCTGATGCTTACAAAGATTTTTCGTCAGTTAAAAATATTTACCATCTTCCATTGTTCTCTCCACTGTAACCGAACTTTTTGGTCCATCACCAGCAGATGTAAAGGCCAACACTTGAAACTCATATTCTGTGTATTTATCAAGCCCAGTGAAAAATATCTTCAATGTCGATCTACTGTCAATGGTCAAGCTAGTTGCTGACCCCGCAGAACTTTTTTTCTGGTAAAACAATTTAAATCCTTTAATTATTCCATTTCTGGAGTTTGCTGGTGGTAATTGCCAAGATGCCATGATAGTGGTTGAAGAGTTTGCAGCCACAGTGAAGTTCAGTGGTGTTTTTGAAGGAACTGAAATTGAACACCTCAGAGTAAACAGAAAGTTTAATTATGTTGTATCTGCACCTACGTCAAGTGACGAATCTTGAAATATTATTAGTTACCTAGTAGCCAGCTGGCACTACATTATGTTGAGTCACTTGCATGTTGCACGATTCCCATTTACGAATTTTATAAGTTTATATCTACATTTATAATGACCTAAAATATAACCATGCCTGGTCGACCTGGACAAGTATATTTCCCTTTCGAGTACTACACTTTTCTTGCTTACTTGAATACTGGACAAATTCCCGAGCAGCAAGCTAGCTTTTCGTACGAATTCGTCATACATCCATATCGCTCATCCATAAACAAAATTGATAATTGAATTGATAAAAAATTTGTTTTCTGTAGAAGGGGTGTTGGTAAAGACACAATCATTGGACCAAGAAAAATAATTTTTTCTCTCTCACTAAATGTTGACAAACTGCCACACATAGAAAATAATAGCCCTTAATTGACAACCCACAAAAAACACTTATAAAGGGAGCATACTAAAGCCAAAAAATTTTTTTACCGAAAAAAAATGGGCCTTAAACTATTGCAATTGATTTCATAAAAAATTCCAGGTTTTAGCCCATCCACAGCATTATCCCTGAAACAATCATACTGCTACCAACATAAAACTGATGGAAAACACGAAACACTGACTTGAAAAAAGTGACAATTTTTCATCTAATTACCATCTTCCATTGTTCTCCCCGTCTTTACAGAACTGTTTGGGCCATCACCAACAGAAGTGAAGGCCAAAACTTGAAATTCATATTCTGTGTACTTATCTAATCCAGTGACAGTTTTGTTGCGACTAGCTCCATCGTTTATCCTTAACGTGGTTGCCAACCCTGACAAAGACTTCTCTTTGTAGAACAATTTAAATCCCGTGATGATCCCATTTCTTGAACTCTTTGGTGGTAACTTCCAAGATGCTGTAACACTGATGGAGCTACTTACAACAACAGTGAAGTTACTTGGAGCCTGTGATGGCACTGCAGTTGTGGGAAAAACACTATTATCAATAAATCTAAGTCAAACCTTAAAAGCTTTGACCGATAAAGGTTTTTTTTAAACTCTTATCATGCGAGGAATGGACAGGACTACAAGTTTCTCCTTTTCCTTATCATGACATCGCAGATTATGGTAAAATTACGGTAACTATAAATTTACCATCCTTTTTTTTTTTTTTAAATAAAAAGACTTCTCCCAAAAATAAAACCTAAAATGTTGATTGCCAATCAATATAAAAACTCAGAGAGCACTGAACTCGAAGTACTTAAAGCTGTACCTACGTGCGCTTTGACGTGGCTATGGCGTTGTTAAGATGTCTTTTTGTCTCGAGTAAAGAACCTCAAAGTGCAAAGCGATCATTGAGGAATTAGTCAGGTGCGATTACCGAAGGAAAAACTAAGGTTTCTATCCACCAAACAAAAGAAAAGGTTTCAATACAAACAGTTTTTGTCAAATTATTACCATCTTCTAGTGTTCTCCCCACTTCAAATGAACTCTTTGGTCCATCACCAGTTGAAGTAAAGGCCAACACTTGAAATTCATATTCCGTGTATTTCGCAAGTCCTTTTATGGTTCTTCTCTGTTTTGCTCCACTGTAAACGCTACTAATGGACAAAATAGTTGATGCCCCGATAGAACCCCTAATTTTGTAAAACAATTTATATCCTGTGATGATTCCATGCCTAGAGTCTGCTGGTGGTAACTGCCAGGATGCTATAACACTCGTGGATGAGGTTGCAATAACGCTTAAGTTCAAAGGTGCTTTGGAAGGAGCTAAAATAAACAAAGTCAAAACTCTTTCGTTATGAATGATCAACAGTGTATCGGAATAATTAGGTTTGGGCTTGAAATGAATTCCTTTAAAAAACTTATACTTCAATTAAAACGGCATTGGTTGTTGTAATTAGTCAACCGCTGTACGAAAAAAGCATTTTCTTTGCAGAGATGCTAACATGCAACTGCATTTCACAGGTACCAGGATGTTTCATTCCGACTGGAAGTTGCCCTTTATGCGTTATCACAAGCACTTAATCATTATCGTAATCACTGAACTTGGAGGGACCCTCCTTCTACACTCTGTTTTTCAAAACTTACCATCTTCATTCGTTCTTTCCACAAGAACAGAGCTCTTAGGTCCATCACCAGCGGAAGTGAAGGCTAACACTTGAAATTCGTATTCAGTGTACTTTTCAAGCCCAAACACATCTTCAACACGGATTGTTTCATTGTTAATAGTTACCATGGCAGCTAAACCTAGAGAACCTTTCTTTTTATAGTACAATTTAAATCCTGTGATAATTCCATATCTGGAGTCGGCTGGTGGTAACTGCCAAGAAGCTCTAATACTGGTTGAAGAGCTTGCTGTCACAGTAAAGCTACTTGGGGGCTTTGAAGGAGCTGAATTCAGGAAAGAAGATTATAAAGAATTCATCGACTTAATACCCTTTTAACAATATGTAATGCAATATATTTAGAAATATAGCATTGTAACTAAAGTTATCATGGACATTATGCATATTTAAATAATTCGTACTGCTTAATCAATGATAAGGTCTTACGTTTTCGGTGGCAAGAAAATTATCTAGTAAGGGATTGAGTCCAAAACATAACTACAAAAAGTATGTTCTCTACCCAGTTTCGATTTTTAACAAGTACATGTTGTCAACATAGGTAACGTTTGCTATTAAAACCAAGACGACCTACATGTCAAAAAACAATTTCAAGTATGTTTGGCTTCTTTTAAATGACGGGTGACTACGCCAAAGATCATGATCAAAATGAAGACATTCCTATCTCTGTTTTCCCTCTCTTACCATCTTCCATTGTTCTCTCAACCTTAACAGAACTTTTTGGTCCATCGCCAACAGAAGTAAAGGCCAACACTTGAAATTCATATTCTGTGTACTTATCAAGCCCAGTAACGATTTTACTAAATGTTGCTCCACTGTTAATGGACATGTGGGTTGCTGACCCTGAAGAGCCTCTCTCTTTGTAAAACAGTTTAAATCCTGTGATTAATCCATGTCTGGAGCCTGCTGGTGGTAAATTCCAGGATGCTGTTATACTGGTAGAAGAGCTTGCAGTAACAACGAAGTTGGAAGGTGCTGTCGTAGGAACTGTAATAGGGAGGTCGGAAAAACTACCCTTACTACAATGCAGCATTATGTTATGCAACAACTTCAATGTCTTCCAAATTATAGCCTTGATAATTAAGAAACCGAACATGGTATTTGACCACAAAATCTAGTAGAATTTCGTTAATGCACTGTTTGTCTTTACCCATCTCACATAAAGGATCATACTGCACTCAATAATTCCTGAATAAATATATAAAGTAGCACAAAGATATACAGTAAGATGTTTTAATTTCATACCATCTCCCACTGTTCTCATAACCTTAACAGAACTTTTAGGTCCATCACCAACAGAAGTGAAAGCCAGTACTTGAAATTCATACTCTGTGTACTTGATAAGCCCACTGACATTTGTTGTATGAGTTGCTCCACTGTTTATAGTTATTATGTCTGCTGGTGCTCCCGAGTTCTTTCTTTTGTGGAACAATTTATATCCAGTGATTATTCCATTTCTAGAGTCTGCTGGTGGGAACTGCCAGGATGCTGTAATAACATTAGGAGAGCTTGCAGTCACGGTGAAGTTAGTTGGGGCACTCGAAGGAGCTGATGTGGAGAAATAAAAGGCAAAATTCACCTCATGCAAACACTTCGACTGAGTGGAAAAATATTTGTCAAAACAACCAATAACAGTCTTATAAAAAGACATTTAAATAAATCTAAAACAGATCTAATCTAGCAGCTGAAGCAAATATTAGCAAGCATGCATTTCAACTATATCCACTGCTGATACTGTTTTCAGCCTCAGACTGGGAAAGTAACCCATTTGTTTGTACAATGCTTACATTACCGTTAGGTGGAAGGTAATCTGATAAAAAAAATGTTTACAATGATTTGCATGATGATAGAGAACCCAAACAAAACTACAACGGCAGTGGTATCAAGAATGGACAGAAATAAAATTGAAAGGCTTATTAAGCGTACTTCTGTGTTTCTTAACATACTCCAGGTACATTATTTGCAAGCTTGTTTCTCACACCAAAATTACCATTTGAGCACAACTCTTCATTCTCGATGATAGTTCTCCACATTCACATACTCAGCTGATTGAACACTTTACTTTACTGACGGATCGAGACCGACCAATCACGACCGACCTACACTACTTAAGTCTTACAGCCGATAATATCACGGCAAAACTGACCAATCAGTTTATATGAACCGGACTAAGAACACTCGACTGACAACAGCCATTTACTTGAATCTGATGATGACTTCCGCTCGGTTTGTCGAAACGTCAGTCACCACTACAGACAACACTCCTTCTCAGGATTGCACTGACCCGGATGATCAAACTATACTATTACATGACCACTGTAAATCTACTGCCATAAGGCACCAAAATGAATTGTAACCAATCACAACTTTCTGGTTACAAGAAAGGAAAAAATTAATTTTTAGATTGATGTTTCTAAGGGCATAGCAATCGTGAGTAGAATAAAACCTGTAAGAGCAAGTAAAAACTTAACAAAGTGGGATGTTAAAACATTTTGATTTTTTTTTCTCCGTACAAATAGAATAATTTTTGATTATGGGAGAAAGCTTTACACGGTGCGATTTTCCAGTCATGTATGCAGTGGTATTATTATTATTATTATTATTATTTTTTTTTTTTTTCACTTTAGTTACCATCCTCCATCGTTCTCTCAACCTTAACGGAACTTTTTAGTCCATCACCAGCTGAATTGAAGGCCAACACTTGAAATTCATATTCTGTGTACTTCTCAAGTCCGGCGAGATAAAAATGTATAGAAGGGCTCGCTCCACTGTTGATAGTTAAAGATGTTGCTGAGGTGGCAGAGGTTTTCTTTTTGTAAAACAATTTAAATCCTCTGATTAATCCATGTATGGAGTTTGCTGGTGGTGATGTCCATGTTGCGTCAACACTGGAGGAAGACCATGAGGTCACTGTGAAATTACGTGGAGGCTGGGAAGGAACTAAAATTGGAGGAAAATCACATGAAAGTGATTAACCATGTTTCAACGAGAATTTAAAAAATTACATATTAAGTAAACAATCTACAGTATATAATGTCAGTGATTACAATTACATAAATGAAGTTTTGGGCAGGGTACAACAAATGTATAACAAGCAGCATCAAGCTGTTGCCATATACATTTTTAACTACCAAGTTGAATTAATTCAACTTTAAACACAACAGCCTAAACATTCTATTAATATCTATCTGATCACCTATTTAACTTTTCCTGTTACAAAAGTCATAATTTTCAAAATATCGGCAGTTAAATAATTTATTTTAAAACTCTTGAATTACCATCCTCCTTTGTTCTTGTCACCTCAACAGAACTATTTGGTCCATCACCAACAGAAGTGAAGGCCAACACTTGAAATTCATACTCTGTGTACTTGTCCAATCCAGTCACAGTTTTGTTACGAAGTGAACCATCATTCACAGTGAACATGGTTGCCAACCCTGAGAACGATTTCTTCTTGTAGAACAACTTAAATCCTGTGATGATTCCATGTCTGGAGTTAGCTGGTGGTAACTGCCATGATGTTGTAATAATGCTTGAACTAATAGCAGTTACACTGAAGTTACCAGGTGCTTGTGATGGAACTTTTGAAATTTAGAAAAAAGCAATGCTTAACTGAATTAAGGTCCGTACATGCACAGTGCATATTAAAGATTATTTTCCGAGTGTCCGTATGATCACTGAATGTTTAGACCAATGTTAGCACAGAAGATGCCGCATGGGTTTGCAATACCATGTCAAAACCCTTGCATCCTTGCTTTTATGCCACACAGGTTCAGAGGACACATCAAAACATAAAAATTCAAAATAAGACCTCTTTTCCATAGCGGCATAAACACATTGCTGATCGTTGCATGCATTACAAGTGACTTTGAGGTGGCTGCATGATTGGCAGGACACCCTTGATGCACATGCGGCAACGTAAGCAAGGTATAAGTCTCACATCTAAATTTACATCCCTTAAAGAAGTGATATGACATTTCACCGAAGCTGATGTCAGCTACTCTAGGAGGGGTTACGCTTAAGTAAATAAGGGGAAAGCAATGAAGACGATCATTTACGACAAGAATGTAATCTCTTTGATTTGTCACATACCATCTTCCATTGTTCTTTTCACCTCAGAGGAACTCTTTGGTCCATCCCCATGAGAGGTGAAGGCTAACACGTTGAATTCATAAAATGTGTATTTTTCAAGCCCCGTGACAACCCTACTCAGTGTAGCTCCATTTCTAATAGTCAAGTGGGTTGCTGATGCTTGGGAGCCTCTTTCTTTGTAAAACAATTTAAATCCTGTAATGATTCCATGTCTGGCATATTTAGGTGGTAACTGCCACGATGCTGTAATGCTAGTTGAGGACTTTGCAATCACTGCAAAGTTACCAGGGGGTTGTGATGGAACTAAAGCAAAAAGTATGTGCTTCAAACACTTTTTAATGATTACCAACATGACCCTGACAGAGGTGGATAGAAACCATCAGTGGTGGTGAATTAAGATATACACATGTAATGCGGTTTCCAGGGTTCCCCTTCATCACAGCAGCATGGAGTGGGGGTTGTGACTCTTTTAGATACTGTTTACACATACTTTATGTTTCATACACTGAAGCACACACATACACATGTTATGAACGTGACAAGCAACATAGTATAAATCGTATGCGAGAGAGACTTATTTTGCTTGGGTTAGCGACAAAATCTTTCTTATAGTGCAATACCATGCATATACATGTATGTCCATTCAATATCTCACCATTGTATACATTGTAAGTTTATAGTGTTAATACACTGTTTATTCATGGACAATTATTCACCAACATGGAAAAAATGAGAAACCACAAGGAAACAACAGGTAAATATCCACCACTTTCATTGACACTGAAGTAAATATTTGTTTTAGTATACAGTGCACAAGAAAACATTGAAATGTTGTACTGCATCAATGACTTGTGATGCTCATTTTCTTATCCTTAAAGTAAATGCTTATTTTATGCAAAAGCAAGGAGACTGGAAATTTTTTTTTTCAATCCTTAGTTCTTGCTTTCTTTTCCTCAATCACTCTTTCTGGAATAACATGAAGGCCTGTGTGTAGCTTAAGTCTGGGTATGAAAATGGGATATATTCTAAAATCACAATAGCAGATAAAGGTACCTTGAGCTACTCGTACTCCATACACTTCCACTCTCAAACCCTTATATCCTGAAAAAGCTGTTGGCTGGAAGCGGATATACTTTGCACTAACAAATTCATTGAGACTCTGTTTTACAATGTCATTTTTTCCAGAATTTCCATTGAAGACCTGCAATTTGCAGCAAAGTGCTACATCAACAAAGATATAATGTGCTGCTGTTTACATGTACCTCTCACTTTTTTAAAATTATAAAAGAGCAAACACATGAGGAGTCAAACTTCCCTTCAACAGCCACCCAGAAGAACCGAAATTCCAATTGCTTGTTATAAAAGTGTAAAAGCTAGCCATTGTAAAGAAATGGGCAATATAAAAACTTAACGTCTCAGCTTTATGGTTTTGCCATACCTATAAAACCACGAAGGATCTTCAAGCACTCTGAATAGATTGCTTAAGCACATAAACTGTAAGTGTTACTATCTATCTTATAAATAACCTTGTAGTTCATATAAACCAACCTTATCAACACTGTTTTCCTGATAGGTGAGAAAGTTGGTATCTTTAAGTGATGACTGTAACTTGTACTTCGTTGTCCACTCATTGGCTCTTGGATTTCCTTGTGTAGCTACAGCACAGATGACATACTCAAACAGCAGGTCAATTTGAAGGTAATCATTAGCATTATTGTTGCCATTAGGTGCCCATGACCTTGCTCCAGTTAAGCGACCATATTTAGCTGCATATACTGAATTAAACCTTGACGAGGAGGAGAAGCTGCTGTCTGGAATGGTACCAGTCCTGGCTACACCAATGGCCTGCATAGAACATCCTGAAAGATAATGATCCATATTCAACTCTCCCTAAATAAATAAGAAAATGTAGAAAAAAAATGATAACTTCAATGATCTTAACTGTTACCCAAATTTTCAAATAAAAACATTCATTTCCTATTCCCTATCTACTCAAATGTGTTTCATGGTTGAATACAGAGACAATTTAAGGTCAATTACAAGTTAGAATACCATACATTTTTATCATTGTGGGAGGTTTCCCTTTTATTTTGAATGATTCTGGATGTAGCTACAGTTGTATGTATTAATTGTGCCTGCTGCTAATTTAACAACCAAGTACATGTGCATTTATTACCCAAATGACATGCTGTGGGTCTAAGACCCACCGCATATAATTGACTATTATACCCCATTCACACCAGCAAAACATGTTTTGTTAAACTGGTTTTCATTGAATGAAAATTATAAACAGAGCACTGAAAAACTTGATTTTCCATTGGATTCAAGTACTTGCTAACTTGCATTTCCAATGTGCTACATTCAAGTCAAAAATATTCGGTTAAATAGTTTCTAAAAAGAAAAAAAAAATTAAACTGTGTTTAACAAAACAACTTTTAAACATGTTTAAGCTTTGGTGTGAATGCGGCATTAGATTTCATGTTACAGTGCATCTGTTCAGCAATAGACCAAAGATGACATTAAAATATGGTTCATGTAAGAACAAAAAAGTGGCACACGAGGTGTAGCTGAGTGTGTCACTGATTTTCTTCCCACAATTTGACATGTTCTGTGATCTAGTACTGTGCGGACTCACAGTAGCCCAGAATCTATTTCACTCATAAGATAAAAAAAACAAATCTTGTTAATGGTGATGTAATCTATGTGTATATGTCCTCTGATCATAAGATCATAAGATCATGAATAAGAACCAATCAAAATACATTCAACATTTAGCTTATCATATAATAACAAACTTAAATTATCATATATTGCATATACCCTCTAAACTTACTTGGCTTTTGTGTCACCCCAAATACCTCTGTTCTCATACACACTCCACCCTGGTGTGTTTGTGGCAGGAATCGCAGATACCTTGTTAAGACTCTATAGACAGTATGTTTAACCACTGAATTTCTATTAACATTTCCATCTAAAACCTAGAAAAAAAAAACCGATCACATCTTATCATAAATTTACTCTTCTAAGTACATTTGGATAGGGCATGAATAATTATAGACCTCTCATAAATGGCAAACCTACATGCAATTATGATTTCAGTGTGTTGCCACATTCTTAGTTTCCTTATTGAAAGAAAATTCTATTACCTCCAAAAATGCTGGCAAGGCTGACAATTTCTATGCACACAAAATACTTGATGTTATAGTATTGGCAATCACCTCACAACTGTTACATAGGACCAGACTTCAAAATCATTATACCAGTCACCTTTTCTATGTCTTACTTAAAAGTCTTCTTATGTCGCACAGTATATGTCCTCTACCTTAACTTGTCCACCTTCCTTGTAGTCTGTCCAAGTTGTCCCATCTGTGGATAATTGTAGTTTGTAGGTCTTCACCCACTGATCTGCTTTAGAATTCCCTTGAGTAGACACAGCACAGATGATATGAAGAGTCTGTAGATCAATCTGCAGATGTGGGTTAGTGTCACTCGTTCCTGCACACCAGGATGATCCTGATGCGTAGTTCAGTCGACCATTCTTGGCTGGTGTGTTGGCACTCTGTTCAGAGGAAGCAGTTATTTTATTGTCTTGAATTTTTGCACCTTCCATTCCAAGATCTAGTTCAACACAATCTCCTATCAATAGTAAATAAAAACGGATTGTCAAACATGACTAGCCAACATGTCCAGGAATGTACAATAGGGCAGTGTGAGAGACTCAGATTCCAGACATTTGCATTTAGGATTTCCATCCTTGCAAACTGTTTCTTATGAACCACTCAGGTATGCTATGCATTTGTACTTCATACCACATATATAGTGGAAGATAATTAAGGCTTTGGATAAAGGTAGATCAACCATCATTAGTGGCCTAGGGTTCCAATGAACATAAATCAACAGAAATTGTAAGGTTACAAAGTGCTCTTTTTCATCACATGAGGCTTTTAAAAATATACCTTTTGGTTGTTTTTAAATATCTTTTGTCACCCTGACAAATAAAAAATGGTCAATGTTGAAGGCTACTGGGGGTGATCATTCTACCAAACAGTAGATTTTTATCCTGTTGCAAATCCTTCATATGCATGGTATTTTTGGTTATCTCTTAGGAGTGTCTGTGGCAATTGTTATAATGCTTTGTAATTTATGAATACTTACAAAGATAGAAACAGATTTATAGACATCTACATAGACACTTATTTCAACTGATAACTCATTACAGCGAAGTTTTTATCCTGTTGTAAAAGCCAGACTGAAAGTACAAAAGACCAAAACATATTTTGTGAATTCCCACCTTCTTTTAAAGTTCTCTCCACCAGGGAAGAACTCTTTGGTCCATCTCCAGCTGAAGTGTAGGCCAACATCTGAAATTCATATTCTGTGTACTTCACAAGCCCTGTAACATCTTTAGTATTAGCTGACCCACTATTGATAGTTGTTACAGTTGCTGCACCTAGAGAACTTTTCCTTTTGAAAAACAATTTAAATCCTGTTATGATTCCATTTCTGGAGCCTACTGGTGGTAACTGCCAGGAAGCTCTCATGATTGTAGAAGTAATTGCAGTCACAATGAAATTGCTGGGAGGTTGTGATGGAGCTACAATAAATGAAGTGAAAGAATGAAGTATATTTATAGTGTAACTGCTGCACGATCCTTATATTACAACTGGAAAATTATTCAGCAAGTGCTTGTACAGCTAGTGAAAACTAGGACCAATTAATGCCAGAGTAGAAGACTACAGTATCCTGCAACACCCAGTCAAGAGCCCTAAATGCCTGCAATTAGTTTGGTACCTGTAGTGGCACACTATAGACACAGGGTCAGATTGACAAAATTCTAAAGCATGAAAATCCAAACTGGCTTTCTAACAAATATATGTTACTTTATATAATTGCAACTTTTAAGGTATCAAACAAAGCCATAGCGAGGGCAAGATTTAAGATGCAATATGATTAAACCATATTAATAAACAGAGAAAAGTACTCCCTGCAGAGAAAGATTTTAAATTCCACTGTCACAAGGAAAAGACAGAGAAACTCTAACAGGAATAGAGCATGTGGCCTCTCACACATGTATAGCACGTTAAATGCTCTTACAATTTGCCATTTCTTTCACCTTGAATTAATTCATCACATACCATCTTCCATTGTTCTCTGCACCTTGAGAGAACTCTTTGGTCCATCCCCTGCTGAAGTGAAGGCCAACACTTGAAATTCATACTCTGTGTACTCATCAAGTCCAGTGACAATGCTACTCAGTGTTGCTCCACTGTTGATTGTCAAAGTGGTTACTGACCCTGCAGAACCTTTCTTTCTGAAGAACAGCTTAAACCCTCTTATCTTTCCTTGTCTAGCAATTCCTGATGGTAACTGCCACGATGCTGTAATGCTTGTAGAAGAGCTTGCAGTCAAAGTGAAACTACTTGGGGCTTGTGATGGAACTGAGACAAAAGATATTGAGATGCATGCTCTTGACAATTTGTTGATAATCAACTTGGATTGGATAACGGTCTTTAATAATTTAGTAAATTTCTCAATCTGTGATTAGAGAAGATGCAAGTTTCTCTCTTTTACTCCTACATGATATTGTTTAACTCCATTTATTCTCAGCAGGAAAAATTAAACATTTGATTAAAAAATTATCATTTAGAAGTATTTACCTCTGATCACACGAATTCCATATACTTCTACTCGTAAACCCTTATATCCTGAATAGGCTGTTGGCTGGAAGCGGATATACCTTGCATTTGCATATTTATTGAGACTTCGCTTTACAATGTCATTTCTTCCTTTATTTCCATCAAAGACCTATGATTTGCCACAAAGTGCAACATGATTAAGAAAAAATGCAATATTTAACTATAACCTCTCAATCTTTTAGATTTAATTACAAGAAAGTGAATACACAAACATACTCTCATCCATTTACCCTTGAGAAAGACTAAAATATTTACGATAGAACTGAAAAACATGGATTTGTGTTTTGTCGGGAAGAAGGCCAATTGACTATGTGAAGGGGTGGCCACCATAAAGAGGTGACTATGAGTGGTAGTTGGACAACTGTGACTTACACAACTTTAGCCATTTTTCCATTATACAGAAGGATCCAAATTAAATGCTGGGTCTCCAATACATGTAATTAAAATAACTGAATGATGAATTTTTTTTTATTTTTATTAACCCTATATCCCCTGAGGGTGACTTGTTTCTAATTTCTTCTTACATTGTCACCCTTGAATCAACAAATATATGTGTATAGGTCATGAGAATAAGGAAATGATCACCCATTTAAGATGCTTCTGATTGTCATACAAACTCTTGAACTGAAAGTGTCAATTCTTTCTAGTGGAATACAAGTGTTGAAAATCAATTGCTTTTAAGTTTTCAACTTTGGTCAATGTGTATAAGGTAACAGTTACTGATTTTGCCTTTTAAAAAAAAAAACTGACCATCAGATCACAAACATGGATAGGGCATTTGAACACAGTTCCCCCCCCCCTCCCCCTTGGAGAGCCCAGTGGATTGCCTGGGGAAGAAGTTAAACCTTCAAATTGATCCAGCACTTAATGACCTGAGAAAAACCTACATTTATAGCTGGATCTAAACCCACCTTGTCAGCACTGTTTTCTCGATAGGTGACAAAATTTGCATTATCAAGGGATAATCTTAACTTGTATTTTGTTGTCCACTCATTGGCCCTTCGATTTCCCTGTGTAGCTACAGCACAGATGACATACTCAAACAGCAGGTCAATTTGAAGGTAATCATTAGCATTACTGTTGCCACGAGGTGCCCATGACTTTACCCCATTTAAGCGACCATATTTTGCTGCATATACTGAATTAAACCTTGACGAGGCGGAGAAGCTGCTGTCTGGAATGGTACCAGTCCTGGCTACACCAATGGCCTGGGTATAACACACTGCAAAATAATGATCCATAATTATTAAACTTGAAAAATTATTTACAAATACATTTCAAGAACCAGTCTTTATGTTATTAACTTCTAGCATCTTAACCCTTTAGCTGTGCCACACATTTCCTTGTAAAATGGTTATGAGAATTTTTTGTTTAATCTACGATAATATCTTGTACCTCATAAGTTTGAGTAATCTCATTACCTGCTTACTGGATAATGTATGGATACAAAAGGGAGAAGTTACATGCAAATCACTTCTGGGAGTTAAAAGGTTAAAGCCCCGAATTTTTTCCAACGTTTGCTAATTATCTTACCCCTTTAACTCCCAAGATCTCATTAGCAATTCTCCTTACTGTCTGCCATACAGTTCTTGTGATGTTAGTTTGGAGAATTTGGTATTAGATCAACTAATAATCCCTTAATTAATATTTGTCTTTATTCTCATCACTTGTCTGCTTGCTATTGTATTGACACGGGAGGTAAAGGGTTAACAGAGCTTCAATGATTCAGCTTCTAAGTGTTGAATGAAAGTGTTTTGCCTGAAACATTTAACTTAAGTTTCATTACTGTGTCTAGTACACTAAAAATACTTCTTAGTCAATGCCCTCTTCACCCTGTAAACTGCAGACAGGAACTTGTCTGAGTAATTTGCATTTCAATATTTTCCAAAACTAATGATTTTATGTTGTTGTTGCTTACTTTTTTATCTGATAAGAGAATTAAAAATGATTTGTATCTTTAACTATTTAACTCCCATATCAAATTTGTAATTCTCACTACTGTCAACTATATATTTCTTATAATGTTAGTTCAGAGAATTAATTATTGGATCAACTTATTATCCCCAAATTGATATTTTTCTTTATTCTTATCACTTATCTGATTGATATTGTATTGATAGTGCGAGGAGAAATTCTGTCTTGGTCGCTTGTGGGAGTTAGAGGGTTAAAGCTCATTTAGTCAGAATAACAAGTGCTACAAAAATGACCCAGCTAATAGGTTGAAGATTAATTTATTTATTATAATTAATGCATTTCAAACTCACTTGGCTTTTGAGTCACTCCAAACACCTCTGTTCTCATACACACCCCACCCTGGTGAGTTTGAGGCCGAAATCGGAGATATTTTGTCAACACTCCATAAACAGCATGTTTAACCTCTGAGTTTCGGTCAAGATTTCCATCTAGAACCTTCAAAAGAAAAGGAAATAAATCCTTATACATCCTCAAAAATATGATTTCTTGAAGTAAAAAGGTCACGAATAATCAACATACATTGCTGATATTCCTATTGAGTCTATTCAACATTATTGCATATTCAGAAATACACACAGCTCTAAGTGAGTGCAAGAAAATAATTATCTGAGAAATGATGTCTTGAAGTATGCACCGCATGTATGTCTCATACAGGTACCTTAATTTGTCCACCTTCCTTGTAGTCTGTCCAAGTTGTCCCATCTGTGGATAACTGTAGTTTGTAGGTCTTTACCCACTGATCTGCTTGAGAATTCCCTTGAGTGGACACAGCACAGATGATATGAAGTGTCTGTAGATCAATCTGTAGATATGGGTTGGTGTCACTTGTTCCTGCACACCATGATGATCCTGATGTGTAGTTCAGTCGACCATTCTTTGCTGGTTTGCCAGCACTTTGTACTGAAGAAGCAGTTATTTTACTGTCTGTAATTTGTCCATCTGCCATTCCAAGATCTGAACCAATGCAATCTCCTATGACAAGTTATACAGATGTTTTTTAAGATAAAACTTAGTTAAGCAACATTAAGATGACAAGCCAACATGTACATGCACAATATGTGGTCTGGAGAAGATTGATATGCACTTTTTCACCACCTACGCTATGAATTTGTTTGTCATTGATTGATGTGTGATCACGTGTCTTTGCATGTATCAAATGTTGTCTACACCATATGTATTGCTAGAATGTACTCAAAGCCCACAAAAGCCCATGATAACAACAAGCCTGAAGCTGGGGGAGGGGGGGGAATTGAGTCAGTTTTTGCACTGGATAAGTGGTGTTACCCTCTTAAAATCTCTCCCTCGCTAATAGTCTATTCTGTGGCCAATTATAGACCCTACCCTAGTCACTTTTGGGAAAATGTAACTTTAAATCCTATAGTAACTATTGAAAATGCAACCCCATTCCAGTCGATCCAGACGTGAAAATGCAATCCCATCCGGCGGCAAATCCCCAACAGCCTCTTATTAGGAAGTAAGAGGCACAGTAAATACACAGAGGACAACAATAAATACCTATGAGCCATTTAGTTACAACCACAGTGTTTTGAGATCACCTGAAGATTTCAATTCTTTCTCAGACTTCTAAAAGCAATGGATAAATTAAACTCTTACCAATCCCGGTTGGTAGTGTTTTTTTTTTTAGAGCTACAGATCTTTCGGGAATATTCTGTCTGCTTGATCTTTTGGAAATATGTGAATGAAATCTCTGAGAGACGAAGCAAAAGCAGCGAAATTCGACGGCCACTATAGTGTCTACTTGATATGAACGTAAACACTTCGATGTCATTTTAACTTGCAAGTAATGAAATATCCCGCAAACACGCGAGAAATTCCCAAACTGATACCCAGTCTCTTTCTACCTTTGTTGATTTATAAATAGGCGAACAAAATTTTTATTTCATTTTATTTCCTTTTTTTCTTTTCTTTCATTAAAATCTTCAAATGTAGTTTTACACATATCGTTGGACTTTCCGTTTTCTTATTCGTTCGTTTGAATAATTCGCGTATTTGATAGACCATCGTAGAAATATGAATTGTCTTTGCTAGTAGCTCTCATTTCTATCAAATGAAAAAATTTTGTATTTTTCTTCAAAGGAAAGAATTGCGTAGGCAATTAGCGAGAAAACTCTCTCTTAAATTGATCGAGGGAAAGTTTACTCCGTACCATTGGGGTAAGGAGTAAGTTCACCGGCACTTGTGATATATCATATCGTCTCTGTCTTCTTTCTTTTACATGTGCCTAAATGATCAGAAAACGGGTCGGTGCGGATAATTCTTTTTAAGACAACAGGATAAAAGGCAAAAACGATATTTTAAGGATATCGTGAGATGGTTAGGCGTGTGAATGCAATGAGAGGAACTCTGTTCTTACCTAAAGCCAGAGGAATTCCAAACAGCAAGGCAAGGAAAGCCAGCTTAAGGAGTAGCTCGAGATGAATCTCAGCCATAATTTGCTTCAGTCAGCAGAAGGCGTCCACGACTGTTTTCCCTCTATGGGTCGTACACTCAAACTTCTTTTTAGTGCGATACGGCTTGAAACTTGCGAGTACCTCTTTACTTTGTATTATGATAGCACCGCTCCAAGTTTTTCAACGCAGGAAAGTTACTAATTTGCCACTTACAGTAGCTGGTGCAGAAAGTAATTTGTGGGCTACTGAGGAAATGGGGATATAGGTATCGTAAAGAACTTTATTCTTTGCGTGTTACAAACGTGTCTATACCAGTTTTAGCTTAAATTACCTTTACGTCATCTTTTAATACGGCTTATTCACATTTTTATCAGTTAATGACTGGTTTTGTTTGGGCAAGTTTTTCAGCTGTACGTTTAGAGACATTTTACCCGCACTGCAAAAATCCGAAGCTAATACTTTGTTTATCCAGCAAGAAAAGCCGGAATACGAGTCGAACCAAGAAACCTTGCTACCCGTGTTGTGCTCGTAACTACTTAAAGCGATTTCTATTCGATTATCTTTTTTTAAGTCGTGTTTAAACTAAGGATGATGTTTGTTTTAAATACGAGTTAGTGTTAGGGCTAGTGTGAAACTGAGAGTGCGTAAATGACAGATAAGTATAATATGACAATAATTTACAGTTCATTGAAACTTAACACACGTCCACGTATTTTATTACACTTTCTTTAACAAACAGTGCAAGTCATTTCTTAACTTACCCCTTACAGCCTGGTTTTATTTATGTCATTTATAGGGTAAATCGGCACGGATACGTAACAGAACAACAAGAAACAAAACTATTTACGGTAATGGTTTTGAAACTCCCTTCAACGGTTGGAATTTTGGTCGTCTTCCAATGTTGGGACTGTTCAACACAACACATTGAGTACCAAGGAAACGATTGAGGGGGAAATGAATTCTTAACGAAAAGTAAAAGCAAGTCAACTGAACCCTCCGTAGAAGAGATTTAGCTCTCGACTGGATTTTAAGCCATGTTCTCTCAACTAAAAGGCAAAGTTGTCTAAATGTTAGAATTGATTTCTCTAACACTCGTTTGTGGTCTGGTTGATCCTTCTTTATTTGCTTCTCTTCTCAAGTTGTTACAATGGGGACTAGCTTCAATATATCAGGGAAAACTAGAGTCTCCGCTCATAAAGGTGTCACTGCAGATGACATTTCTAAGCCGTCAATCTTCTTGTGTCGTCATCGTACCATCTCAACTAGCGAATCACGCTTGACTACGTATTATAGTTCCCACATACGGAGTAAGCACCTTAAGGTTGTCTACGCAGTTACAAAATCAATTTCTTCCCTAATTTTCATATCTTTACGGTTGAGATCGGCCAGAACAGAAACGAGATCGACAATATAAAAATTACAAATAACCTTGGTGTAGAGTGTTATTTATACCTAAAAATGTATCTTAAGAGAAAATCACCTTTAAAGATTGTTACATAACAACATCTTGGTCACAAGAGTTAAAGAAGAAAGGCGCTCACAAGTACCGCCCCCAAATTGCTTCTTGTTGCGAAAACATGAGGGACATCACCTGTTTACCCTTAAATTACCTCTGGGAACACGAAGGTGTCGAACGCGACCTATTACCAGGGAGATTTACTCTTCCTGGACTAACAAATTGACTTATTTAAGAACACGGCCTATCACGAGTTCCATGTCAACTTCACGATCACAACGAAGAAAACGTGATTAAACTCACTAGGTGAACGTGGCCAAACTCACAAGAAGAACGTGATTAAACTCAACCTTTAAGATAAGACCACCAAGAAGGCGTACGAAGTAATCAACCTGCCCTTTTTATAATTTACATTAAATGACTTAGAATAATATAATATTTCCATTCCTTTTCTTTCTAACACCAATACAGAAAACCCTTATAATATTGTAGATTAGCTATAATTGTAATTTTATCATTTAACATAAATTCATGAGGATTGTGACATTAGGAAATCTAGGCCTCTTTCCACGAAAGGAAATTTCAATCAAACAGCTCTGGTATCAGCGAAAGATATCGTACTGATGTTTCCACGAAAAAGGTCACAAGATTCCATGAAAAGCTGCTGAATTCCTTTAATGATTGATCCATAGATAGGATTAGGAATATATGTCAGGTCATTGAAGCTAAGTCTCTTAAATTTGCACAATTAAAGAGAGTGTTTTAAAGATGATTTTAAACAACGCTCTTATGAAATTATGTAAACGTCTCAAAAAGTTGCAGATTGTACGAGATTTTAGGAAGAACTTTAATGTGTGCGAATTTGTGACATTAAAACTTCCTCCGGCGATATAAGTACCTACTGCTTGGGAAGCATGACGTTTGTGTATGAGGTTTGATCATCAGCCAATGTCTTGAATACATTGTCTGTCGTTGCTCCAACATTATGATGACAAAGACGATGCTATTTGCGAAACCAAAGCTTCCACACCGAGACCCCTAGATTAACAACTCGAGTTTGCTGAACGTCTGTATTGAACGAGCGAAAAAGGAGCACGTAAGTGAATCTAGTTTCGAGGCATTGATTGAACGACAACTCAACAAGATTGCTGATCGGAGGAACACACTGGAACTAGAACTGAGAGCCTTAGTGGGTTTCACAGGGCCTGTGACTTGACTGTGTCTCCTGCCTTCACCCTGATATATAGACCTAGAATGTAAGCGTCTTGGTCCAAGTTACTGTTGCGTCATATCAAGAGTCCAATTTCTTAGAAAAGCGGAAGTCTGAAAGCAAGTAATCGCTGTTTTGTGTCTTTTATAAGTATATTATGATGACCCTTGTGATAGAACGTGTTAATTGAATTTTTCATCTGCTTCACACATCATAGACAAGTCGCTCATCTGGACTAGTAAAAAGTGCTAATGATGTTAATTTCAAATTTAGATAAAATTCATTATAATCACACATTGATTTGAATTCTAGTACTCTGATCAGCTTCCAACAAAGCGTGTCGGCTTCGTGCGTTGGAGCATTGTACCAGCATCGCCAGGTCACGAGAGCGAATCCTGTTCGGGCCTTAACAAATTTATATATTCGTCTTTATTTTTTTTTTTTGTCTTCAAACCCTTATTTAAACAACTTTTTGGCTCGTGCACAAATTAGCAAATGTATTAACAGTCATAAGAAGCAACTTGAGAATAATCTCTTAAGCTATCATAACAGTAGACTTTATCCAACTCATTATCAATTGCTATCAGAGATTAACTAATGCGGAAGTCTGTGAAGTCTGTTTTACAAGTTTTCTTTGTCTTTGGAAACCAAAAAGACGAGTATATCATTTTTGGTTTCAAGGCTAACTGCTAGGAGAGACGCGATATATCGATCATGTTGGTGGAACAAGGGTACTGTCTTCATGCAAAATCAAATAAATTCGTATTAAAATGAGACTGTATTCTCTTGCCCAGTTATTCTTCCCAACTCCTTTGACATTTTTCTTTACCGCTGAAAGAGGGTGTCTAAAAAGGTTCGTTCAAGGGGAAAGAATTTCGAGACTTTGACAACTAACCGCTTTCGGCTGTAGTTCAATCTAAAAATATCCTTCGACGAAAAAGGAACTATATGACGGAGAGAAGGCACGCTTCGACTGACAAAAATTAACGCTAATGATCATGACTAAACATACCTTTTTACTGGGATACTTGTTGTAGCCCAGTCATAAAACGCCTTTGTTTTTTTGTCGTCTTTTTTTTTCCTCCACCACAAATGGAAAAATTGCGCAATAGTACCCAGTGGTCATTGGGCCCTCAACACCATAGCAATTAACTGTGATCCAATAAGGGTGAAGGTGTTCAAATGCTGATCACATGTGTTATCTTGATGATGATTGACGTTGTCATACATGGACAGGGCCGGGTCACATGATGAACCACGAGGTTTTTGCTTATAAAACTCTTTTGTCAGGCGTTTTGTATTTAGCGACGTAGGTTCAACGTTTCTGATTCACGATTACCCGGAGCTTTATGGTGCAAATGCGCAAAATACTTACAGACGCATACACAAGTCGTATTGTTCGCGGCAAATCCTCGCTAAAAGATGTTACTGAGCGGTATTTTTGGAACGAATTGAGTCGCGAACGCTTGAAAGCCATGAAAGCCATGTATGCCTTGAAAAGCCATCAAAGCCTTGTATGCCTTATATGCCAAGTACGCCAATGTCTTAGTTGAAAAACGTACACCTGTTGAAAAAAGCAAAATCTGAAACCAAACTGCATATACTCTATGCAGTCTATTCAACAACACTACTACCGTGAGACTGAAGAACAAAACTCTTATAGATGCAAACTGCATGCGAAGAAAGACGCCATGTTGGATTCACTTGATGCCAAGGAACGTACCTACGATAACACGATAACAGTACGAATGGTATTACTTTCACGATCAAAGGTGAATCTTACGTTTGCTTTCATGGTAATTGTATGGATATTCTTTATTAATAAATACATGATCCAAAATCCTGGGTTTTTAGTGTATAATGTTATGTTATCTATTGTTTACGCAATTGTCTTGTGGGCTAATTTCTATGTGAAGTTGTTGATTTCTTCAGCAAAAGCTGCCGTGAATAGCTTCGATGAATGTAACGTATTTGAGAAATCTGCTCAGTTATCTGTTATTGTACATGATGAGAAGCTTACAAATAGCAATGATGAAGCATTTTACAGTCTGTAACTGTAGATCTCGATACGACAATTTTTTAAATCGCCTTCGTACGCATAGTATTCGTGTTCGTGATCGTGAGCCCAGCAGAATACTAAAGAAAAGAACTACACGTATTTTGAAGATATCGAGGAAAGTAAGACGTTTACTTCGAACCTACATCAGAAAAAGCATACCGAAGTCTTCCCGAATGTATCTTTTTTATAAATAAAGCTCGTGAAAAAAATACATGCACATGGAATCAAATGTGGGAATAAAGGAACAACGAAATATCCCTCTTCTGCAGTCAGGAGAAAATATCCAAAGTCTAACAAATACAGGATACTGAAAATGCAAAACCAATACCCACATGTAATACAAAGTCCAAAGCCAAAGCAGTCAAATGCATAGAGGTCTAAGTACCAAATGTTTACAAAAATCTGAATCACAGGGTAAATCATTTTATGTCCAATCTGTCTGGGGATATGGAAGCAATTAATTAATTCCACTAAAAAAATTCAAGCTTACGGTCAAGACGATGTGGCAATGTTTGGGTTAAATGCTGGTACACAGTATGTAGCCATGTCACTAGCTTTCCTCATATATTACAAGAGGAATGGTATTGTATCCTCAATGGACTTGGTTAATATCATGAATATTGGTATTGAATTGTATTCTGGTCTATCTAGTCTATCCCAGCAATCCTATTTACTGTTAACAGATGTACCTGAAATGATAATAGTGTTTAATACTAATTATCAGCTTCAATATAGTCCAAGCTATACTGATACTATACATGGTACTTATGAAGTACAAGATTTCAATTATTGTAAGTCATTTGCTAATGCTATGCAGGCTTTGCTAGGACAAAATTATAATTTCTTTCTTTTAACAGTCCTTAGTACTACAGTAGGTTTTTACTGTAATGGTAATGGTAAGTTTAAGATATTTGATTCTCATGGTAGAGATTCATATGGTATGCCCCATCCTCAAGGAACTTGTGTACTGTTAGAAGTTAACACTTTAAATGAGCTGATAAACTCTTTTCAAGGTCTTTCTCAAAATCCAAATGTTTTATTTGAACTCAAAGGTGTACATATTAATGAAAAAACAATGTGATATAACATATTTCTGATCAACAGTTGTCAGCTGTCCCCCTCAAAGCAAATTATGCAGATGCTGAAACTACAACCATTCATATTCACTTGTTATGATGTTGTGCCACATCTTTTTATAGCATTTGTTTTCCCATTATCAAATATTGTGGGTATTAGAATTCACAGACACTGGATAGAATCACTGACCATGCAAACAAGTTTTACAAAGAAAAACTCAGTGGCAATAACCATCCACTGACTATCAATAATTTCCCAAGGACACTTCATATGAAGCAGATATCAATATTGCCTTTAATTTGGAGAAACAAGGAATACTATGATGTACATCTCTTGGTAGCAAATTATTGCTCCAGAAGTTAATCACAGATAATATTAAACATAATACTGGGTTTTTAATGTGGATTTCAAATTATTGCTTCAGCTGTATTTTTCAGCACAATAATATGAAAACAAAAGCAAAAAGTGTTAAGTACTATATTATATGATTCAGTCCTAATGGCACACTTGATATATTTGAAGAAGTGAATGACAGAGATTTTCTTATTCAGTCACTAGTGGATATTGTAAAAAAAACAATTCCAGAGTAGAGATGTAGAATATTATATTACATTTATATGTTGTTCAACTAATTTGTCAAATGCTGGAAGACAAAAGGTAATTGCAAAACATAAGTCTCATAGTCAGAAAGAACTACATGCAAAAAGGAAAAAAGAAAGCTATGCAACAAATGGAACCTGCAGAGAAAAAAAAATTTTGTCTGATAGAGCAATATGGTACAAGTCACTGGATCCTGCAGAAAAGAAAAGCTTTTTTCTCACAGAGCTGAGTGGTATAAATCACTAGATCCCTAAGAAAAAGAAAAGCTTTTGTCCAAATCAGCAGATTGGTATAAATCACTTGGTTCTGCAGAAAAACAAAATCTTTCGTCTCGCAGAGCAATTTGGTATAAATCACTGGATACTGCACAAAAACAAAAGAGAGCAGCATGGTTGAACTCTCTCAACTCTGCGCAAAAACGAAAAAGAGCAGAATAGTATAAGTCATTGAATCCTGAAGAAAAAGAAGAACTTTTATCTGGCAGAGCAGAATGGTGTAAAACACTGGATACTGCAGGAAAAGATAAGTCTACTGTTCAATTGTGACTCTGCGATCATAGGCCAGAAATATCTATGTTCCGAGGGGATTCTATCTTCAACTGAAAAGAGCAGTGAGAAGAATAGAACCAAATCAACACACACTATTTCCTGTGTCATTAACAATTTCTTCCCTGTCTTCTCCTTCTCTCTCTCCAGTTTCTTTCTCAAAGCTCACACTTTGGCTATCAAACGCTCTATTTTCAAGATATGCAGGCGATTCGCCTTCGGAAGACATCGAGTGGAGTTGAAGACAAGGTCCTGGAGAAGACGCAAGTTCCTCATACGAAGAGTCGAGAGGACCCATGACATCATAGATGAGTCTGTTCTGATCGTTTGTTTTGTCATTTAGTTCGATTCCAGCTCTTCTATACTTCCACTTGTATACCAGTACGCCAATGACAGCCAACAACACACAAAAAACACAAAGCACAACGATAACAGCAACAGGGAAGTTGCTTCGTTTACCTAATTCAAAGAATAAAGAAGGAAATTGTTATCAATTAACAGTTTCGAACAAACTACACTTGAAGTAAGCCGTATGATATGAACAGCATGCAACAAAACAAGTCTTTTTGTTTATCTCGAATTAAGGTGCACACAAGTAAATAACAAACGAGACATAATGTTCCAAAAATTTAAATAAAGAAAAAAGAAGAGAGAAGGGGGGTGGCTATCATCTTGCCGTGTTACCTCACGCGAGCAACGGGTAACAGTGGGGTGACTTGCGATGGACCACTAATTCAACAAGGAAAAGAACCAATATTTGAACAGCAAATTCATATAGCGCCACGTTGGCTATTTGATGTACCAAAGTACTTGATAGGTAAAGACTTCGCTACATGAGGAACAAAAAAAGTACTGATTTCCAACTTACCAGTCACGATCAAAGTTGTAGCTGAATGGCTCACTCCAAAACTGTTCGATGCTGTACATTCATAGACACCGCTATCACGAGGTATCACGTCCCTGATAACAAGTACCTTGCCATCATTGTTAAAGTTAGCCCGTGGTATACTGGTATCTCCATCTTTACTCCACGTAACAGAAGGTTGTGGATCTCCGCTGGCCTCACATGTCAACTCTGCCTTTTCACCAACAATTATAGTTGTCTTTTCTGGTAGTTCCTTGACCACGGGCTTATCTGCCATGATTATATTACAAGACATTCCGTTTTCAATTCAAAACACCTAAAACAAGCTATACTCTGACACCTACTTAACTTATCATTGAAAATTCTGAGTCCCCATGAGGAATAGATTGCTCAAGGGGACTCAGAATATTTTCTTTGTCCCACGTTCGTGACAAGACGAAAAAACATATTTCTCTATTCTTTACCGAGCTAAAAACACCATCTCTCTTATTCTATAAATCTATCATCATACCTGATTTCCTTTACTTACAAAACTGTTAAACATCATGAATAGAGAAAGCCACAGAACCACTAAAATAAATGCAAAATCGTACGGTACCTTTAGTTTTCAGCGCTATGAAACTGCTTGAGGTATACAGCGTCTGCAAAGACAGCCCATAAAAACGTCATAAGCGAAATTCCTTGAGCAAAATGGATTCACACATGTACATAAAAATTAAGGACAACTCTTTTTCTGAAGATAAACCCATCGTATGTTCTTTGTGACTAGTAAATTAATACGATGTATTAATGAAAGCAGCCCATGCACAATACGACATCATGTCGTACTTTGCTGAAGTACCTCCCCTCTATACAGTCTACATCAATGACCTGATATAAGCAATTTGGAGAGTAGAAAATAGTGCGGGATTGCCTTTTTTTTTCTTTTACATCGCTCTTTGAACGGTCTGGAAAACTCGCCCCACTCTCTCGACCAATCAGATGTAAAACTAAAAGCAATCAACTTGGCCGCTAGTGTTTTCCCGAGCTGCAGGCAGGTAGGATTAACTTTGAATTCTCTTGACTTTCGAGCTTTTTTTCTTCTGATCGGCCGTTGTGATTGCTATGGATTTGGCTTTACGACATTCGATCGAAAAGCACTTTATTTTAAAAGATGTCTTCCATAATTACGAACCTAGTAGTTCACAAGGTGATTTACAACCTAGTGAATTGGAAACTTGAAAACGTGGGTGGGGGTGGGGGTGGGGGGGGGGAAGGGGGCATGACAAAGACGTAATTTGGAGTGGAAGCAGCGAGAAGTAACGACTACATTCAAAATATATTGGGCCTTGAGGTAAAAAATACGCCGTTCATCTTTTGTATTATAATGTTGCATAATTTTAGGTGGAGACAAATCAGTTGATCAAAATACCTCTGTGACAAAAGCTCTGAGAAACACTCTGTAGTTCGTATTTGGGTGCAATGGTCTGTTGTAATAATACTCTTCACCATTACTTCTCTTGCTCCTTATTTTACCGTTTGACTGGACTCCATCTCCTACGGTAAATTCTTGGTGATTGTTAAAATCATTTCCTCCAAACTGGAAAGTGACATAAGCTGCAGGTAATGGAGATTTGTGAGCTTCTTCATAAGTCATCAGCTCTTGTGTTGTAAAATCTGCTGGTGGGTTTACGACACCATTGTAGTCTGAGCGATATGTAATGACGATGATCTGGAAAAAACTGTAAGACCAAGATTCTTTTTTTAAGCTGTCGTATTAACAAGGTCTCAAAAATTGGTTTCACTGAAAACCCGAAATTACGCATACAATTAATGTAAAGAATATTCTAATTTTTAAAAACACGGAAAGAGACAAACACGAACTAAGAGGCTATTAACTGCGGAACAAAATACAAAATCAGTTAGAGGTTATCAAGAAGATTATAAAGAGAGCATTCTCACAAGTCTTTAAAATTATGTGAACTACTATAACTGCGGCATCCAAAAGTTATGATAACAGGGCTTATACTTAGTGTTCAAGAATTTTTTCTTCATGATTGGGTTCATCTACTAACGCTATTGGAGATTAAACACAGTTGAGAACCAGCCTTAAAAAGCTTTCCTGGTATTTAGAAAGTATCCTAGATTTCGTATATTTGTTGAAGGGGAGAACTAAAACTTGCTCAACATACCTTGCATGTCCCATAAAATTTGGAAGTGTTATTTTTGCTGTGATTCCTCCGTCGCAAGAGAATTTTGCTGGGGAAGGCTTTTCACGGGACCAAACTTCACCTGTGAAGGGAAATGTATGGTCTATTGAAGAGGAAATTCATTTATGAAGAATTTCTGGTACAAAGTAATCACTTTTTATGAAGTGACCCTTACTATACATGATATCTATCACGTGGGATTTAAAATGTGCTCAATAAGTTCAATAAACCAGAGCGACCAAGAAGATTTCTGAGAGGAAAAGATAGAATCAAGCAATTAAAATAGCGCTCTGTGGACTCAGAAGTACGGAATTTAAGTTGCTCCTCGTTTCAACATTTAATATGAATTTCAAGCATTTCTTCACTTTTTTCCTTTTTGATTTAGAGTCCATTATTTTCTGCCAAAAGACAGAAATTAGTTGATATTGCAACATGTACTGCGAAGCACACTCTGCAAGGGGAAAATAAGGTATAAACGAGACTGTGAAAAAAAAGATGATAATGGTGATGATGATAATAATAAAAATAATAAAAATAATAATAATAATAATAATAATAATAATAATAATAATAATAACAGTCTTTATACAGGGGGCTCACGTCACTGGAAAGTGGTATTCCGTGAGGCCCTGTAAAATAAATAGATAACAAGTTAAAAACATAAACCTTTCTTAAACATTCCATTTTTTTGCGCATAGGTATAAAAGTCTTTGTTTACCATAGTTTCTTTTAACAAGAGGAAGGCGGAAATCGTTCTTTCTTCTTATATTGTAACTGTGGATGTCAGAATTTCTTAAAATGTTTAAGCTATAATCCACAAGCAATTATAGCTTACTAGACTTTACTAGAAAAAACATCGTATTAAACGTCAAAATATTTTGCGTCTTTAACTAACCTAAAGTCTGAATCATTAAAGGCTCGCTGTAAGGTCCAGGTCCCGCCGCAGTGAAGGCTCTAACCGACACTTCATACCTTGAGCAGATTGAGAGACTGGACAACAGCATCTCAGTTTTAGTTGTGTTGAATGTCGAATTAAACGAAGCGTCAACCGAGAAGCAACTTTCCTTCAACAGAAGTCTCACTTGATATATTTTAATGAACCCATTTGCAACCTCTCTGGGCAAACCATTCCAGGATATCTGATATTCTGTACGCTCAATTTCGATAGACAATACGTTTTCTGGTCCACGGCTGGGCTCTAGTAAAGAGAGAGAAAAAAGCCTCAATAAGCTTCCAAGTATAGATTGAATCCAGAATGGAAAATGAGCTAGTACTCCAGTATCGATGAACAAACGGATCATTGTTTACCAAGCAAACCAATGTACAAGCTTAAAATGTTTTATCTTTCTCCCAATATTTCACACAGGATCCTTCTGGCATTGCTAAAGCCAGAACAATTTGAACAGTCTCGGTAGTTCAATTTCATTTCACAAATCTTTCAATTTTCGACAGTCCAGATATTATGTTTAACTTCTTTCTATACAAGATTCCACCATGATGCTTGATCACTAACAAAATTCATGTATTGAGCATTAACAAAATCATTACTTTTCCCCTGACGCTGAACATACCGTACTCTTTGGTTTTCACCGAAAAAGTGGCATTCTGTCCCGGTTTGATAGTTACAGCTGTGATATAGAAATGATAAGTAACTCCGCCCAGGACATCTACCAAGTAACTGAACGCATCTCCTCCAACACTTTGCTTTGTTTCACCATCTTTGTTTGCATAGAACAGAGTGTAACTCCTAATGATTCCATTAGCTTCTGCTGGCTTGCTCCAAGTCAAGTTTAATCTTGGACCATGCATCTTATTCGGGGCAACTTCCTCATAGGCAAACGAAAGAGGAGCGCTCGGTGCTATTAAAAAAATAAGAAGTATGAGAGGTAAGAAGAATTCTATTTGCCTGCATTATAACGCTCATTTTCCCTATCACCTTGCATTTCCTTCCACCATGACGCAAAAAAGGATATTTCAAATTTTTATATCAGTAATCAGGATGTCATTAATTGCATGAGCGATCATGTTCTGTGATTGGCCAATTTTTATATCTTTTCACCTTAATTTACCACATACCGTCTTCCTTGGTTCTCTCTACCTTGACCGGGGTCTTTGGGCCATCCCCATCTGATGTAAAAGCTAAGATGTGAAATTCATATTCTGTGTTCTTATCAAGTCCCACAACATTTTGACTTAATGTTGATTCGCTGTTGATAAGCAAGGTGGTTTCTAACCCTGCTGAACTTTTTTCTTTATAGAACAATTTAAACCCTGTGATGTTTCTTCCATGTCTCGCAAGTACTGGTGGTAGCTGCCAGGAAGCTATGATGCTAGTAGAGGAGCTTGCAGTCAAATTGAAGTCTGCTGGAGGTTGTGATGGAACTGAAATAAACAAAATCAGTTGTGTGCTTTAATTTTTAGCTGATTACCGATTGATGTGTATGTAAACATACCTCCATAGAAAAAGCATTGGATGTTCCAGTCTGGGGGGTCATCTGCAGTAGGGACTGTGTATATGCATCAGATATACATTCTTTATAACCTGAGTGTGAAGATGCTCCACACGGCATGAGACGATTATTTTCCCATAGACACCTTGGGGGTTCCAGAATCTTCAATGCTTAGAATCCCAGCATATCATAGTATGATCAACATCAAATCTTAGCACAACTTTGTTTGGTGAAAGTAGACCCTGAAGGATCTCAGCGAAGTCAATGAGATATTTAAAGATCGATAGAAATTAAATCTACATTGGTCAGCTGTTAAACTGTTACAATCATTCTCACTCAGTCAAGGCTCAATTAATCTACATTGGAGAATACTCTTTACCCATTGTCTTTTGCTCTTTAGCTCCTTAAGCTTTCATAAATAATTAGTTATTGTGACTTCAATTCGTCGCAGCAAAAGCAAATAAATACCTTTAGTTAAAAGAATGCCATAAACTTCCACCATCAGAGCCTTCCAGTTATGATAGGTTGTCGGCTGAAAACGGATAAACTTTGCACTTGCAAATTCCTGTAGATTGTTTTTTATGATGTCTCTTTGATTTGAGTTTCCTGAAAAGACCTGTATTTTTTTTGTACAAAATGCAACATTATTATATGAAAATTTTATTAATTAATATACTGCATCATTCATTACCAAAAGTATCAGCTCTTCCATGAACTTTGACTTCCGTGTGGGAAGTAGTAAAATGAATGAACAAAGACTTTCTGTATAAGTACATGTCTCTAATGCCTTATGCTCTTTTGTTGGAAAACTACTACAAAAAGTGTATGTGACTGTTTATCAGAAGTTGAAATAGTATTTCTGCTGAAAAAATTTAGGGGAGAGGTTTATCTAACACACACTCAAGGAAAAGTTGGTGTTCATATCATGTCTGTAGGTAATATTCCACATCAAATGTTTTTAAATTTCTCCTCAATTTTTGAGAAAACAGGTAAGTTTCATTGTTAAATTAAGATGTAATGGATAATAACTCCAGATGACTCGGACTTCTTAACAACTATACAATCTCGAAAGTGAATTGTCTTTACATGTATGTACCATTCACACACAGTTTTGTTTTTACACGAAAGAACAATACATGTTCCAGCATTATTTGTCATGTGATGGCGCAACTAAATTTGTCGCACTGATAGTGCTGTGTGCACTTGTATATCTGTCAATAAAAAAAGAGTCATGGAAACTGTTCATAGAAAGAGAATTGAATCTGAATGTTGACAAGTTGAACACCTTTCTTTCCTATGACTCAAAAAAATTGATTGGGTGTGTCTGGTTGGCATTTTCAATATTTACAAACACACGCAAACGAACCTTGTCAATATTGTTTTCTTTATAGGTGAAAAACGTGATGCCATCCAACGATAGGTGAATCTTGTAGTTTATTGTCCACTCATTGATACCATTCGCTCCTTGGGTAGCTAAAGCACAGATAACGTACTCATACAGCAGGTCAACTTGTAAGAAGTCAGCAGGATCCTTCGTAGTCTTAGGTGCCCAACCTCGATTTTTCCCATTCAGTCGACCATAAGAAGCTTTATATCTATTATCGAAATATGATGAGGCTGTGAAGCTGCTGTCAGGAATTGCACCACCACTGGCTAGACCAATGGCCTCCATTTTGCAAACTGAAAGATAATAATTTAAAACATGTAGCCTTCACATTTTGACACGAATTATGTAAATAATAAAGTGAATTAAGAATTAAGTACCTTTTGTAACAACTACGGAATAAGTCACCTCAACTTAATTTAAGGTAATAGTTTTACGTCAATGGTTGCCTATTTCATGAATAGAGGCTGCACACACACAAAACATTTTCCCTCTCCTTGAGACAAATTTACTTATGCTCAAGCTTATCAAGCCTCTTTTTCCTCTTTTTTAGTTAAAGAAGATAGTAAATAGTTGACAAACCTAAGAAAAGATTCATACTTATGAACACAGTTCGAAAGCTGGACAGAGATTTCCACGATTTGATTGGTTAAGTGATTCATAATTATAACGTTACATCTACTGCAGTTTGCAGTCAGTGAAACCTTTACTTTCCCCTTCTTTCCCGTGCAAAACCAAAAGGCTGCTAGCAGTTAATTTTAAGGTTTCACCTTTTTTTTTAGTGGAATATTCCTATGAGGTGAGACTAAACAGTATTGCTGAAACAAATGAACATTTAAATACATTTGTGCAGGACACAGCATGCACTCGGAAGCTAAGCATGGAACTTGAATCCTTATGCAATTTCATAGATGCCGAACGTGACCATACTTTTACTGGCAATAGGAATACAAATGGGCAGCTCACACAATAGCAGCCCATGTCCTAAATCCCATGTTCCTACACTGTGATTTAGAAGCACATCGTGAGGTCATGTTGCCCATCAAGAAATGCAATGGTGATGCAAATTTCTGTGGGTGAATTGGAATATATTACGCATTTTGTTCAATTGCTTAACCTTAAGGGAACAGAACGTGCACAGGATCACATCATAAGAGTATTACACGTAATGAAAGCATTGATCACCGAAGTCTCTGAATTTTAGTTCTATAATTATAGTGGATATGTGATATCTACGGTTCAACAGAGAGTATAGGGTGTTGATTATCAAATTCTCCAATGGTCAACTCTAAAATTATTTCAATACCATTCTCACTCAGTCAAGGCGCAAGCGATATTTGGGAACATTGAACTTGCCCTCATAGCACTGTATAATTACCCAATCTTTGCTGCCATAGATAATAAGTTATTGTGACCTCAATGTTGTCTCAGAGGGAGACAAAAATGAAAGCAAAAATATACCTTTAGTTGGAACTATTCCATAAACTTCCACTCTCAGAGCCTTCCAAATATTATATGCTGTCGGCTGAAAACGGATAAACTTTGCACTTGAAAATTCCTTTAGACTGTTTTTTTTTATGCTGTTTTGATCTACGTTTCCAGGAAAGACCTGCAGTTTATTGTAAAAATGCAACATTGTATCAAATTTTCGTAATTGATATACTGCATCATAAACTACAATAATTATTAGGTACTCTATGAACAACGACTTTGAATTGGCAATAGCTAAACGAATGAACCCCAGACCGTGTTTTTCTGAACAAGTACGTCTCTAAAATTTAATGCGATCGAAAGGCCGGTTCATAAGTCCAGAAGTCTTATCATTATTGGACTTATTAACAACTTAAAAATGGTGACAGCGTATTTTATGTACTTATAAGTACCATCCCTCACATTTGTATTTTTAAAAGACAGAACGATGCATGTTCTAAGTATCAGTTTGTAGTTTCCTTGAAAAAGAAGTGAACCTGAATGTTGACAAACTGAACACCTCTTTCTTGTCGCACATCTTGACTCAAAAATTTGATTGTGTGTTCTAGGTGACTATTCTAACTTTTTAAAAATATGTACAAACTTATGCATGATCTTCATGTAAACCTACCTTGACACTATTGTTTTCTTTATAGGTGAAAAACGTGGTACCATCCAATGATAACTGAATCTTATAGTCTGTTGTCCACTCATTGATACTATTAGCTCCTTGAGTAGCAACAGCACAAATAGCATACTTGTGCAGCAGGTCAATTTGTAAGAAGTCAGCAGGATTGGTTGTATTCTTGGGTGCCCAACCCCGATTACTTCCATTCAGTCGACCATAAGAAGGTTTAGATCTATTTTCATAATATGATGAGGCTGTGAAGCTGAAGTCAGGGATTATACCACTACTGGCCAGACCAATGGCCTCTGTTGTACAATCTGAAAGATAATTTTAAATCATCCTTCACACTTTTAAACACTTCATTAAAACAACGTAAGAGTTAACCCTTTGTCTGAGCGACTGACGAAGGGCTAACGCTCGACACGTCAGCTTTGAAACTCTTTACAATGGCCAGTTTACGTTATCAACTCAGTTGATAATACCAAATTACAAGAAAGAAACAGTCTGCCGCAATTTGTGGTTGAGGCCGGTAGTTTTAAAAAGTTAAGGAAGGACTTAAGCGTCTTTTTAACTTGGTAACTTTATTGTGAATATTTATTTTGCAAAATAAATAAATAAATAAATATTTTAAATTCTAATCCTTTTCTTTTTAAGGTGCAACGTCATTGGGCTAACCCCTGTTTCTTTGTTTTCAAGATGAATTTGATTTATCTTTTTTTATTATTATTGTATCTTTAATAAAACATTATGCTATGTTATGTTAAGGTTTGTAAAATCACATTTCAAAAGCTGGATGGAATTACCACGTATTCCACATGGTTGATTAAGCGATTCGTAATTATGATGACATATCCACTGTCATTGGCAGGGAATCTAGCCCTTGCTATGTCCTTCTTTCGACTTCTTGTCGTGCAAAACAAAAGGGCTGTCTGCAGTTAGTTTTAAAGTTTAACTGACTTTTGATGAGAAATTCTCTCATCAAGTGAGAATATACAGTATTGCTAAAACAAATATGCATCAGACATAAATTCTATATATTCGAATGTAAAGATGCTCTACACAGCATAAGACAGGCAATTCTGTTACAATGGAAACCAACTTGGTGCCAGAATACACAAGCTACATCACAAATCCCGATGTATCATAAGGAGCAAGGATAACAATTAATCTAAGCACAACTTTGTTTGGCAAAAGCAAAACCTGAGGGATCTCTTTGTGGTTAATGTGACATTCAAGGTTCAACAAGGTTCAAAATATTAGGGTTCTGCAAAAATTTAAAGGTATTGATTAACAAATTCTCAAATGGTCGGCTCAAAACTATTTTGAAACCGTTCTCACTCAACCAAGGTTTAATCACTTTTGGAGAATATTATTAAACTTTCTCTTTACATATAGCTCTTGCCTTTAGCCCCTTAGCTCCTTTGGCTTTCACAAATTATTAGTTATCGTGACTTCAATTTTGTCTCAGGGTGAGAAAAAAAAATGAAAGCAAAAACTACCTTTAGTTGGAATTATTCCATAAACTTCCACCCTCAGAGCCTTCCAAACACTAAAGGCTGTTGGCCAGAAGCGGATAAACTTTGCGCTTGCAAATTCCTGTAGATTGTTTTTTATGATGCCATTTTGGTTTGAATTTCCAGTAAAAACCTGTAGTTTGTTGCATAAATGTAAAATAATTGTATCATTAGTTACCATATGTATCAGCTATTCTACAATCTTCTCCTTCGATATGGGTAGATAATGTTTACCACAATTAAAAGACTTATTGTTCCTTTCGGTAAAAATCTACCAAACAAATGTTTAAATGTTCGTGTATTAGAAGTTGAAATAACATTTCTAGTGAAACAATTCAAGGGAGAGGTACATGTAGCTTGTAAGAGAATGCAACAAATGCTCTAAGAAAAAATGGCTATTCCTCTGTAATAAACCGTCTGTAATATTCCTAGTTGTGTAATGTTCTTAAATATCTCATGGATTTTTGAAAGAAGAAAGAGGCAAGTTGCATTGATGAACGAGGATGTAATGGTCAATGCGACTTGGTCAGGATGACTTGTACTTAATGACAACTACTTGATGCTGTTTCATATTCCTGGGAGGGGGGGGGGATAACCGTGCCCCCTACCTTGGCAATATTGTTTTCTTTATAGGTGAAAAACGTGATACCATCCAATGATAACTGGATCTTGTATTTTGTTGTCCACTCCTTGATACCATTAGCTCCTTGGGTAGCTACAGCACAGATAATGTACTCATACAGCAGGTCAATTTGTAAGAAGTCAGCAGGATTGGTCGTAGTCTTGGGTGCCCAACCGCGATTATTTTCATTCAGTCGACCATAAGAAGCTTTATATCTATTATCATAATAAGATGAGGCTGTGAAGCTGCTGTCAGGAATTGCACCACCAGTGGCCAGACCAATGGCCTTCATTTCACAAACTGCAAGATAATAATTTAAAAACATGCAGCTTTCACATTTTGACAGAAACCATACAAGACAATTCAAGTGATCAATTATATGTAACCTTTGTGAATCAATTCACCTCAACTTAATTAGAGGTTATTGTTTTATATTCATGGTTGCCTCTAAAGAGAGGCTGTGGTTTACCTCTAAATACCTTGCATTTATTAGTTGAATGACCTACATGTGCACACAAAAAGTTTTGTTAGTGTGCATGGGGAAATAGTCTACTAAGGGATTAATTATGGAACTATTATAATTTTGCTTCTGAAGTCTTAATCCTATAGGTCAACATAAGACATAAGAACATCAACAGGGACAGTGGAATAGAAATCCTAGATGCTGGGATGCCAACAATTAGGACACACGACAGTAGGGAAGCCATGACAGCAGACCACTGAGGGAACATTTCAGCAAAAGGCGCCTATCAAGGCGTGAGATTCTATCCAATTACAGCTGAGCAGAAAGTTTCTAATGACCAGATACTCAGTCTACCTTATCATCTGAAGAAGACTGTATGCATTTGAAAAATTACAATGTTGCTTTGTAGAGGTTAAGATTCTAGAAGACGAGACACCAGCAGCGAATGTGTATAAACTGCCAGCACATGACACAACTTCACTAAAGTTACCCAGCAGGCCCGATTTACATTGAACATTGTTGCTCAAATATTTGAGCTTCAATGTTGTAAACAAACCAAAGTTTAGATCAATTAGCATTCACAACTTGTCACTGCACTCCCCACTGGAATTTTGACCTGTATTACACTAACACCATTGTGTATTTTGCCTGTTCTATCGAACCAATTATTGTAAAATGGATTAACACGGCATCGTTCTCGTCATCATTTACATATCAAGTATTATGAAATAATTAATTAAGTAATTTTTTACGGACCTGTAGGATTTTACCCTAAATTAATTATTTCTCTAAGTTATAATATGAAAACAATCACTTATTCCTCCACTCACATATATGTAGTTTCAATTTATAAATAATTTATAAAATAAAAAGAAGATTTACATACTAAACAGAACCTTACGCATTTTTAACCCTTTGCCTCTCTAAGAGAGACTAGCATTGCATTTCTCCTTATAGCATCACCCCTGAATCAAACATTAAAGTCATGAGAACAAAGGAAATGATCACCAACTAGAAAAGCTCTTGATTGTTAGACAAACTCTACATGTCAGCACCTCAGAAATGCATAGAGAACAGTATGGATAATGTGCATACTAATCTTGCATTGTAATGCAATGCACGTACAAAACATGCATTACAACACAGGGCAATACTTAGCCATGTATTAAGTTTTAAACTCACCTCGTTCTTGTCGCACTCCAAACACCTCTGTTCTCATGCACACCCCACCCTGCTGAGTTTGTGGCAGGAATCGAAGATATCTTGTTGACACTCCATAAATTACATGTTTAACAGTTGTGTCTTTGTCATTATTTCCCCTCAACACCTATGAGAGAAATATACAGTCATACCTCAACATAATAATAAACTTTTTCCAAAGATGAAAAAAGGCATGGGTACTAAAACCTAATAACCCCCTCACTAAACCCTTCTGGCACAAAAGAGTGACCAAAAGAGATAGTTAATCTGCTTGGGCCTCTTAAATGATAAAATAAGCTTTAGGAGCCTCTGAGTACTCAAGGAAAGCCCTCAGGGTGGGAGAGAGGGTAAAGAAACAACTTGAAGGAAGTGGTCATATGACAAATAAATGTCAGTCAAAAGCTAGCCAGGTTCAGCATGAAAGCCAGGGGCTAATTGAGTTATTCCCTCGGAATATGGACTTAATATATACCATACATAGATTGCTAAAATAATCATTTTAATTACCACCTTTTTTAAGGCTGGGACTTTTGATATCATCAAACCTATACAGTATTGCTCATCCGCCTGTATAGTCTGTGATATCATATTTTAAATAATTTCTTTGAACTGCCAAGTCTTACAGTTTATGTCCATACCTTAACTTTTCCACCTTCCTTGTAGTCTCTCCAACATGTCCCATCTGTGGATAACTGTAGTTTGTAGTCCTTCACCCACTGATCTGCTTTGGAATTCCCTTGAGTGGACACAGCACAGATAATATGAATTGTCTGTAGATCAATCTGTAGATATGGGTTAGTGTCACCTGTTCCTGCACACCATGATGATCCTGGTGTGTATTTCAGTCGACCATTCTTGGCCGGTGTGTTGGCGCTTTGTTCAGAAGAAGCAGTAACTCTATCACTTGGAATCTCTCCATCTTCCATTCCAAGACCCAAATCTACACAATCTCCTATTGGAAATTATTTATAATAAAGAATGAACAAACACGACGAGCACACAAACACGTGTCCACTTTGATTCGAGAAGAGGGTCTTAAATAGGAGATTATAATTTCCTTCGCGAGTCACCACAGTGGATCTTAACTAGGGGAACTCGACCACATATTCTCGAACAAAATGAATGTGCAAAAGTTAAAATTTGTCTTTTACAATGTAAGTGGTATGAATGTTGGAAAATAAGTGGGGAAAGGTAAGAGAGCTCGAAGAATTTCAGCTTAGGTCAAGTCTTTAAAGGGTAAAAAAACAACAATTGTCTCGTCTTGATTTTGGCCAAAGATTGACTTTTCTGAAGAAAAATGCCACGGAAAAGCTTAAAAGAACATTTCTAAGCCTTTAGATTTCAAAATATTCTGAGGGGGCATGCCCCCATACCCTCTAAGCGGCTCGCGCCTTCGGCGCTCGAAACTTGCCTCGCCTTGTTCTGAAGTCTGGCTACGGCCCTGAGATGATTAAACTGTTTTTTCAGAAATGAAGTGGAACTTAACAAGGAGAGCAGAAAAATACAGAGGAATTTAGCAAAAGGCAACAATTTATAAAAGGCATGTGGGTAAATTGCATGAAATTCAGTCCTTACCTAAAGCCAGAGGAATTCGCAACAACAAGGAAAAGAAAACTAGTTGGAAATACGGATGCATCTCAACCAAGGCTTGTTTGAGGCAAGAGGAAGTCTTCTTTTCATGGGATGGAGCTGTCAAACTGAGAGCACTTCTCTCGTTTCTTTTATGATAGCACAGCCCCAGGTGGTTCAATGTCAGGATATCTTTTTCCTACTCTCAGCAGACGATGTGAAAACCAGATTGATGCCTACTGAGGAAACGGAAATAAAGATATTAGAGGGAACTTTATACTTTGCACGTTACAAACCTGTCTCTATCAATTTTAGTATATTTCACCTTTGCACCATCTGTTAATAAGGCTTATTCACATTTTTACCACTAATGATTAGCTTTGTTAAGACGAGATCTCCACCTGAATCTTAACAAGCCGTTTGCTTGTATTTCAAAATCCAAAGTTAATACTCTGTAAGTCTAACCAAAAAAGGAAAAAAAAGAAGAGATAAAAGATAAGAGACTGGCCAAAAGGTTTGCTTCCCGTGTTGTGTCCACAATTTTAAGAAACAATTTCCATTCAGACATCTTGTTTCACGCCTCGTTAAGAATGGGGAGTATGTTTGGTTAAAGAATGAGACAGAAATTGGGCTGGTCCGAAACTTAGGGTGCACGCGACAAATACTTTTATCAAAATAATAATTTATATTTCACTGTTCCCAAACTTAAGTCCACGGATTTGATTAAGCTTTCATCATTAATTATAAACTAGCCTTTTAGCAACTAACTTTCGCGCCCTCAGTTGTGCTGATGTTATTCATGAGGTCAATTGGGAACAACGAACAAACAAAAGTAGATATTGTAACGATTTGAAAACACCGCAGACTTTTGCAATTTTGATCGCCATCTTTGCATAGGGACTCTTCTTACAAACATAGGAAGAGCAAGAGTATGGAGGCCAGGATTAAGGTAGAAGTAATTTTAAGGCAAAAACTAAAGTCAACTTAATCGACATCGCAGCAGAAGAAGTTTCGCTCTTGACTGGATCTTAAGCCATTGTTCTGTCATATGGCAAATTCACTTAGATCAATGAGGATTATCATATATAAAAGAAATTGAGCCTTTTTTAGGAATTTGCCTCCAATGCGAAAACACCCAGGTTCTTGATTTACGAAAGAAAAAGAAAGCCCGACTCGAATCGATCGTATCTATCATGGATGAAGAAAAATTATCTACGATCGAATTTATCTGTTTTGTATCTGAAGAATTGTATCCATAACACGCTCATAAAGAGCTAACTACAGTGACCTGCAATCCTTTAAACGTTGAAAAAAGGCTTCGTGTTTTACACTTTAATATGGCAGAAAACGTGTGAGTATTTGAACCTAGGCCTCTGATGAACTTTCGCGGTTCCACGCGTTGCGCGTAAAGTACGCGCAGAGCATTCGTAAATTAGAGGCCTATTCAACTTCGCATTTAGGTTATAACAATGAATAAAGAAAACGCTTATATCTCTGAAAACGCGCACTCATACTATTGTTTAAGAGTGAAAAGCAATGAAAGAACAGAACAAATCACAGTTAAGATGAATTTAACGTGAACCGGTTATGTTTATAAATCGGGTTGAAGGATCATAATCTCCTAACCGAAAAATCAACTCTATTACTGACGACTGTATCCTGTGTAAAAAAAACCGTGAGAGAAAGACAGCTTACGGTGTTTTTTCTCGCATGACAAGTTATCGCAATATCGAGGAAGATCTGGGCCGAGTGATTCACCCTGGACCTCGTCTAAAGCCGGCGACACACCTAGCGATTTTCTACACCAACCGCGGCGAATTTGATCTCCAGATCGATCTCTCAGATCGTTGCGGTGACGTTTAAAAATTGCGCGAACCAATGTAAACAAACAAAATGGCGACAGCAAAGCGAAAATAGTTGTTGGCTGCTGCCATAATTTTGCAATTAAAGCGCTCCAGGAAGCGATCTGAAAAGTGGGACAATTTAACAAATAGAGAAGCCTCGACTGTGCTCTGTTCTGTCGTAAAGCATGTAGGAAGCGGCTAGAGCACGAAAGGAGTGTAGGGGGAAACACTCGACTACGTCTCGTGTTTCCCCCTACACTTCTTTCCTGCTCTAGCCGCTTCCTAAGTGCTTTACAGCAGAACAGACCACAGTTAAGGCCTCTCTATTTGTTTTATTATAAAGAATCCGTTAAATTCCCCAAGAATTACTTTCAATTTTCTAAACAAACTTTATTTCCAAAGCGAACAATAGTGTCGTCAGCATGCTCTATACTCTCATAGAGCACGCTACAATAAGCCACTCAGAATCCCTGTTAGAATGATTCAAATAATCTGATTGGCTTTACAAGACTAAAGCTGTCAAAAATGTCAAACCATCAAAGTTCATATTTTGCAATAGTTTACAAACTAACATAGTTCGGCATGTCGCATTTAACAGTTTTGCTTGAAGTTTTTTAGTTTCTAATACAAAATCTGAAAGTGAAATGTTCAGTGAAATTCGGTCCAATCGTGGCTCACAAAAATACGCAAGTTATTTCACATGACAAGTAGAAAACAAACTGTTCAAGGCGAGTGTTTTATGAATGAACAACAGCCGAATTCACCAGGACATGAAGATCGCTCGGAATGACAGCGTCGTAAAACTCGGCTACAGTGAATGATGTGGCTTTCCACTCAACGCATCGGAAAGGTTATCGGAGCTCTTGTTTTTCCACTCGAAGGGTAGTCAATTTAGTTCCTGAGGCTTGCTCCACTGCGATGACCGAAGATCACCATGATGAGCTAGCCGCGATAGGCCTCAGCATGATCGTAGTCGCTCTGACACTGTCATGATTAGTATGAATTTTAACACTTATGCCAGGTTATATATTTTTCATCATTCCTGTTTTTCTTCTGTTTTGTTTTTGAACACGAAACTTTATATACTATAGAAAAGTTAGCTGTGTTTGACTTTCATTACCGTACGTAAACTCGCAATCTAACTGAGCGTGAAAACCTTTAAAACTCGGACTGTCCATTTTGTTTTATCATTGAGGATTTTTGTCTCTCAGAGTAACAGTAACGTAAATTACTGCGCCTGGCATTTTTGCAAAGCTTTGCTCGCTTGTTCCGAAATTTCACTTTCAATTAACAAAAGAAAAGCTAGAAAAAAGTCCCGAAAAAGGTCGGACATAGTACAATTTGGCAGATGGCATGACAGCTTTAGCTCAGTTCTATGCTCTATACTCTCATAGAGCACGCTCATTTAACCAATGACGGCACGTATTATATCCGAACTTTATTATAAAGAAAAATATGGTCGAAGACATGGATTTATTGAAACGCAGAGTCCTTCTTGAGACGACTACTGTAGTCGCTCGACGTTACATCAAATAAGCATGGCTTTTCTGACCACAGTGTAATCAGATTGACTTTTTCTTCTTCGGTTCAGAAACGATTTTCGATGTCTTCCGCCATTTTGAATAGTCAGGTGATAATGTCGCCCAACTTGATTGGTTAATTTCACTGACGACTCGCCGTGGAAAGGGGAGGAAATCGCGGGAGCGGGCAGACTTGGCGAATGCCGGCGAATTTAATCGCCGATATCTGACATGCCAGATCTCGGCGATTAAAAATTTTCGGTTTTGAAAATCGAGTCTGTCGAAAATTGACTCGGTTGACTCGAGTAGTCGAGCTTCCTTTTTCCTTCAAGAAATAATTGCTTTGTGACACTGAGCGCTTTAATGAAACCATCACTTGTTGCGTTGCCTTAATTGAACACCCCCTCTTCAGTGGAAAAGAATTTACCGAGGGAGCTAGAACTACTTATGTCTTAGCCACCGCCCACCGTTTTTTAGACAACCTATTTTCGCATTTCTTACAAACTATGTCGGTCGGGCGATGTGAAACAAAACATTTATAAGAGATGGCCTTGTGAATAAGATCTCCCATCATGAGAAGAAAAAGCTACAATGAACAATAGTCATTCCGCTATCGAGGAACTAGTGGCAGAATTTACTTATCATACTGATGGCACTGCACGAAGAAAATTTTTATATTTTATAAGCTGATCGCGGCTATCGGTGAAAATCGCAATCGCCGCACTGGGCACAGCTGGCGATCTTCGCCGACCGCCGCGATCGGCGTATAAAATTGCTAGGTGTGTCACCGGCTTAATAATGGCGATCGCGTTCTCACGCGACTAAAACCGAAGAAATGAACACGTATCACCATCGAAAGCACATATAGCACAATTACCCTGAAACGACCCGTTTCATGACACGACCAGAAGGTTTGAAAATTATTACCACTCGACTGTAGTTTTTTACTTACGCTGCCTACTGTACGCGATAGACTATCGATAAATTATTTTGGTTTCGGTTGACTCGAGTAGTCGAGCTTTCTTTTTCCTTCAAGAAATAATTGCTTTGTGACACTGAGCGCTTTAATGAAACCATTACTTGTTGTGTTGCCTTAATTGAACACCCCCTCTTCAGTGGAAAAGAATTTACCGAGGGAGTTTGAACTACTTATGTCTTAGCCACCGCGCACCTCTTTTTAAACTACCTATTTTCGCATTTCTTACAAACTATGACGGTCGGGCGATGTGAAACAAAACATTTGTAAGAGATGGCCCGGTGAATAAGATCTCCCATCATGAGAAGAAAATTTTTGTATTTTATAAGCTGATCGCAATCGCCGCACCGGGCACACCTTGTGATCTTCGCCGATCACCGCGATCGGTGTATAAAATTGTTAGGTGTGTCACCGGCTTAATAATGGCGATCATGTTCTCGCGCGACTAAAAACGAAGAAATGAACACGTATCACCATCTCCCGATATAGCAGAATTATCGTGAAACGACCCGTTTCATGACACGACCAGAAGGTTTGAAAATTATTACCGTTCGACAGTAGTTTTTTGCTTACGCTGCCTACTGTACGCGATTGACGATCGATAAATTATTTTAGTTTCGGTTGACTCGAGTAGTCGAGCTTTCTTTTTCCTTCAAGAAATAATTACTTTGTGACAAAAACTATACTGTCTACAGTAATTTCGGTGTTTTCACAATGGGGGCGAATTGTCCAGAAATTGGGGGCTAATTGTCCGGGGCGAATTGTCTGACACTCGATGCAAGGATTCTTGCCATAGTTCGAGTGCAGATTCGTGTGAACAAAGGCGTTCCAAGTATTACTTACATCTTATGTGACCGTTGTAGTTTCCGACGTTCTTTGCCGCTTTAAGCTTGCTTTGC